TCTTCCATGGGCTTTTACCTTCAGTACTGCCACCTCAGCTGGAAGTTCCAATGCGTCCATCAGCTCTGCAATGGCTGCCCCATGTTTTACTGGGGTACCAGTGGCCGTAAGAAATCCTCTGGTCTTCCAAATTAAGCCAAAATCATGTGCTACTCCCAGGGCATATCTTGAATCCGTGTAAATGTTGACACGCAACCCTTCAGACAATTTGCAAGCCACAGTTAGGGCTGTCAATTCAGCTTCTTGAGCAGACTTATTTGGTTGTAGGGCAGCTGCTTGTAACACTTGACATTCTGTGGTAACTGCATACCCAGTGTGATATTGCCCTTGTTCATCAGCAAATCTTGACCCATCCACAAATAATGTTTGGTCCGGGTTGAGTAGTGCAGCTTCATAGACAGTTGGTAGATGTGTAGTTTCCATTTTCATTTGTTCAAAGCAATCATGAGGGATATCGAGGTCACAGTCTGTGGTGAGTGGATCCTCACAGGCTTCTGTATGGTACCTGGGGTACCCAGTTGTACAGTAATTAATAGTCTTTTTGATGATTCTCGTAGAAGTCAGTTGTTCTGGGGTCATTTGACTCCAGGTTTTGGCCATCGGGCCTAGGTCTTTCCACGAGATGTCGGGGGGTCTGGTGAGAGATATGTGTGGGATCGATGTTTCCCAATGGTGATAGAGATGTGTCACACTCTCTGGGAGGTGGACCAAGATAAGCATGGTACCTGTGAGGTCCCAAAACAAGTCAGTTAGGGTAATTTGGATTTCTTTGAGTTGGAATACTTCTGCCTCGTAATTCATATCAGGGCCTGGTTCATCCCTAATCCACAAAGTGCAATGAAGTAGGGCCATTGATTGTTCATCATGTGGAGGTGCAAGTGCAGGTAGTTGCAGATTTGTTAGAACTTCCGGGTTGATATCCAGGCTGTACCAGTGGTACACAATTCCCCCCTTGGGAAGTGGCAGAAGAGTGGCCGGGTTCAGGGTTAGGCATCTCTGAAGTTTTATGTTATCAGGTAAAAGCAATGAGGTTTGCAGGCGGAGGTGGCGTTGGGAGGAAAGGTGCTTGGGTTGAACTTGTTGCAGGATAGCAGTAATGTCATGGGGGGCCAACACGGTAAGGTGATGGCCAAGCACAAAGTCATTAGTCTTGTCCAGGAGGGCACTGGCGGCAAACACAGCACGGAGGCAAGAGGGGCTGCCCCTTGCAACAGGGTCAAGCATACAGGAAAAATAGCCAATGGGCCGTTGTCTGGACCCATGTTTCTGGGTAAGGACTCCGGAAGCATGTCCTGATTTTTCAGAGACAAACAAATTGAAAGAGAGTTGATAGTTGGGTAGGCCCAAGGCAGGAGCAGAGGCAATAGCTCTTTTCAGAGTATGGAAACAGTCAATAGTTTCTTCAGTGAGGTGAAAGGGCTCGCTTCGAAGTGCATCATAGAGAGGTTGCATGAGTTTGGATGCTTCAGGTATCCAAGACCTGCAGTATGTTATGAGACCCAAGAAAGCATGAAGAGAGTGATGGGTTGCAGGTAATGGGAGTTGCAGGATAGCTTGCACCCGTTGTGAGGTTAGATGTTTGGTGCCATGGGAAAGGCAGTGTCCCAAGAAGACCACAGAGGGCCGGCACCATTGTAGCTTTGATTTTGAGGCCTTGCACCCGGCAGCAGCGAGGAAACATAAGAGATCTTCTGAGTCACGTTCTGCAATTAGCAAATTAGGAGCACAGAGTAGAAGGTCATCAACATATTGTAGTAGAACAACATCGAGATGTGATTTCTGCCAGGGATCCAGAACCAGAGACATGGCATGAGCAAACTGTGTTGGGGAGTTCTGCGCTCCCTGGGGCATAACAGTCCAAGTATATTGTTGTCCTTCATGTGTAAAGGCGAAGAGAAAACGGCAGGAGGGATCAAGGGGAACACTGAAAAAGGCATTAGCCAGATCCACAACAGTAAAAATTGTTGAAGTTGGAGGCACTTGGGACAAAAGGGTATGAGGGTTTGGAACAATAGCAGTGTCCTTTATGGTTACCTCGTTAACAGCACGGAGGTCCTGTACCATACGGTATTGGTCGGGTTGGCCCTTAACAGTTCGCTTTTTAACAGGGAAGAGAGGGGTGTTGCATGGAGATGTACACTTGGTGAGGGCACCTTTTGCAAGCAGGGTCTCAACTTGCTTGGTGATGGCCTCAGCTTGTGCTGGCTTCAGAGGATACTGAGGTCTACGAGGGGGGAGTGCACCAGGCAGGAGCTGGACCAGGACTGGGGGTACATGTAAGCGTCCAATATCATCCGGGCCGGTGGACCAAAGTTCTTGGGGGATACGATCCAGGGCACTGGGGGTGTGTGTGACCCGTGCATTCCCTGTATTGTCAGTTAGATTCAACAAAATTGGGAGTGAGCAGAGTACAGAAGTATCTTTCTGCGATAAGGGGGTTGTCAACTCAACCTGTCCATCAGCAGTAAAGGTAATGGAAGCCTGGAGCCGAGAGAGAACATCGGCACCTAGGAGGTTAATGGGGCAGGTGGAGGAAACAACAAAACGGGACAGGATATGTGAGCCTACATGTAAGAGCTTGGTGAGGGGGTTACTGCGTGGTGTACCATCCACCCCAACACAGGAGACATCAGTGTCAGATAGGAAGGAAGGGTCTGGCAGGTCTTGTTCCCTAAGGACACTACGGGCTGCACCTGTGTCAACTAAAAAGGTGGTTGGGTGACCCTCCACGGGGAGAACTACAGTAGCTAAAGGTCCTCCTCCATCCCCCGCAGACACTGCCATGGCAGGGGTTGCTGACACAGGCTTGCCAGTTACCTATTGTAATAAATCTAGGTGGGCTTGATCCGGTCCCTGGTACCGGTGGGAGGTGGAGGGAGGGTTAGCAGTATGCATAGGTGGGCGGGATGGACGGAGGGCATGGCGGGGATGAGGTGGGTTGTCTTGGAGGTCATCAGTATCATACCCTTCAGCAGAGGGCGAGGTGTATGCACGGGCTTCTGCTGCGGGGAGCCGGGCTTGGGAATACTCAGGAGGCGGAGGGGGAGGAGGTGGAGGAGGTAACTGAGGCAACTGTGGATGGGGTAGGGTAGGGAGGTAACCGGTGGAGGGGAAACTGTAACTGGTGACATGTGGATTTTGGTACCGGGGAGTCTGCTGGCGGAACACTCTAGGGTGTGGGCAATCTCTTCTAAAGTGACCTGGCTGATTACAATTAAAGCAGGTCCGGATTGTCGTGACAGACCGATCACGGGAGAAAGGAATTGGTGCAGGCAGTGTCTGGGGGGGCTGGGTGTACTGTTGGGGAAACATCTGAGGACCCTGGCCTGGACCAGCGAATGGGGTGGAGGTAGCATACATCAGAGGACTGGGTCTACGTAGTGTAGGTAGCAAAACAGATTCTAAGCCCTTGGCAACTAGCAAAAGAGTGTCCAGTGGAATAATTCTATACTCAGGCCGAGCTAAGATTAACCCCTTACGGATGTGTTCTCTAAGCCCTGCCACAAAGGCTGCAGATAGCATCTGGGTGTGTGCTTTGTTGTAAGTACTAAACCCTAAGTCTGAAAAAGTCTGAGTCAACCTAGAGTGATACTTCTCAACTGTCTCAAGTTTGTCCTGTATAATGTCATTAATGCAAGTAGCCTGATCTGCTAGTTTATCCTGTGCCCAAGCTCGAAGCTGTTCACAAAAGACTTCACCAGAACGAAAGTCAGTATCAGAAGTAAGTGGAGCGTCATTAAAACTCCGTTCCATGATTGGCCAGTATGCATCACCGGCTTTGATTTCACATAGACTAATAAGATCCCGCCAAGCAGCGGAGTACGTTTTACGGATCTGAGCCATCCGGCGGAAAAAGGGCATAGGGTGTTTTTCAGGATCGGGGAGTGAGGTCACAAGGGTAGCAGCTTGGGAAGGGTTAAAGGTAACATACATAGGCGGTGCTCCATCCGCACCATGGTTGATCGGGATGTAACCTTGAGGGATAGTGTGCTGTTGGGGGAGCCTATTCACCCCCACCTGGGGCGAATTCTGGTCAACCGCAACAACCTCTTCGGGCAACACTGGGCCACGGCGGAGGGTAGCCTCAGGGGTAGCTGTAGCGGGGACAACAGGGAGGGCTGTGGTAGGTAAGGTAACTGGGTGGAAACCCGAAGCCTGGGGGGAGGCACCCATTGCATAGGGCTGGTCAGATGTCCCAGACACCTCGGATCCAACCACCATGATTGGGTAACTTGGACTGGCGGAAGGGACACGAGGGACCAAAGCCGGGGAAGGGGCTGTCACAGGGGCCGGGTGGGTTGGGCGTGAGAGGTGTGTATTTAGGACATGTGCAAGGGCGGAGATTGGATCGGAGGGCTCGGGGACTTCGGCAGGAGACAAGGGTGGGGTCGGTTCGGGGGGAGGAGGAGGAGGAGGAAGAGGAGGTACGTCAATGGGAGGTGGTACGGGGGTCGCGGAAGTAACTAGGGAAGTAACAGCAGTGAAGAGGGCGGATATTGAGCCGGACAGGTCATTGGTCATGTGTGTGTCAGGGGTCATGGGGGAAAGGGTCGGAGGGACGGAACCAAGGGCCTGTGTCAGGGTCGGGGGGGCAGGGATGTCGGGGGGTGGTAACAGGGGAAAAGAGGCCGGGGGGATTGCGACGGGAGGTTGGGTTAGGGTGCTGAGGGCGGAGATTAGGGACGGCAAATCGGCCGCGGGAGTAGGAGGCAACAAGGCAGAGGGGGCTGGGGTTTCAGGAGGAGGTAACGCTGGAGGAGGAGTGAGAGGGGTGACGGCAATGGGTTGGGTTAGGGCGGTGAGGGCGGAGATTAGGGACGGCAAATCGGCCGCGGGAGTAGGAGGCAACAAGGCAGAGGGGGCTGGGGTTTCAGGAGGAGGTAACGCTGGAGGAGGAGTAAGAGGGTCCTTGAGGATGGGAGGGGTAACTGTGGATAGGGGGCCGGAGGTAAAGGAACCGGGACTAACGGGCTGAACAAGATTCATGAGAGCGGAGAGTAGGGACGGGGGATCTTTGGAAGATGAGGAGGAGGAGGAGAGGAGATGAGAAGGGGTGGGGGACAATGGAGGTGTAGGGCTGGGGGTCACGGGATTTCCTGAGGATACCGGGGAGGGAGAGTCGACCGGGGGACAGGGGTCCGGGGAGACAGGGTCGGTTGGGTAGATAGGAGCGGGGGGTGTAGGACGTAGGACGGACGGAGATGGAGAAGGAGCGGGGACTACTAGGGAAGGGGTACTCAAAGTGGAGAGGGACTGGGAGGAGGAGGGGGATGGAACTTCCATGGTCGAGGCGGGAATAGTCGGGGCAGTGTTCGGGGTGAGGACTGGCGCTGGGAAAGGTAACGGAGGGCATGGAGGTGGGGGGGCTCCGATGGACATGGCGGGACGATGGTTGAAAGAGGGGGTCTGGTCACAGGGGGGTTGGGGCATGGGAGTGGGTGGGAACGAGTGATGTGGCACTGGGAAATAGTAAGCTCCGTCTACACCGAGTACAGGACATAAGGGAGTGGGGGCTGTAGGCACACCCCCGGGGGGTGGGGTCTGAGCTGTGACGGGAGAAGCAGGGCGGGAATTTACTGTTGCGCTCTGGGCGCCATCATAGGGTGGTGGCCGTGGAACAATGGAAACAACATCATCATTGTGAACACTCCTATGGTAAACATGCACAATTTGTCCTTCAAATTCCAACTCTTCCTCGACCCATCCTTCCCGTTTCAAACCTCTGGCTACACGATACCAAGCCTCTGCAACCTTTGTCAGTCCGTTATCCAACAATAAACCTTCCTTATCTATGAGTAGCTTTCTCCAAAACTCCGGTTGCAATCTCCCACTGGGTAACATCTGAAAGCCACACACCTTAGCAACCTTTTTAAGTTTCATCATAGCATCTTCCCCTGCCCTTTCTTTCACAATATCACAAGCCAATAAACCTTTAGCAGGTCTAGCATGTTCCTGCCCCATCTTGACCAAACAAAACGTGCCACTCGTTAATGACAGATGGATAGAGGAGGTATAAGAAAGGAGGGGAGAAGGAGTGTCTACAGTGCTCGACTGCCACGAGAACTTGAGCCCCGTGCGTCTTCCCCAAACGTAGACTAGTCACGGAGATCCGCCCACCCGGGGTGGTGGTCACGGACGGGAGCGAATGAGCGTGGGTGACTAACACAGCTCTGGGCAACAGGCACAGGAGAGATAAAGCACAAAAGAAAAGATGAACGTGGCTGCGCTAATGAGAAGACATTTGCAAAAATCACAAACATATAAATGAGCATAGACTCCGGAGTCCAGAACTAACCACACAATACACACGCACACACCAAGGGTACCCACGCTGTAACAACAATTAAACAAGAACCACAGGATGACAGAGAGTAAAATGGCCATGTACATGTTAATGACACCAGTGCTGAATAAACGAAGTCTAGCAATCCTCAGCCTTCACCCACCAGGCTGGTCCCAGTATAACACAAGTATTAATGAGAGCACAGTAATAAACAAACAAAATCCCAGCCCCACCGGCTGTAATGCGTTCCCTGCCCGCTAGGCAGTCAAGCTAACTTAAAATCCCAGCCCCACCGGCTGTAATATCCCAGCCCCACCGGCTGTAATGCGTTCCCTGCCCGCTAGGCAGTCAAGCTAACTTAAAATCCCAGCCCCACCGGCTGTAAAATCCCAGCCCCACCGGCTGTAGTGCGTTCCCTGCCCGCTAGGCAGTCAAGCTAACTTAAAATCCCAGCCCCACCGGCTGTAAAATCCCAGCCCCACCGGCTGTAATGCGTTCCCTGCCCGCTAGGCAGTCAAGCTATCGTCTTTTAAAAAGGGGGAAAACACACACTCCGGCCGACACTCACATTCAAACAAATACAGGAGGCAGATAGACAATCGACAGGTTCACCTTAAAAGGCACACCGGATGAGTTAATTACCTGTCTCTAGTAGCCTTCTGGAAGCCGGAAGTGGACTCGGAGACAGACCGACACAAAACAGGAGAATAACACAGGCAACGGCTGTATTATGGAGGTGATCAGGCTCCGCTTGTCCCACTTTCCGGAGGTCCGCTCCGGTCCGTTGGTTCCGGCCCTCCGAACCGGCCCTCCGGTGGCCCCACGTTGGGCGCCAATTGAAATGGAAAAATCAATTAAAAGTATTGATTATTTCTTTGTGTATCTGCTCCTGGCCAAATCAATGAAACAATGCGTGCACGCTCCCTGAAGTAATTCACACCAGACACAGGTTCCAGGTTGTTGAATAACTTGAGGAATGTTTATTCAGAGGGGACGGCAAGTCCCTTTTAAAGCAAAATTACATCATAAGCATTGTCAGAGATAACAGGGAATAATACATCAATTATTGGTTAGGTGTTAAGTGGTTGCTCTAATGTTCTGCCTACTGTAGGTGATGTCACCGGGACCATGAGGGTCTCCCACGGTTTCCCGGCGCCATCTTGGTGCACGAGGTAGTTAGTCGATGTTAGGAAGGAGAAAGGGAAGGGGGGGGGGGGAAAGGAGCAAGAAGCTTCTAGCAGCCATCTTAATTATAACGTGTGTGCTTGACTATATATATATATATCGTGAAATTAGTAAATAGACATTTTTCACTAACTAGGAAATATGTGTAGACCTTATTTCCACAACAGCTGTGTGTACAAATTCAATCATATGACATGTCTGGAGAAAGCAAACATTTTGAGAGATCTAAGACCGTCGTGGCTGTTAATTAAAGTGGCATTTTTTGGTGGAATTTTTAACCAATATAGCTAAAGTGTGAAAAATTCTCGTCTTTCTTTTTCTTTTTCTTTATTATTATTTTGGCCTAAAATATAAAACAAGCGTTGAATTGCAGACAACTGCTTTAGTGAATAACTGACAAATTTAAAGCGGCTCTGTCACTTTCTAGGGTCTTTGCATACTTTGTAAAGACTCCCGATGATGACGTTGCCGCTTACAGTGCGGTTGCCTGGTGATGCAGGGAAAGGTAAAATTTTCTTGTCTAAATCTGTCCCTCACGGCAGCTTCTTTGTCCGAGCCGCAATGTTCTTATTCAGCTCCTGGCACTTCATCTGCCAGGAGCCCACATCAGTGTTGGACTCTCGCGCACGAGTGCATCACTAATGACTATGGAGGATCCCACAAGACTGTCCATAGGCAATGCCTTTTTTCTCACAGCTGTCACTAACTGGGGGAAATGACAACACTCGATGGTGGTAACTCCACTGTTTTTGTCAAGTTTTGTCAGTTGTAGGAAAAACTGAATAATACAAAGTATTCCCTACTTTGTTTTATGATATCTTTAGACAGCATTGGAATTTCATTAAAATGTGAGTATTTCATAAAGATTTTATCTTCATGAAATTCTATTTTTTTGGGGGTGTGCAACAAAGCTTTAAATAACCATAACCATGGCAGATCTTTTAATTAACCAACATTTTAACGAATATAACGTCTAAAAGGTAAAAGTTTATTTAATTTTTTTCTGGAGACTCATTTTAGACCCAGTATTTTAGTTATTCATTTTTAAAGTTGTAGTCATCATGACAAGTCTGCTTTAAAGAAGAATATTGCATAGATATACATACATTTTCTTCTATAAGTTATGGAAGTTTCATTTTATTATTTCTGTTACAGTAAGCTGTAGCCTAACGTATTGCTGATTGTAGTGGTTCTCCTGTACATATGCCTGACCATTTTCCACAGGACAGTGTTTAATGTGGGCTCTCTGCCTTATCTTGCAGTTTGAGAATATGGATGGCTCTCTGCTGCAATGCCTTTTGTCTCTGCTCAGCTGTCTCAACAATCTCTTCCTCTTGCTTAAGGTTAATCTCCTTTTTCTTGCTTTCTCCATCTCTCCATTTTTTCACCCTTCTCATACTCCTATTTTCCTTTTTATTTCTTCCCCTGTCTCTTTGAGAGAATCACATAATAATATTAAGGGTTGCTTTAAAGGTAAGTGTATTTACAGAGCGTTGGTAGTCCTACTTACATTAAGAATTCATCCAGACAGCCTGCTTGCTTTATCGGCGTAACCATCTCTCAATCAGCATGGTCTCTCTGGACTTCCATATATGTCTGTCAGTTTTCAGAAACCATGTATTTCGGAGATCCAGTGATCCATATCTACTGTCTATTTCATCTTATGTATACAAACCATTGTGTATTTTTTAAGGAAAGTGTCTGTTTTCAGGTGTCTTGATGAATGTCATCTCAGTGTTTTATTTTTTTAGTATGCAGAAGTTGTGTGTGTAAATGCTGTCAAAAAGTTATTTTACATCTCAATATTATTCAATGAAAGGTTTGGGACGAGATAAATCATATAGCTTATTTCAGAGATCAAAGGGAAAAACTTTAATTAGGGAGACATCGTAATATAGATGTGATTTCTGGAAAATATTAAAGTGAGGCTCTAAGTACCAAAACAACTTTAGTTTAATGAAGCAATTTTGGTGTATATATCATGCCCCTACAGTCTCACCGCTCATAAAGCATTTAATAAATACTTTCCTGTGGAGGATCTAAGAATCTGGACTTCCTTAATGCAAAGTGTGAGGATGTCCAGCGTCGTTTAACAGAGTCAAACTCTATGAAACAGCAGGAAGTGCCTCTAGTGGCTGTCTGGTAGACACTGGTAGACAGCCACTAGAGGCAATCTTAACCTGTCAATATAAATATTGCAGTTCCTCTGAAACTGCCATGTTTTAGATTGCAGAGTTAAGGGGACAGGGGCACTGCACCCATACTACTTCAATGAAAGCAAGTTATCTGGGAGCATATAGTGTCTCTTTCTGCTGATGCCTATACCTATTATGCTGAGAGTATCATAATTCCACCTGGTTAGTCATGTTCACTATACCTTCTTGATCGTGGAAGCCTGGTACATTACATCTGTTTGGTCACGATAATAACCTGGTACACTATGCTTGCTTGTTCACTGTAATAAAACATACCTGCTTATGTGATAATGTTTTGCACTTATATCTGGTTGGTGACAGTGATAACATCAATCACTTTGGTTGGTAGGTTGTTTTTTTGTTTTGTGTTTTTTATTTAGGTAGTCCATATTGACCAAAATGACACTGCATATTAAGTTAACAAACTTTGAATATTTTTGGTTTTCCACAAAAGCCGTTGGGGGAAAAAGTTATGTAAATAACCCTCTCCCCTGGGTTGTGCAAATTTTTCTCTAAGTCTAAATGGGGGTCCCAATGACCAAACCATCATGCGGAACTTTAGCCCACAACTGTATACAGCAAGAACAAAGCCTTTCAACCAAACAGCAAACACTATATACTGGCATTGATGTGGTAGGGAAATGTTAGTAGGGAGTCATAATTCAATACTGGTCAAACATTTGTCTTTAACTCTTTCCTTAATATATGGCCTTGCTAAACCCATAATTCTTTTCATTTTGTTAGCAGATCCTTTTTCACCATATGTGTTTGCCATCCCCGATCACAGCCTCTCATTGCATTAGGTTGCATGGAGCCCCCTGTCTTCTCATGGGCAAAACACTCTGTCTTGCTATAATGTGTTTCCTCTCTCTCATGATCAGGACCTAAGGGAAGCCTATAACAAGGAGCAGACGGCTCTTCAACAACTTCAGAAAATCAAGCAGGAAAAAGCAAGGGATATTCAGCGCAAACAAGAGGAGCTTGCACGGATGAAAAAGGAAGAAGAGGAAGCTGCAAGGTAACACTGCAGTGATAAGATGTATATTCTCTCTCTCCATAGTGCATATAGACAACCTTCATGTCTACAGTTGGACTTTGGGAAGTCTCCTTTAGATAACAGAAACCCAGATAAATTATGTTTTCAGAACTATCCAAGAATTAAAAAGCATTCTACATTGAACACATAATTATATTTACTATTCTGATTCCAACCTTTACCTTTGAAAAAAAAAAAAAAAGTTAATTTCATCTTAATGTGCTCACAGTCTACAGTAATACATTACTTATGGGTTATTCCTTAACCTAACTGGAGAGGTAGAGCAATCCGAGATTGACTTTAAACACTTTGTCCTGCCTGCTCCTTCCAATGGGCATTCCTCAGTCATGGTTCTGCCTTTTTTGGAGATGCATTCCATCTGAAGCTTGGCTGTACATCAGGAGACTATATCCGTGGGCAGTCTTCGAGTCAGTTGAAAATACACTGATCAGCCATAACATTAAAACAAAGTTGAAGAGAATGACGTTGACTATATCGTTACAATGGCACCTTTTGAGGGGTGGGATATATTAGGCAGCTAGTGAACAGTCCATTTTTGAATTTCATGTGTTGGAAACAGGAAAAATGGGCAAACAAAAAGGTCTTAGTGACTTTGACAAGGCCAAATAGAGATGGTTAGATAACTGGGTCAGAGCATCTCCAAAACAGCAGGTCTTGTGGTATGTTCCCAATACCCTGTGGTTAGTACCTACCTAAAGTGTTTAAAATTGCTCAAGTGCTCTGAAAAACATAATTATAGCCATGATAGAAAGGTTTCACAACACACTTTGCATTGCAGTTTGCTGCAAATGGGGCTGCGTAGCCACAGACCAGTCAGTGTCCACGATGACCCCTGTCTACTGCCGAAAGTGCTTTCAGTGGGGATATGCTGGACCATGGAGCAAAGGAAGAAGGCTGCCTGCTCTGATGAATCACAATTTTTATTTTTTTGATGCACTATGGGAAGAAGGCAGGCCAGCGGAGGCAGTGTTATGCTCTGGGGAATGTTCTGCTGGAAACTTTGGGTCCTGACATTCATGTGCCTGTTACTTTGACACACACCATCTACCTAGAGATTGTTGCAGATCATGTACACCCTTCATGGTAATGGTGTTCCCTGATGGCGTTGGCCTCTTTCAGAAGGATAATGTAACCTCCAACACTGCAAACATTGTTCAGGAATGCTTAGAGGAACATGACAAAGAGCTTAAGGTGTTTCCTTGGCTTCCAAAATCCCCAGATCTCAGCCCGATTTAATTTGTGCTGAAACAACAAATCTGACCCATGGAAGCCCCACCTTGCAGGCAGGACTTAAAGGATCTGCTGTTAATGTCTTGGTTCCCGAGAACACAGGACATGTTCAAAACTGTTTTGGGCAGCACAAGGGGGACCTACTTGATATTAGGCAGGTGGGTGCTGCAGTCACGTGGCCGGGTTTGCTCTGTTACTGCAGAAGGAAGAGCTTCAGTATTACAGCCACTGGATGTGTGTTTATCCCTGCAATGTTAGTATTACCGTTTCTCCACATTTTACGTTGCAGAGTTAAGTCTACAGGACAACTTCACCCAGGCCCCTTCATTCAGTTACAGTGGTCTGGGTGACATTAGTAGTGATTTAATGGAACAGTGCACACACAAAAAAATACTAATTTAAAAATTACCAAGCTACTTAAAATCCGCTGTCTTCACGCAAATATGGGTATTCTCATAATTGTTTTCGGAGATGAGTGTTTTTAAGTAGTAGTAGTATACTATAACATATTTATGAAAAAAACAAACAAAAAAGCAAGGCAGGTTAGTACATAGTAATTTGTACAGTATACATTACGAACTACAAATTGTGTTACTAGGTTATACCATCAATGTGCTTAATGTAGCAATACAGAGAACAAAAGATTGCCAGACGTAATAACTTTAAAATCCAGGGCATAGGGTCATAAGGATCGAACAGCAATAGTTTGAAATGATATGCATTCTAAAAAAAAGAGTAACACAACATAGGGAAGGTCCCAACTCAGGATGGTGTCATTTCATTAGAGCGCTGGCCAGCCCTTGGCCTTATATCTTTTGGCTTCTATTAAGCAAATATTCATAGCGGCCTCTTGGTCTATCATTTGTGTTTTTTGTGTCCATTGACTTTCCATTCGCCATACTGACCCTTTTTAGCGTGACCGGGTATACCTTATCCAATAGATACTTGTATACAGTAACCACATTAAGATGAGAAATTTATACTTGCTGATATTTAAATATTTTAATCTCTGTGATCACGGTTCTCAAGACCTCTCCTTTTCCTTTCTGGTGATGGTGCCTGCTGGCCTCTTTCTTTCTCGATTTAATTTTTTCAACTTTTTTTTGCAGATTTATTTATTTCTTTATGCTTCTCTTTCTTGCTGGGTTTCTTCATCTCTGCTTAACTAAACCACTAACTGGGGAATTTCATGTGGGAGTAGGTGTCTACAAGACTACTTGGGATTGGTTGCACCTCTCCTGTTGGAGGAGGCAGTATTGCTTTACTAATGTATTATTGTAGACCATGACCACAGATATAACAATGAACCTATTGGTAAGCATAAATGTGTCCGAAATGCTTCCTTCCAGTATTTTATTATTACACGTTCCAAATAGGTTTTGTTAATCGGCACAATTGTATTCAGTCTCGTGGCTCTGTAGCAGTATAGCTTGGTTTCTCCCTTAGAACCATAGTTCCTATCGATTGTCTTGTCTTCGAATTAGGAAGCCTCATGTCCAGGGTTAGCAAAATCTTCTATTCTCAAATATAAAGAAAGTCCTCTTGCCCTGAATGTTCTTGTACTCTTAACAATGTGATGTTTTATTTGTTTCTTTTTTGCAGGAGAGCCAAGCAAGAGAAAGAAAACCAATGGAAGGAAAAAGTCAAAAGAGAAGAGGAGGAGAAACTAAAACGTCTGGAAGAAGATCGGAAACAAGAACAGATACTCCAGGAACGACAGAAAGCTGAAGAGGAAGCAGCAGCTAAGCTCAGGGAAAAAGAATCACAGCAGAGGAAACTGGCAGAGGAAGAGGAGAAGAGGAGGACAGCAGCTAAGCTCAGGGAAAAAGAAGCACAGCAGAGGAAGCTGGTGGAGGAAGAGGAGACGAGGAGGGCAGCAGAGATACAAAGGGAAGCCGAGAGAGAGAAACAGGAAGAGGAAAAGCGCAAGCAAGCTCTGCTGAAGAAAGAAGCAGAAGAGAAAAATAAGGCACAGGAGGAAGAGAAAAGACGTAAAGACAGCAGTGCACGCAAAGATTCAGAAACCCGCTTTTCCAAGCTTAATCTGGATGAAAAGTTTACTGAAAAATTAAAATTTATTGGCGCAAGAAGTTTCAGCTCAGAAAGAGATAAAGATGGTAAATCTTTTATTTCATATCCTTTCTTTTTTTTTTTTTCTCCGTTTACATTTGTTTACATAGTTTTTTTATTTGCACTGTAGGTACATAAATAATAGTTTTTGTCCTTCACAGTGAGCACCAGCGAGCGCAGAAAATCAGCCGCTTTTGTAAACTACACAGCCCTGTACCAGTTCGAAGCAAGAAATGCAGATGAACTAAGCTTTAATGCTGGGGACCTTCTCCAGGTAAGACTTCTTTGCATGTAAAAAAAAAAAAAATGACGCAAGAAGGAAACAAGAGAATGAGTTTCTGTGTGCTTGTCTTGGGACTTCTTAAATACCTTGGCAAACTGCTTCTTTATTTAAAGAAACCTTCACCAGGACAAACCTTCAAAATCCCATAAACCTTGTGATTACAGCCATAATAAATATATATATATATAGTTCAATTAGAGTTTGTAGCCGTATTAGTCCAGCGATGCAGATCTAAAAAAACAGATACATTTTGTATCTTGTAATACCTTATTTTATTGGACGAACAGACTTTTTTAATGCCAAGCTTTTCGGGAGAACCTCCCTTTCTCAAGTCTGAAGCATTTCTGTAGATGGTTGATACAATATATATATATCAGCCATCTACACATACGAAAAAGTTTTTAAATCCTTGTTTTTTTTTGTTTTGTTTTTTAAAGTACTTACGTTATTGTAAATAGGCACATTTTCAATAGATTTTTCACTGTGAACCAAAAGCCAATTCAACAATGAGACCGAAAAAGTGAGATTATATAGATGTAAATAAGTGTTTGAATCTTAAAGCTGCAAATATATAGCGTTAGTCCATTACAAGGCATGCTCATTCAAACATTGAAAAATGTAGATTTACATTAGAAGCCATGCTGTTTAAACATCTTATAGTATATTATGCTGGAATCTGTTTTTATTCTTTTCATAATGCTATCTGTGCATAATGCTAGCCAAATGGCTGTCTAGGTTTGCCGATATAGTGACAGAACGTAGGTAGCTGCCATCTCGTTTCAGGCCTCGTCATGCTGGGTGCTGTCCCCAAAGCACAGTGTTCCTCAGCTGATCAAAGCGGGTGTTTAGTGAGACTGAAATGTCTTGCAGCTAGCATGGGTCCCTATTTCTGGTTACATATTTACTACATCTGTACATCTATAACTTTTCAAGTAAGATGATATCATAAATGTTTTTTTGTTTTCTTTTATATCCTAGGTTGATGAGAAGAATGCAGGAGAGCCAGGCTGGCTCTATGGCTGTCTGAAAGGAAATGTCGGCTGGTTCCCATCCAACTATGCGGAAAAAATACTGGAGACTGAGAGAGCTTTATCCCCCAAGAAAGCCTTAATGCCCCCCACTATCTCTGTGTCAGCTACCTCAAACCCTGCCAAGTAAGATAATTCACTCGTCGGAGATAAGCTACCCATTGTCTCACTGTTGCTCCGTTGGCCTTCTAATATATCTCTTTAAGATCTCCATAAGTGACCCTGTCACACTGAGACACCATGCTCATGTGGCAAAATCCTTATACCTACACAACTGCTTTTAGCAATGATGCTGCACCAGATCTTTCCAAGTCAATGAACGCATCTTGATGAGTTTCATATTGTTTTTTGTTTTGTTTGTTTTCCTCTCTTTAAATGTTTAATGAGCAGGCATTGTGACTATGCAAGCATACTGTAAATTTTACCAAACTTATCTTTACATTATTCAGTAATTCGTTTAACTTTTTTTGTGTGTGTGTAATGTTTTAGACCACTTGCATCAAGTCTAACCACAGAGGTGGACACAGAGTATCAAAACCTCCCTTTCTCAAGCCTTAACTTGAACACAACCTGGCAGAAAACGTCTGCATTTACCCGGACCGTATCCCCAGGGTCCGTCTCTCCCATCCATGGGCAGGTATGCTGCACACACTCTGTAAATGGACAAATATTGGCGTTGTGGTGCCATATAATGTGCTGCATGTGTGAAACATCTGCAGGGATTCGGACAGAAGCATAGTATGTAGATGTATGTGTGCGTATATTTATATATATCAGCAGATGTGGTAGCATCACAGTTAGACCACCTCACCAGTAAATGTCCCTGGGCAAGACACCTTGTGAAATAAAGATATATATCTTCCTTCCTCAAGAATCCTCGTAGATTGTAGGCTTGTTTGAGCAAGACCTTCCTCACCTCTTATATTTAATATTTTGTATGCCAAGTAATTGTTAAATATCCCTTTTCTATAATTGTAAGCTTCTGTGGAACATGTCCCTATATAAATGCTGGTGATAATAATATATGTTTGTGTGAATGGGGGACCAGGGAGTGATATGGATCAAGTCCTTTGGTACTACATCTTATTATATTAACTTTAAAAACAATTAACTGAAATTGCATACATTTATTGTGCCAGTTTAATGTTCTATTATTCATAATTAATCAAAAATTGGGTGAAGCACTGTTGTCTGATAAATATGCTTAATTACAATTTTAAAGAATTGCAGAAACCTGAAACGCAATACAAGATGCTTTATAGGACACATGTATGTATCCAGTGGGCATAATATGTGACTGAGCACCATTGAAACAAACCTATGAAAGGAGTTTAAAAAAATAAAAAATCTTTAATTGTGCATTCTCAAATCTTATTCATTTTTGGTTCTCCTTAATAGGGTCAGCCGGTGGAAAACATAAAAGCGCAAGCACTGTGCTCATGGACTGCAAAAAAGGATAACCACTTGAATTTCTCCAAGAACGACACCATTGTTGTGTTGGAACAGCAAGAAAACTGGTGGTTTGGGGAGGTTCGTGGGCAAAAGGGTTGGTTCCCAAAATCCTACGTAAAGATAATTCCTGGAGTGGAGAATAAATCCCCAGAGTGAGTAGTGACGTAAAAATGTGACATTTGCTCTCACTGCAGTAAAGGAGGTTAACAATTGTTTGGTAATATTACCCAGGGAGACTTGCTCTTGTCAGACTGTGTCCCGGTTGGTGGTTCCATCCATTTATGTATTGTCACCTAGACTTTAATTTTTAAATACGTAGCTGCAAGCTGTCTGCTTCCTGTAGGCTTGTTTTAATATGTAGAAAAGGCCCTAGAGGGTCCTGGTTGGACAGTGAATTGCTAGAAATGGGGGCTGTGCTCTGCTTTCTGTACAGGGTTCGAGGTGAGTGCCTTGTTATCCTGTCCACACCCTATATAGATCTGCTCCATTTCACTTTCAAGCCCCTGTATCTCCCATTATGTTATTTAAAAATATACAGAATAAATTTGACATGTCTGAAGTTTTTTTCTAAACTTTTGTCCACCACCCCAATTTTCAGATTTTATGTTAATTTCATTGTTTATTTTTAGACATACACTGGTATATTGTCTAAACTTGGAAATCTGGAGAACTGATCCCTTTAAGGCCAAAATAGCTCATTTTGAAAAAAATATTCCAAATCTGCAAAATTTCTAAATAAACTACTTTGGACTCAAATGCACAATTCCCTTGTCGATTTGCACAATGCTTCTGACTCTCCAAACTGTCTACAATTCCCATAATTTGTTTCCAAGCAGAGAATTTTGTGAAGTGTATTCTGCTGCAGAGTCAAGGCTGGTTACCTCTGGCTTACCACATGTATCGCTATAATGCACAATAAATAGGTTTCATTTTCATGTTGATGTGCATCATGTGTGTTTAAAAGTTTTTGTTCTTAGTCGACGTTCCTAGTAATGAATAAATATTAATGTTGTAATTTGTACATGGATTCCCAACACTAAGCATTTCTGTATAACACATTAGTTATATGGTTATGGTTGTTTGTAGCACACCTCTAAGGACCATAAATGTGAAGCTCCTTGACTGACCCCACAGTGCTCTTTATAACCTGTTTAAACAGAATTCAAATACATAGAGTGAGCACACAGTTCCACATGTATTGGAAGATTCTCATGTTTGCATATTAAATGTTTTTAGCATGTAAACTTCTTGTAACACACAGACCAGAACCTCTGTATGCTGCTGTGAAGAAAAAGAAGCCAGTGACTCCTTCTCATCCATCTGGTGAAGGTATTGATGCATGTTGCATGGGAAATTGGCAGGACATGGTTCCTTGGTTTTGATAGGCATGTCACATCGGGACCCTGGGTTTTAATAGGCCTGCCTTCAGGCCCTGGCTTTGATAGGCATGTCACATCGGGACCCTGGGTTTTAATATGCCTGTCGTCAGGCCCTGGCTTTGATAGGCATGTCACATCGGGACCCTGGGTCTTAATAGGCCTGCTGTCAGGCCCTGGCTTTGAAAGGCATGTCACATCGGCACTCTGGGTCTTAATAGGCCTGCCGATAGGCCTGTCACATCGGGACCCTGGGTTTTAATAGGCCTGCCGTCAGACCCTGGCTTTGATAGGCATGTCACATCGGGACCCTGAGTTTCAATAGGCCTGCCGTCAGGCCCTTGCTTTGATAGGCATGTCACATCGGGACCCTGGGTTTTAATAGGCATGTCACATCAGGACCCCGGGTCTTAATAGGACTGCCGTCAGGCCCTGGCTTTGATAGGCATGTCACATCGGAACTTTGGGTCTTAATAGGCCTGCCGTTAGGCCCTGGCTTTGATAGGCATGTCACATCGGGACCCTGGGTTTTAATAGGCCTGCCGTCAGACCCTGGCTTTGATAGGCATGTCACATTGGGACCCTGGGTTTTAATAGGCCTGTCGTCAGGCCTTGGCTTTGATAGGCATGCCATTGGAAGCTGGCTTAGATTCCCAGAGTAGTAGCTATATCTTGAAGTACAACTGATGTGATTCTCACACAGCCTTTGGCGTTAGAAAGGTTGTCTGGAAATTCTTAAATGTAAAGATAACCTCATGAAACAAACAACATATAGACTTAATGCTTTGTCGGCGGTATCCTTCTGCCACTTGTTCAATGTTCAATATCATGGATGAATAAAGCAAGAAAACCTTTTAAACATTTTGTAATTAATATAGTCAGATTGCATTATCAGGTACACCTCTCAACTAGGGGAGATCAAAAGTCCGACCCCCTTACCAAACCAGCTTCATTTTAATCTATTAATCACAGAACCAGGGAAACATTGTGCAGAAGCAGGAGAGAGAAATCCGAGACCGTAGCCTGCTCTGCACAACCATACTGATTTGACTCCCTCTCTGCCCTCAATGTCAGAATGTTGCAAGTTGCAGAGATTCTTTCAGCTGCACTTTTTCAGGATTCCTAGGGATAGAATACTGATTGGTTAGAGTTGTTGTGGTAAGCCTAAGAAAGAAGAAGTAGGTAGAATTTGTTTTTCAGCCTGCAGAGTGTGGTAGCTGTCTAATTTCAAAGGTAAAACTTTTGAATGAGACCTTTGTCTCAAAGTGATGAACGTCCCTTTAGGTACACTAAGTGCAATTTTGTTCTTTAAAAAAAAAAAACACATTGTTTTAGTTAGTCAATTTCACCTATAGACTGCTTTCCTCCTGTTATAGAATATGTGGCCATCTACCATTATACAAGCACTGAGCCTGGAGATCTGATCTTTAATGAAGGAGATATCATCCGAGTCACTCACAAGGATGGTGACTGGTGGACGGGAGTCATTGATGAAAGGACTGGTATCTTTCCTTCAAACTATGTCCGTCCTCGTGATCAAGAGGTGAATTTAATGTATTTTGAAATTAAAACATGTCTTTGTTGCATTTACCTTGTACAGGGGTCTAGTCTTACTAGAGACTTATAAGTGACACCGCATTCAACCAAATAATTTTTTGATATATTAAACTTTGTTATTCATGAAAACTTAATTAATACGCTGGTTCTCCGTCGTTTTTTTTCTGGGTCTGTCTTCTGTATGTTTTAATGTCGAGGGATTTGTTTTGATTGAAAAACACCCCTTTTGTAAGCAAATCCAATATTAAAGTACTTTAAATTGTAGAGGAAGACAGAAATGAATATGTCCGATTGCTTTTTCATGCACAATAGATCTTGTATTGATTATATAGTGATTTGTGGTTAGTGATGCCTCCTAAATGGACTACCATCTTTACTAAAGATTTGTTTTTTCTGCAAAATTTAAATGTCAGAATCCCATTTTTTGAGGATTTTTTTATGCCCCAATATCCGCAAAACATTTCATCATGTAAGTGGCATATTGTTGTGTCATTTGCCTAAAGGCTGGTGAACTTGTTCAGAAAAAAATATTAACATTAATTGTATTATTATTAATTACAAACCTAATGATCTAACGTATAATATGATACATTTTCACATAGTCTGCATTTCTCCTATGGGCTTAGTAGCTAAGACACAACGAAATAATCACCTTCCGGGAACATTTGTAATATAATGCTGTTAATCTTTTTCAGGGGTCCAGTGTCGCTGCTGGCAAAGCTGGAACATTAACCAAAAAGCCTGGTCTGTATACATACAGCTTATAATTTCTAATTAAAATGTCATTGTTAATGCACAGGTGTATTGCGTATGCTGTATGTATTGCTTTACTAAACATGGATGTGCTTGTTTTACATAAAAAATCCTATTTATAGAAGAGTTAGTCTATGGCAAAGAGTGGAGCAGTCAGCAGGAACGTTCCATTGGTTTCCATGGTGACCACTCCGCTTTCAGAACTTTGCCCCAGAATTCTTTAATAGAAGTATCATCTAGGGCAGGGATAGGCAAGCTTCGGCACCCCAGATGTTGTGGACTACATCCCCCCATAATGCTCTTACACCCATAATTCTGGCAAAGCATCATGGGAGGTGTAGTACAAAACATCCGGAGTGCTGAAGGTTGCCTATGCCTGATCTAGGAGATGTTTGTTATTTCCAAAGCTAAACATAACCATCTTTGTCTCTGTTCTTTTGTTTCCTTATTTTTGTACAAATATATCTTCAGTTATGGATACATTATTTTACCAGGAAGGAAGACTTCTAAAATACAATTGTGCAGTTACACGTTACAGATATACTTTACAATTAAACATTAATAAGAGTGCAGTAGCTATTTTGTTTGAAGTATGTCGATACCGGTGTTTTCAGTGCTTCATACTGGTAGAGAAAAAGAAGGATCAAGTACACTTGAAGTCCTAAGACATGGATTTATTGGATAATCAGGCAGGCCTGATTTTCCAATACATCTGTATCTGGGGAGTTTAATGTGTGCCAGATCCTTCTTTTCATTCTGAAGCCCCAAAAACCATTTAGGATTCATCCCAGCTTCCTGTTTATTGCAGCAGAAACTGACCTTTAAGGTTGGCTAGTTGTTCCAAGTATATTTATTGGTTTGGTCACTAATGTGTGCATACCAACACCTGTATTAATCCCTTCTTTTTCCTGCCACAGAGATTGCCCAGGTAACCACAGCTTACACTGCGACCGGCTCAGAGCAACTTAGTTTGGCTCCTGGCCAGCTGATCCTTATTCTGAAGAAAAATGCTTCAGGCTGGTGGCAAGGGGAACTGCAGGTAATATACCCGAATTTTTATAATCACAAATTTACAAGAGGAAGTGATGCTATGGAGAACATTTTTAGTTGAACCATAATTATTCATCTCCGTTGTGCAATTTACAATGTCAGGGCAGAGGTCCGTGCGTATATCTATTGTACTTGTTAGAAATACCTAGGGCTTGAGCCACATCCAGAGCTTCAGCTACCAAAGCCCAACCCTAGCAATTCCTATGGATCCATAAACTTAAAACAAACCTCACGTATTAGAAGGTTACAACCCACCATGGAACTTATATATTATATAATTCATGTATGAGTAGATAAAGAGCAGGATTTATACAGACCCCATCTGGGATGTCACTATATTATTTATGTCCATGGATTTCAGATATTACATCAATACAAAGGTCTACATTCTATACATTTTTTTATGGTTTACCTTCCATGAGGGGTAAACTTATGAAAACTTACCATTCCTCATTGTGTGATGATGGTCATCTTCCGCTACCCATAAAGAGAAGAAAATATAAACTATACATAATGATGCCAAACAAATCTGTAGTTTTTAATCTAAAACTCATTAATGTTTATCCCTTTTGGTTCCTCTCTATCAATTCTCACCATAGACCTCTAAGAAGAATAAATCTATACCAACAATTAAATGACTAAATAGAGCAGCAGAGCCCTCCTACAGGTGGTTCTCCTGCTCTGTCACAGTGCTGCTCCCCCCCACTAGACTCGTCTCCTCTGACACTCAGGTGCTGGCAATGAAGCTATCATATCAGCATCAGTATGGAGCTTTGCTCAGCAGTGTTTTATGGGATTTGCAGTTCATTACTCTCAAGTAGTTTTAGTTATGAATGAAGCCATTTGCTTCCACAAATGTAGATGCTGTATATGAAAAGAGCATAGCTTCCCCTGGTGTGCCACATGATTGCACTTTTTTATTTTTTATTATTTACATAATTATCATAATAAAGCGAGACCAAGAGAAGATAGGCTATAAATGCAACACAAAAAGTAAATTTAGCTTATGGGATGGTTGGTATTGTACAGTGATATTGGGTAATCTAGAAATGTGTGTAATATGTCCTTACGGACCCACTGAATGTCTGTTTCAGGCACGAGGGAAGAAACGGCAGAAGGGATGGTTCCCAGCAACCCACGTAAAGCTTTTAGGACCAACCAATGACAAAGCAACTCCTGCATTTGTACCAGGTATGTTAATGTTTGTTTTATTATTATTATCAGTTATAAATCACCAACAAATCCTGCAGTGTTTGATATTTGGAAAAAAAAAAAAAATTGTACAATTCACAAACCGATACAAAAACACGGCCGAGAGGGTGCAAGAGTTTTCTTTAATAAGTTTGAAGCCGTACTCGGGTTGGGTGTAAAAGGTTAGGCATTTTCAAACGTAACCAGTCATGCCACGTCACGATGGACACAGCAGTTCTAGAAAGAGGATTGTTCTCTAACATAATGTCAACCTCAGTTCTATTGAGTCAGAGACCATGTTGGGGCAACAAGAAAAAATTTCAGGCTGCTGTGGAAGGCTGACATGATAAGTTAAAGTTTGTTAATTGTGGGGCTGTGGCTCACAATGTCTGAGAGACTTGGCTGAGCATGTGGACGTGATCCAGTTTGCCACAGCTAAAACATTGTACATCTTTAAATCTGCAGGTTGTAGCTGTATGAATAATCCTACCGTAGGAAACAAGTGGAGTTTTTAGAAGGCCTGGGTGGGTCAAAAGTAGTCGGCAACACCTCCTCCTCCTTAACGGCAGCAGTTGTGGGTTTAGAATGAACATGCAATAGATGAGACTCCTTGGCAGCAAGGTCTGTGGAATAAGGCCATCCTCTGTCAGCAACCACTTCTGAATCATGGCATCATAGAGGCCCATTACAAACAGGTCACGGAGGGCAACAGACATATAGTCCCAAAGTGACAGGTGCTGGCAAGTTTACGCAGGGCAAAGGAATAAGCTCTCACATGTTCATCAGGTAATTGGCATCTGCATTCAAATGTGAATCTCTCCTCAATTTCCAGTGGCTTGGGTTGGTAATGATCTGTAAGTGTATCAATTAACTAATCAATTAGTTTAGTAGCAGGCTTTTCGGAAAACAGCCGGTCCCTCAGAGTGCCATATGCAGATTGACCCAGGGTACTCAGGAAAACCATAACCTTTTTGTCAGGGGTCAACAATATTAGCTTCTAAAACTGTCCTGAGCGCATCACCCTGGCAGGCTAGGAGCCTAAATCTGAACAGAAGGGTTTCAGCATTCTAATCTAAACCATGATGCCAAATTTTCTTACAACTAGCAGGTGTGCAGCAAAACTAAAACTAAAAGCAAAATCCTTGTTGCCACTGTTATGTCTGATAATTGCTGGGTTACGAATACAGTCTCTTAATCAGCATGTATTTATAACTCACACACAATGCATGATAAATTTCTTATGCTGGAATACACATCCCCGCTGCACCATCTAACATGGCTTGAACCCAAATATGAACTGGGGAGAGAGAGAAGATTACTACAGGTTCCCCCCCCAATGGTTATTTAGCGCCCCCACCCACCGCTCAGGGGTGGGGGCCAGGGGATGGGCAAAATATCCCCCATCAGTTTACTAGCCCCCACTCAGGAGGGGCGCAACTAGGGGTTTTGGGGGGTTTCCTTTTGTAACATTGAGCCACTGGCTGCTCATAGTTTACTAGACATGCCCCTACTCGCAGTATAGCTAGTAGGGGCAGAATTTACTAATACTAAGTAATCTTTAATTAGGATTCGTAAATTTGGCTGAAAGACCAATTTAGGTCTTTCAGCCATTTGATAGATAGTTCCCTGATACCGTTGGAATTAGTTATCTACTACCCTCACGAATAGGATTGGTGTTTCATTTATTAGAATGAAATTCCGATCCGAACAAAGTCCCGAATTGCGTCCTAACATGAATGAACAAACTGTTGTCATTCTGTAAGGGCGGAATTCGGTAGTTTCACCAGCATTCTGTCTAAATGACAGGAAGCATTTCGAGATCACGGATCAAAGGTGAGATTTGTGGGAAAATTGCTTTGATAACCTGAAACGAAGCACACTTTGCTCCTTCTCTGGTTATAGCTGTTCATGGCGTAGGAAACCTCCATAAGACAAAGTAGTCCCTACTTTGTCTTATGTTTTAAAGAAAACTAGAGCAGACAGAAAGAAATGAAGAACAGATCCTGGCAGGGCGAGAGAAGAGGAATCGATTAAAGAAAGGTAAGTTCAGCATGACAGTGCCGCTTTAGTTTACAAAAAGATTAGAATATAAAAATCTCACTGTTGGGATTTATTTTCTAATCTATTTGTAACATATCAATGCACATGTATTTAGGATGGGCACTTCCTTACTATGTGTTTGGCCTATTGGACTGTCATTTTTTCCACCTAGAGATTCTGATTTTTTTTATTTGAGGGCTCACTTGTGCCCTTAAGTTGCTGGTGTTCTCAACAATATAAATATTTTTTTTTCTTAGGGCGAGGGAAACTCTAACTGAGCGCTTTTCTCCTCTTTGGAGAAGATTACCTTTGACAACCTGTCCCTGTAGGATGCAGGTAATCACCAGTACAAATGGTGGTCACCTGCATCACTGTCCACTAGGACTGCATTTTATTAATGGGTATGGGTTGCTTAAATAGTTACTGTTTACACCTCTGTTTATCTTAGAGGGGCCTCACAGTCCTCTTCTGAAAGAAGGGACCTCTAATTTACAAGTGAGTTTAATAAATATTTTAAAACGACTTTTCTACTCATCACTGCACAGTAGAAAAATCACATTATCAGTAGGCGTTTAAAGCTTTGACTAATAACAAAAAGGAATATCTGTAATTCTGTGCACAGGTGTCAATTTACCATTTGGTCCTTTCTCTCTTGCACAGTGTGTCAAGTTATTGCAATGTATGACTATGTCGCAAATAACGAGGATGAACTGAACTTTAGTAAAGGCCAACTGATCAATGTCGTAAATAAGGATGATGCAGATTGGTGGCAAGGAGAAATCAACGGGGTGACCGGCCTTTTCCCTTCCAACTACATCAAGATGACCACTGAATGTGACCCCAGTCAGCAGTGTAAGTACATCCATCTAACTGACTAGCTCACTTTAGAAATGTTGGAGGCAGGTGCTGGTTGTTGCTACCAAAAGTATTATTTTCTTTCTGTGTTTGTCTATTTTTAAAATATCTCAAAGCCTAAAGTTGTTTATGTCAGGCTGTCTGAGCGATTTTGGAAATCTCACACATCTATAGTGCCAGGGTTAGCCAACATTGATCTAGGTTATTCTGATCTAAGTTATTACAAATAAGCTTTCCATAAAATGTTTTTCACATTCTCATTAACTTGCTTTGGGCAGAGGTAAGTAATGAAGTTTGATCTGCCATACAAGGTTTACGTGGCATCACCATGCATCAATTAATTTCCAAAAATACGGTGCTTTCACCTTATGGGATGTTTGCATATTTTGGAAAGATCTTCAATGGTGACATTGCCATTTGGGTGGGGTGGCCCATGGGTGCAGTCATGGTAAATTATACTTACCTGATGCTCGTAGGCCCCTCCATCTTCTATTGTCGACTCCTGGTGCTTCATCCTCCAGAAATCCACATCTGTGCTGCACAAGAGTAAAATACTAATGTCTATGGTCCAGCAAGACCATGGGAGCCTCCATTATCACGATAAGAAAAAAAAATTCCTTGTTCCTACAGCTGTTGCTAGCAACAGTTGGGGGAAGTGACAAAACTTGACAGTGGTAGCTCTACCTTTTGTCAAAGTAGGATTTTACCATGCAGAGCCAGCTTTGCTGTAAGCCCTCTCGGACTGGTGAGATCAAAGATCTCCTTCACCGGCCTGCTGACATTAGTTCCAGCAGAGGGAGGGAAGGGCCTAAGAAGCTCTGTGTTCCTCCCGCGAGCAGGCTGGTCGGAGCATTGCCACACGTTACCATACAGTACTGTGCTCGCATGAGGACAGGAGAGTCAGCCTGCAGTAGGAGCTGCAGTTTAAAGTGAACATGCCACCACTGGACAACCACGGCTTGCAGAATTATGTCCCCTCTCCCTGATAATTGGTAAGAAGAAGGCATGGGGAGATATTAAGCTAGATTTTCACCTCTCACCCACCTATACACAGCATAGACCCTTTGCACTCTTCGCACACACTACACCCCTCTCAAGCACCCTACACACAGACACTGCCCCCCATCATACACACACACAGACTGCCCCTTCTCACACACTACACCCCTCACACTACACCCCTCACACAGACACACACTGCCTCTCTCACACACACGGAACCCCTCACACACATGGCACCCCTCACACACTACCCCACTGCACCCATCACACACACTGCCCCCTCACACACACACACAGCACCTCTCACACACATCACCTCTAACACATACACTGCACCTCCCCTCACACACACTGCCCTCACACACACTGCACCCCTTACACACACTGCACCCCTAATACCCACAACACCTCTTACACACACAGCACCCCTAATACCCACATCACCCTACACACACAGCACCCTTCACACAGTGCCCCCTCTCACAAACTGAACTGCACCACACACACACATAGAAAAAAAGTAGAATAGAAAACAAAGGAAAAAGAAATAGATAAATTTAAGTACATTAAAAAAAAAAAAGATCGCACTCGCGCTATAAAATTAGTTACACTGGTGGGCGGTAAGGAAATTTTACCATCAACAAAGATACAAACGTGGGCGGTAGGTATTAAAAGTTTGACTACCCCTAATCTAGAGTTTGTAATCCGTGATAGCTAGCTACATATATGAATACATTTCCAGGATATATTCGAGGAAGAGTGCAGGATTGAACCCCAACATGTATCACAATGATGCCAATAGCAGTATATTTCTCCTGCAGAATGCAGTGCTTGTTCTGAGAAACTTAATTCCACAAGGAAAAAAATTGAAAGAGGAAACAAAACAACACAATAGAGCTATGCAGAGAGAGAGAGAGACATAGTTACCGTGGCAGAGCAGTATTAAGTCAGACATCAAACAGGCTGCTTGTACATTGTCACATCACTTGATAGCAGAAGAGATACACAGCTAGTTTGGGGAAACCGTAAGAGGAAAGATTGAACTGGAAGATGTGGTCAAATGTGAGGGATACATTTAGGGAAAGAGATTAGTGCCTTTTATCAGTATTAAATATTCTGCATAGAAGAGTAAGGCTAGTTCTTTTTAAAGGAGTACATTATCCAGGGTGCCTGCATTTCATGTACCCAGTATTGTGCCTACATTTTGCAGAGAGGACACTGTACATGGTGTGTATTTTTACAGGTTTATATATTTAAGAGTTAACTTGTTTAAACAGTTCACATTATCTGGTATTTCTAAAAATTACCCTTCATGTACAGATACTTATTGTATTAGCTGCTTTGTATTAGCTGCATTAGAAAGGACACTGGGCTAGATCTGACATGTGTGTGCAGCATACTGTGTGCAGGGATGTCAGCTGCCTTCTCACAGAGATTGGAAATAGCCAGTCATATGTAACAGTAGCCCACAAATCTCTGTTTAATTATATATTTCAATAGCCTGTACTATAGATCATGGTGGCAATGGTGCATTTTGCTGTATGTAATGCCACATGTCGTGTCCTGTTATTCCATTTGGTCTTAAACTATAATTCCTTTAATCCAATAGCATGTAAGCCAATACCAATACCAATAGTCGGTGGGTTTAATAGTGTAAATTTCTAAGGGACCACAGACTGTTTTAAGGGGATCTCCAACTGGTAGAAACTACACTTCCCATAATGCCAAGCTACCCATAGGCTGCTGAATTATATGAATATATTGAAATCTTTATTGGTTATCTCTGTTGTGGGTGATTTAACTTCCTGTTTTGCTGGAGTGCAGGTTGTGTACATGCTTGTTTCTCTTTGTTGTAACTATATTTTCACTTCATGTCATGGATCCCAGGAAGCCATGGGCTTTCTGCAGTTTAATATTTACATTTCTTGTGCTGATGAAAAGGCATCAAAAAGTCATCAAAAAGCCCTACACATCTCATTATGGTACGGGATTCCCTAAACACTGACAGGGTTATCCAGTAAAGTAAGAATTCAAAATTCATTCAAAGTGAAGGTCAAAAAAGCCAAACTGGAAAATTCTCTTAGCGAGTCTGGCATTACATTTGAAATTTGCTTCTAATTCTCACATTAGAAAATAACTCTGTATATGCCTGGAACTGATATATAATGATTTAGGTGCACATAAAAAGGTTAATCTTAATGATATATTGGGTATCCAGCTCCATAATTGGAAAAACAAGTAAAACATTTATTTAAAAATTTAGATGGGCTAATACTCGTGAAAGTCTGAATAAATGTGATTAGAACCTCAGCTGCTCCAAAGAGTGAATAAAACTCTAACTACATACCACTAACTGGGAAATATATTCCGCATTGTATTTAGTTGATGAACAATATCCATCTCTAGTCAAAGTTTCCGCAGCTAATCAGAAGAGTAGCAAAAACATCTTATCTAAAAAACATGTTTTCTGGGCGTATAAAAATAATAATGAACAATCCCATGTACAATATAGCATAGTGACAAAGTCTAGACCCTGAATGCATTTTGTTTTGGGCCGCCAACTAGTTCTCATACCCTAATGGAGAAAAGACACTTTTATTGCAGTAATGACTGACCATGGTACACTAGCATTTTGTGAACTAGATTTTCTGTGTCGCCTTTTAAGGATGGGGCGGAAATGGAAATCCAGCTTGCAAGGTGTCAGGTTAGCCATTACTTTCTAGAAATTTCTTTACAATTCTGATCTTTACATATGCTGGACTAGCATCATATATCTCTCTGTCTCATTCTGTTCTCCTCTTTATATACATATGCATTGTTCATTAAGTACCTTGGGTTTTTTTTTTGTTTTTTGTTTTTTACCTAGCAAAACTGTAAAGAAAAATTCTGAGTTGTCTTGTAGATATATTGTGTATGGACTTTGATGCCAATTCTAGCATCCTGGTTGCCGGGGGGAACAGAACAATGTTTCATCATTGGTATTGTTCTCTGTTTCATTTTTAGGATACAGTATTGTCTTCCCGTTTGAAAGCATCACAGAGACCCACTATCCAAGTTTGACCATAGCACGAAGACAGCCCTGGTCATTGGCTAAATCTACTCGAATAATCCTCTGACAAGATCTTCTCTAGCTACAAATTAAAATTTATTTTCCTATTATATATATATATTTTTTTTTTATGTGTATTAAAGGATAGTGGGTCTTTGTGGGTCTTTCATGGCTTTCTGCTTGGTTCCCCATAAGGGCAGCTTATTCAAATATTGTAATATGTAGCAATGCGCAAGGCAGATATTATGACATTGGGCTGCTCATGGGTTAGCAAAGGATTGCTCTGCCTCATTGCTTAGCTTGGGTAATTGCTATCAAACTTTTAGTACAGGCGTCTGGGCACACAAAGACCCACTAAGGTGATCCTAATTACAGCTTTGTGATGTGGGACTTGGGAGATAAGTTACTTTGTAAGCATACAAATATATCTCAACTGATTAAGTGCTCAATAGCCGGTAGTCACTGTTATTGCAATTACAGTTGGGCACAGATTGATACTAAAAACTATAATGTTAACAACACAGACCAAAACTCTGGAACCAGGAAGGGAAACCTGCTCAAGGCACCTGAATTTATTGCCCAGTGGGGTTTTATTTGTGAAGAGTAATTGTACAGCTGTAAAGTTGTAAACATGAAGCCGTAACCATGGAAACCAATAGAATGTTCCTGTTGATTGTTCCACTTTTAGAATTTAGATTACTCTTTATATATAAAACCCCATTTTATATATTGCATATTTAATGAGAATGGCTGCATCAGACTTTCTTCTTGTTAATTCACTAGACTTGTGTACACTCTACATCCATACCAAAAGCCCAGTAGTACTTTGTGATACTGGTAATCAAAAATCAAATATTCTGTTCTTATGCCTTGAGCAAGGTTTTTAATTACTCTCCAGCCGCCAAGAAACTGGAGGTACAACTGATGAATCCTACCAAAAAAAGTGACTCCTAGACAAACAGTCCTCTTTTGCACTATTTTACTACATGCTTTGTTTCTTAGTAAAACAATTAATTCTTTCCTTTGTGTAAGACCTGTAAATCCCTTGCGTGAAAGTATGGAGAAAGCTGTGCAATCGAGGACAGTGCTGTTTGGAACACGTTCCAGTTGCAAACTTTCCCCAGCTCTACCCAGTGGCATGATGTATGACCTTTCCATTTTCATTCTCTGCCTGTCTTCACAGTTACAGTGGGAGACGTGTTACATGACAGAGACATTATTTAATCTGCATTTAAACAATAAAATTGAAACATGCACAATTTCACATCTGTAGTTGATATGGTGCTTAGAGTGCCCTTTTAAATGGCAATAAAATTAATTCGTTATTAGTTTAAAGAATTATTTCCAGGGAAAAGCTTGACACGAATCTCAAAATTTGGATTCAAATGGATGCTTGTTCATGATTAGTTTTTTTAAAGAGATGCAAATGAAACGCACACAGTGAGAATTATTTGATATTCTTTTTTTTTTTTTTTTCAAGTGAAATTCCATTAATAGTTACTGGACTATTTGAAATAATGCTACAGGGTAAAAATTCCTGGATTAAGAGGCCAAACGTTTGTTTTACTTGTGTTTTCACAACTCTACAGAGGGTCTTTAGATTTAACTGTACATTAATTTATTATACATTCCTTCAATCATTGAATGGACACTATAGGCACCAAAACAACTTTAGCTTAATGAAGCTGTTTTGGTGTATAGGTCATGCCCCTGCAGTCTCACTTCTCAATTCTCTGCCATTTTACACAGCCCTAGTCACACCTCCCTACACAGCCTTACTAAACACTTCCTGTAAACCAAGATCTTATGTTTAAACTTTCCTTATAGCACACTCTGTTTAATTTAGAATGTCTCATCTCCTGCTCTATTAATAGTATTCTAGGCCCTGCAGGAGCCTCCTGCTGGTTATTTAAATTCAATTTACAGAGCAGGAGATAAAAACTTATTAAGTAAGTTAGCATCTGATTGAAAATTAAACCTTTTTTTTTTCCATGCAGTCTGTTTGAGCCACAGCCATGGAGCAAACATGATTTAACTCCTAAATGGTAGACAGTTGGGCACTGAGACTGCAGGGGCATGACCTGTACACCAAAACTGCTTCATTAAGCTAAAGTTGTTTTGATGCCCATAGTGTCCCTTTAAGCATATGTCACTAAATACCGTTATATCATAGGACAGGGTTGTCATTGCCCAGTTGTTTTATTGTACAAAGTCTGTTTACTACATAATAATTATACAGTGTTATCACAACCCCTTTCTGAATACATTAACAGAATGAATGAATTAAGTAAGGCATAATCAAAGCTGGACGTTAACATATGTATCATTTGAGAGTTACCAGTGATGTTAAACTCCATGAAGTAAAAATAAAATCATGTATCTGAATAGCGCTTTTGCAAGCTGGCCTATTTTGTAACCTTTGTAGTTGCAGGGATGTGTCCTTCCAAGCATTGGGTATCAGTCTTGCACTAAAAGCGTTAAATAAAGACAGCATTTCCCATGTGCACGTGTGCAAGAATGGAAGAGAAGAATATTCATGTCCCCTTAATCCCTTCTGCTATCTACTAAGATCTGTAAACTTACCGAACTCGTCAGCAGAATATCGAGTATTGCTGCTGTGTACATTATATTAAAACCTGGGTGTCCAGCTGTTTCCCTCTAGCTGGTTTTGAGGGAAATCGGGGTGTACTATAGCCTAGGCACAGGGTATCGTATGTACAATTTCTTTATTTTATGTTTGACAGTTTATCAAATCAGTATTTGAGTTTACAGACCTGCCCTAATTATTAAATGTAGCGTTTATTTTGGGAGTGGTACATGAATTTTCCAGTATGATCAGTGTATTTAACATTTGGCATTATGCTGTTACTCACCTCTTATCACTCTCAGCCAAGCATAAGGTGATCTCCACGACACCTAGCGTAATAGAGGTTTTCTGTTCCAGGTACATGCTTTAAGAAAAACAAAGTTTATTACAATGCAGATGTCGGCAAATCTTTCATAATTAATTAATTAACTCTCTAATTTAATGTCTTGACTTTGTAAGACTGTTATTGTGCCTTTTGCGCTAGAGAGAATGTATTGCATACACAATTATATTGAATTTATATTCAAAATGCACTGTTTATATATGTATCAATTGATGTTGATTTAATAATGTATGGTGTTAATCATTGATCACAGTGGGTTCAAGCATTTGCCCTAATATTGGCAAGGGTCAAGATTTTGAATACAAAAATGTTACCAATCCTTTATTTTTATTCTGAGTCTTCCCATGCTCGTTTTGCCAAGGATAGTTTTATTATAATGTCCCTAATTATTATGTCTGATGAAAATCTTTAATCTGTCATTACATATTTTCACAACCGTGCTTTAGCCACAATCACAGAAGGCTGTGATTCACTACAGCAGAGTAAATGTTACACGAAATTAGCACTTAAGGGTTCATTGGACCTTTGTTTATTTTTTATGTATCTCTTTTTTTATTTTTATTTTTGGCATTGTCATCTGATTTTAGGGTCATACTTTGCAAGCCTCAAATAATATTTAAAAAGGTGATTTTCACTCTAATTCTTTAATTCCCTTTAGAATTTGCACGACTGCCTAAGTTTGATTGAGCTGGACTATTTTTGGTGCACTGCTTTTTAAACAAACACATTATATATATATATATCACTCACACTCTCTCCCTCCCCCTCTCTCTCTCCCTCCCTCTCTCCCCCATCTCTCCCCCTTTCACCCTCTCTTTCTCCACCTCTTTCTCCCCCTCTCTCTCCCTCCTCCTCTCTCTCCCTCCTCCTCTCTCTCCCTCCCTCTATCTCTCTCCCTCTATCTCTCCCCTCTCTCTCTCTCCCCCTCTCCCTCTCTCCCCCTCTCTCTCTCCCTCTCTCTCTCTCACTCTCTCCCCCTCTCTCTCTCACTCTCTCCCTTTATGGAATAAACCATTTTTTCACTTTAATCTAGTTGTGAGTCACTATCGATTTAAGTACAAACGATAGTTAATCACTTTTGCAGAATTGATGTTCTGTAAATTTACCAGATTTCCAGTATATCTGTTATACTTCTTGGGTAAGATCCTGTTTCAGGAGAATGTAGAATGCAACTTAGAAAGTGAAAGCTGCTTGCATTTAAAAAATATACATATATTTAATTTTATTTTTTTCTACATTATTTTAAAATCATAGTAACACTTTAAATGTTTTTTGGTCACTTGAATGAAAAAGACATATCACTTTAGCCTCATTTTTGGCTTTCTTATGAACCATAAACAGCATTCCAAAATGTTGTGCGTGTCCCCACCCCGTGCTAATTTTAAAATTATTACATTTATGCAGTTCAGATCTTTGGTGATGACTTGCACTAAACATCCTACAATATATTAAAATATTTACTTTAACTTTCATAGGATGTCTTCTATCCATCGATCATGGGCACAGAAAATGTTAAGTCAATTAAAAGTGACAAATCTTGCTCTTTGGGCCAAAGAATGTCTCTACACGTATACAAAACCACCATTAGTATAGTTACACACATTGTAACCACGATTCTACAGCAGTCGCATATTAATTCCAAGTATCTAAATAGATTCATTTTAAAAATCTTGCTTAATTAGGTGTAAATCCTTCAGATAAAATGGGGATCACTTGGGAAATATGATATATAAAAATGCACTTTATAAAAATGCACATTGGATTCAAATAGCTTTATAACCTTTGTGGTGAAACTACAAACTTTTCATTTTGGTGGTGGGTTTGTATGCTGATTATAAGCATACATTTGATTTAAAAAGAAAAAATGTATGGCTAAAAGCACAGTAGATCTATTCTAATACAATTGCTAGCTTTTTTTGATTATGCGCACATTCACATTTCCTTGCAATGATCTATTCAAATAAACCCCACAAATCAGATGACTTTATGCTAAATGATATATGTGTGTTGCTGCAGCTGCTATGTGTGTAAATGTGTCAGAGCCGTTTGTGACGCTTGACTGGCATTGAATTGTGATTGTTTCAATATTGTTACAAGGTTTTTGGGGGGTTGTAGAAAAAGAAAGCAGAAAAAAAAATCATGCATTTGCAATTTGTTCTTGGCTTAGGCTATTTTGCTGTAATGGGAGAATATATTGACATGTAACTATGCAAAGATGTTTATTAAAAGAGTCATTTAATTGTGAATTGTGTGAGTGTTTTTCTTATTTTCAGAAACTCTTTTATTCTTTAAAACCGGTTTTTGCTTTTTGTTTTTTTTGTTTTAGTGTTTAATTTTATAATGTAGATAATTAAGAAATAGTGCTCTTGGTGCTTAGATTTTCCGTTTAGTAACTACCAGACCAAGGTTGAAAGATTCATTAATGTTTCTTGGACTCTGAGATGTACTAAAATAATGGGCAGAGCATGTGACATTGCAGATTATAAAATCGTAAGAACAGGACCTTGGAATTAGTTGATATGATCTAACAGCCAGTGTAGCGAATTGTGCAAAATGCTACCATATCATTGGCAAGAATACAGTGTCAACAAGGGACAACAAACACCTCCCCAGTACTACCTCTTGTATATTAAACTATAAAAAAAAAATGCTTGTGGTAGACATGACACATACAAAAGGATTCTAAAATCGTTAGTGACAGCACGGGATTGCACTACTTTAAAATTTACAGATTTCTTGAATTGTAATACGATGGGCCAGGTATACCTTCTAACTTGTACCTGTGGCCGCAAGTATGTAGGGAAGACCTTTCCGGGTATTTAAAGAAAGGATGAAGGAACATGTTAGGTCACCAAATAATAGGCTGGATACACCTATCTCTAGATACCTCAAGGAATTTCACGGGGGTGATAAGAATTTAAAATTCTGAGGTCTTGAATTCATAAATAGTGATCTACGTCATGGGAAATATGACAGGATCTTGAGACAAAGAGAGTCCAAATGGATCTACAAACTGAAAACCCTCCAGCCTCATGGTTTAAATTAGGGTTTTTCGTTTGCACCTTTTATCTAATGATGATGACAGGGGAGGCATCCCTAGTAGAGTTTGTATATAGTTTTTGATATATGTATAGGTGTATATAGGGTTGGACCTTGGAATATTGATACCAAGTATGTCCACTTGGATGACTGCCGTCTGGCTAATACAGTTGCAAGAAAAAGTATGTGAACCCTTTGGAATGATATGGATTTCTGCACAAATTGGTCATAAAATGTGATCTGATCATCATCTAAGTCACAACAATAGACAATCACAGTCTGCCTAAACTAATAACACACAAAGAATGAAATGTTGCCATGTTTTTATTGAACACACCATGTAAACATTCACAGTGCAGGTGGAAAAAGTATGTGAACCCTTGGATTTAATAACTGGTTGAACCTCCTTTGGCAGCAATAACTTCAACCAAACGTTTCCTGTAGTTGCAGATCAGACGTGCACAACGGTCAGGAGTAATTCTTGACCATTCCTCTTTACAGAACTGTTTCAGTTCAGCAATATTCTTGGGATGTCTGGTGTGAATCGCTTTCTTGAGGTCATGCCACAGCATCTGAATCGGGTTGAGGTCAGGACTCTGACTGGGCCACTTAAGAAGGCGTATTTTCTTGTATTTAAGCCATTCTGTTGTTGATTTACTTCTATGCTTTGGGTCATTGTCCTGTTGCAACACCCATCTTCTGTTGAGCTTCAGCTGGTAGACAGATGGTCTTAAGTTCTCCTCCAAAATGTCTTGATAAACTTGGGAATTAATTTTTCCTTTGATGATAGCAATCCGTCCAGGCCACAGCAAAGCAGCCCCAAACCATGATGCCCCCACCACCATACTTCACAGTTGGGGTGAGGTTTTGATGTTGGTGTGCTGTGCCTTTTTTTCGCCACTCATAGTGTTGTGTGTTTCTTCCAAACAACTCAACTTTGGTTTCATCTGTCCGCAGAATATTTTGCCAGTATTGCTGTGGAACATCCAGGTGCTCTTGTGCAAACTGTAAACGTGCAGCAATGTTTTGTTTGGACAGTAGTGGCTTCCTCTGTGGTATCCTCCCATGAAATCCATTCTTGTTTAGTGTTTTACGTATTGTAGATTCGCTAACAGGGATGTTAGCATTTGCCAGTGACTTTTGTAAGTCTTTAGCTGAAACTCTAGGATTCTTCTTCACCTCATTGAGCAGTCTGCGCTGTGCTCTTGCAGTCATCTTTACAGGACGGCCACTCCTAGGGAGAGTAGCAGCAGTGCTGAACTTTCTCCATTTATAGACAATTTGTCTTACCGTGGACTGATGAACAGCAAGGCTTTTGGAGATACTTTTATAACCCTTTCCAGCTTTATGCAAGTCAACAATTCTTAATCGTAGGTCTTCTGAGAGTTCTTTTGTGCGAGGCATCATTCACATCAGGCAATGCTTCTTGTGAAAAGCAAACCCAGAACTGGTGTGTGTTTTTTATAGGGCAGGGCAGCTGTAACCAACACCTCCAATCTCATCTCATTGATTGGACTCCAGTTGGCTGACATCTCACTCCAATTAGCTCTTGGAGATGTCATTAGTCTAGGGGTTCACATACTTTTTCCACCTGCACTGTGAATGTTTACATGGTGTGTTCAATAAAAACATGGCAACATTTCATTCTTTGTGTGTTATTAGTTTAAGCAGACTGTGATTGTCTATTGTTGTGACTTAAATGATAATCAGATCACATTTTATGACCAATTTGTGCAGAAATCCATATCATTCCAAAGGGTTCACATACTTTTTCTTGCAACTGTATATTGACTTTATAACTCTGATTTTGGGTATTCCACTCTCTTCTTAAACTTTTTAATTTGCTTTTCTTTTTAATTTCTTTGATTGGGCCTGAGAATACATAACCCTATATGGTTACAATGTTTAATTGCTCCTTCTCCCTAATTTTTATACTGTTCACACACATGGTAGATATACACTATGGACTTTGATGTTCCATTTATCTAATGTCAGATTATTTACATTTTAGTGGATGTGCCATATGAGGAATTAGATCTCTGTTTAAGAGATCTATTAAGATCTTTTGTCCTGTTAAATGGGGATACCCCCTTGAAAGCTTTGCTCATATTTGGGTATCCTTGTTGGGGAGAAAGAGTAAAAGCCTCCTACTATGAAGGAATGTGGCTTCCAGTGACCATTATGAATAAGTGTGCCCCAAGGTATGATAGCTGTTACTGCTAAGGTACCCTCTGTGTGGTTACACGGTGATGAATTTAATGGTTCACTTTGTTTGTTCTAACCAGCCGTGGGGGTTCGGTCTGTTAATGACTGGTATTTTTGTGCAACGAATTCTGCACATACATTTTGAGCGCATAGTAGCATTTAGGGCTCTGTACATGCGCGTTCTAATGTAAAGTTTGTCTGAAAGACGCGCTGCTATTTTGATTGAAAGAATTTTTACATGAGTGGGAGGACCTACGCAGGCGCAATGTATTTGATTCCTGCTGCATGCAAGCGCATACTAGGTTCCTGATTGACAGGACCTCGGCGCATGAGTAAGACTACACGGGATAATTTACATAATGGGAGGGACCACGTATTCGTAGTGCACTCGATCCTGGGATATACCTTCAGGTATGAGACCCCCCCTTTTCCCACCTGTTTAGGATGACTACTTAGTAACTCAGGCCCGTCCCAGTTAAGAGGGAGGGATCTCTAGTTGATTTATAAATGGCTTCGGCAGTACTCTGCCATTTTGCTGCCCTTGTTTTTATTATGCACTAGTAGACTGCTAGACCATGTACTTATTTGGTTAAATAGTTAGGGGTGCCTTTTGCCGGCTGAGCTTTCCCCGACTATCCCATAGAGTCATGGGGATTGAACTATAGGCTTCTATCTACAGCTATCTGGCTTCCCTCAAGCCACCTTTCTTACTTTATTTTCAATTATCCTCAACCTCCTATCCTTTCGATTTACCTTTTTTTTGCTACAAAATTTGAGTGTACTACTCCCTTGCCCATTTAGTGGTATTCTTTGGGTTTTTTTCCACTCTAGTAGCGGGATTTAGGGAATTAGCTCCCTTATGTGTGACAATTATTATAGTGACATTTAAATACACCTTTATGTTACCACCACACGGGCTAAAAATGGCTGTATTTTTTCCTGACTATTACTAGTCGGTTTTGGACAGGAGATGTGAGACACTGTAGGATTCTATCATTTTTTGTTTGGCTCCTTAATTGTAGGGGACTATGGGATCAGTCCAATAAAAGATTTAACACTCGGTACATCCTATTATTTATTTGGCTCCTTAATTGTAGAGGACTATGGGACTAGTCCGATATACGATTTAACACTCGGTACATCCTATTATTTATTTGGCTCCTTAATTGTAGGGGACTATGGGACTAGTCCGATATACGATTTAACACTCGGTACATCCTATTATTTATTTGGCTCCTTAATTGTAGGGGACTATGAGATCAGTCCGATATACGATTTAACACTCGGTACATCCTATTATTTATTTGGTTCCTTAATTGTAGGGGACTATGGGACTAGTCCGATATACGATTTAACACTCGGTACATCTTATTTATTTGGTTCCTTAATTGTAGGGGACTATGGGATAAGTCCGATATACGATTTAACACTCGGTACATCCTATTATTTATTTGGCTCCTTAATTGTAGGGGACTATGGGACTAGTCCGATATACGATTTAACACTCAGGTACATCCTATTATTTATTTGGCTCCTTAATTGTAGGGGACTATGGGATAAGTCCGATATACGATTTAACACTCGGTACATCCTATTATTTATTTGGCTCCTTAATTGTAGGGGACTATGGGATCAGTCCGATATACAATTTAACACTCGGTACACCCTAGTCTCTTTTCTAGTGTCTCATATGGAAGGTGAGGATTTATACTGTATATTTAATCCTGTTCCCCATTGCTCCATAGAGGTCTAGTTGAATCGTCTGCCTAAATTGGATTTTTCTCTTCTGGCATTTTTCCAGGAGATTTTGCATTGTAGTATACTGTTCTAGAGACTAAACACGAATCGCAACAGTTTCTGGTTTTCTAACAATATGATCTATAGATAATCCACAGGTGACTGTTTAGATTGCAACAGTCTACAGCTACAGAATTGCAACACCTTCTAGTCCTTTAATTTAGTGCTCTAGATTGAATCTATTTGGGACTATATTCCCAATACAAGGTGCTTTTTCATGGTGAATATTTTTTTTTGTTTCCACTTGAGCAGTTGGTCTAGCAGTCTTTTTCATTTTCTTTTCACATCTAAGACCCACTAGGTGGTCTTCCACTGATCTTTACGCTATTCTTAGTGTCTTTTCTCTCCTTTTTTGATTATTAATAAAATTTGATCATCATTACGTGCAAGGTTTTTTTATAGTTTAATATACAAGAGGTAGTACTGGGGAGGTGTTTGTTGTCCCTTGTTAGCAAGGGTCCTCTCATCTCTCCAGTTTCCGTTTTTATTTCTTCTAGTTGTTTGTTCCCTAGGGTTAGGCGCTTTATTACCGTCTCTTCATCCTTGACCTAGTTCATTCTGGATCAAGGGGTGTTGTTTTTTCAAGAATACAGTGTCATTGATGCAACATAATTTGGTTTACTTATATTTTCTACACCAAAAAATGGCACACATCACCCATCAGACAAGAAAGCGTGTTAAACAATATAAGTGCAGGAAGTATGGTGGACTAAAATCACACTGTGTTGTCAGACAATAATGTACTCAATCAAAAGTGATATTAACAATCTTGATTTATTCATTATGTCTCTTCCTGCAGATTTTAAATTCTCCATACTGGCCATCAACATAAATAAATGATGTGTGGCAGGGAAATTAAATGGATATGATACATGTTATCTATGTTTTTTCCTCCTCTAATTAAGATAATGTTACGAACACAGGTATAGTAGATACCCTGTTCGCCTATTCCTCCCGAACTGCTGAGCCTGAGTGATTATAGCTGCAGTTCGGGTGTAGATACGAATATTTTTCAGACGAATGCAGCCACCAAGTAGTTTCTCCCCAACAAGTAGACAGTTACCCAAACATGAGCCCAGACTTCATGAAGGGTACAACAGGAATGAAGTAATATTACATAATGCCCTGCACAGTGCTACTAATTGTAGCTGTAAGTAATGTATATGGGCATTATGCTTGCATATTGCATCCAATAGTTTTTTTGCTATTCACTTTTCCATTCTGGCGATACGTTTGATTCCTTAAAAATATCCGTTATCAGAGAATATAGTTTTGCCCAGAAAATGTGTCATAATTGGTTTTTCTGCTTCTAAAATGACTTCAGACAGTGCCTCAAAAATATAAGGATTTCTATTTAACCACCAAAATTCTATATCACCGCTATCTCTGTAAAATGTTGACATATTGTTAACATTTAATTGAAGATATCAGTGATCAGTAATCTATACACAAAAGGTCATCCTAAATTTATGTGCTAGCTATTCAGCTCAATTTTAAAATAAATGTATTTAACCAAATAAACTTGTTAGAGTAGAGGTTAGCATTCGAACAAATCAAATGCCTTTTAATCTCCACCTGAGGAAGTGATTCATCCCAGATTTACCTGTGAAATCTTATTGATTTAATAAAACTCCACATGTAAATCCCTGATGGACCGATTCGTTTGGTCACATATTAAAAGGCATTTGATTCATTCGTACTTCCTTAACCCCTTAAGGACACATGATGGAAATATTCCTTCATGATTCCCTTTTATTCCAGAAGTTATGTCCTTAATGTAGTTAGCATCCAAGTGTGTTCTGATATTAAAAGCGGCACCATCACGTGACATCGTCGCTGGGGGTCCAATGGCAAGGGGGGGGGAGGGATCCTGTGACATCGCGGAATCCTTCATAGATGGAACCAATTCCCTGCAGCGGTCACTAGTGACAGCTAGGGGGACTGACACTTCTAGACAGCAATAGCTCTGCCCAGGTAACAGTCCCTACTTTTTATAATATAATTATTTCTATTCTGTTTCTAAGGTGAGTGGGGCAGTAGTTTTACATTTAGTTAGTAAGTATATTTACATTTTTTATTTTATTTGTTTTTATGTTCAATTGTAAAAAAGACATGAAACATAAGTGGGGATATTCTCCCATATAAACTTTAGTCTTTAATAAAAAATATGTAAAAATCCCCAAAAGCCATGTTATTGTGGGATTTTATTGTTGAAGGTCCGAAAAGAAGTCCGATCTCACAGGAAAGGTTTGTGTTTTTTTTGATAAATCTCGACTCTCCTTGTAGTAGCTGGACAATGTGTTCGTATTTAGCTTGTCCCTGCAGATGCTTTGAGAATGACTGTGAAGGGTCACGTTGAACATTCATCCTGTAGCTTTGTCTTTTGCCAAGAGGCTCGTTTTCCCTGTACCTGCACGTCTGACAGGTACAGCTGATTCATGCTATAACCTCTTGTAACACCTTGCTTATTGCATAAGTCGCACATCATGCCATCTGTCGCTGCCTTCCGCATACCATCCTTCGTTCACACAGTATCCCAAGAAGTACAACCAAAAGTGACAGTATTGATCTGGATACCCATTCGCAATGAAGCACATGTTCTGTATGATAGTGGAAAAAGAATTTGACGAAATGTATCAGAGAGGATTTAAATCACAGGCAAACCCATTGATCCTGAAAGAAAAGGAGGCCCTGCAATTATTGTCTGAGGGAATCCATAAAAACATGTGCGCCTCTCTTATGAGCCTAAACAGCTGTAAGTACGCTAAGAGCATCTAAATGTATTTAAGGGTGGCAGTCTGTATGTGTGCTTTCAAGGTAGTGGTTGGCACTGGAATGTGTGATTTAGGAAAGTTTTATAATTGTGTTGTACCTGCCAGCTGCCCTGAATATCTCAGAACAGTCCTTAATCCTGATTCCCAGTCTAATAACCATAGACACAGTGTAGCTTGCTAGTTTCTTATAGCAGTGGGCAGGGTACTTTTATAGTAGAAATCGCCATGGTAACCAATGTTATTAGCAGCAGCATTCTATTTATTTCCGTGGTGATGGCTTCTATTTTTAAATCCTTCATATTATCCATTTGATAGGATATTGTAATCATTTATCTATGTAAAAATGTAATGTTATTATATACAGCTTTTTCTATTAAGAGTGTGATCCCCTGTAGCTCAATGTTCTATGGATTTAATATAACATTTAACCCACTGGGTGCCAGTTTCTGGAAGTTTTCTTTTGTGATTATAGTGCTAAAAGGCATTGTGTGCCCCCTTTTTTTTTTTTTTAATATATAATAAATTATGTGTCCCTCCTTCATCTGTCATGCAAATGGTTAACCACTAGCTCTTGTTGTAAAGCAATTAATGCTAATTTGAAAGTATTCTTTGTGCCAGTATCCCAGGATATGGAATGCTAGTCCGCACATGTCCGTACGGTACACCTAGAATAGCTATCTTTATATAACATTATTATTGCATTGTATTAATACTGCGTGAGAGTTCTGAGACAGTGTATAGGCAAGTCATCTGTGGAATTAATTCATTTATAGATCACAAATGTTAGCAGATTATTGGTAGTTTTTATAGCACTTTTGAGAGTCATTGATATATCTCTACATTACCGTTCTAAAAGGGGCACGCTGTAAGATGGTGGAAAAGGAATATGATGAAATGTATCAAAAGCCTGCTGCCAGGCCTATAGCGGCACTGTCACCGTCTGCGGACTTTGCAGAATTCGCAAAGACCCCTTATGGCTACATCACCACTGGGGGATGAGGGGGGGCAGAGGAAGGGACAAAAAGTGGTGTTAGGCTCTCCTAAATTTTTTATATGTTATTATAATACAGTCAAGTCCAAAAATACCTAAACAATAATGTGTCATGCTGAATTAGGATATAACATTAAGGTTATCCTCTAAAGTGAGATTGCAAAGTGACTTTCAAATTTAAGGCCAAAATAGTCAAATAAAATTCGGCAATGCTTTCAATTCGGCTGCATTAGCTGAAAACGTGAAATTTGCTTTAGTAAATGACCCTCTAAAAATATTACAGAAATATCAGTGGTGACTGTAGGTCCTGGCGGATAACCCTCCTTTTATTCCTGGACGTCCACCTTGTCTTGTACTCGTTAGTCCATCTAATGCGATACTAAGGAATATGTTGGTAGGTTTTGGTTTATTACAGGGAGTAAATGCACAAATAATGCATAATCTTGCATAATCCAGTGGTCAAATTTCCTCGTTGGTGTTGTAAAACTCCCTAATTGATTAAATTTGTATTTTTAGAGATGTCCTCTGATATGTGGAAGTACCAAAATAAATAGTGTGTCTGCATGTTAATATAGAGTGTGTATATAATCTGTATGATATAGTCTTCTATATTTCTTAGAGGGACACTATGGGCCAGGGATAGGCAACCTCTGGCACTCCAAATGTCGTGGACTACATCCCCCAAAATGCTGGCAAGCATCATGGGAGGTGTAGTCCAAAACATCTGGAATGCAAAAGGTTGCCTATGCCTGCTATAAGCACTTCAGCTCATTGAAGTGTTCTGGGGGCAATGTCACTGTCCCCCTTGAGAAACTGCGATGATTACATTCCAGGACTAAGACTGCCTCTATTGGCTGTCAATTCGACAGCCACTAGAGGCACTTACAGGATCTTGCTGGACGTCCTCACTCTCGGCATGAGAACACCCAGCGTCAATTTTTAACACGATAGGGTTAGGAATACATGCTTGTGTTCCTGACCCTATAGTGTTCCTTTAATTACGTATATAAAGTCACACCATTTATTGGAATTGTGTTCAGTAAATTATCATGCAGCATCCGGATATTTTATTTAGACCTGTCTGTGGCCCTCTTAGACTTCCCATGGGCACATAATTAATGCTGATGGGTAGCAAGCAAGAGTGGTAATATGTTCAATACACATGCTGCAGGAGTGAAAACTATCACTGTGTTCCATTAGGATTTCTCTTGGAGTAACTGAATTCCTTCCTGCAACATGTGAATTCTACCTACTGCAGGGCAGCACTTTTTATTTGCTGTCCATCGATATGATTAACCATATGTCCAGGAAGACATGGTGGATCTGGCAATGTTAGTTCAGCAAGAAGGAATGTGCTTAATCAGACAGTGGGGATCTAGGATTTGTATTCGTTTTTTTCAATATTTCATTATGCTGTACTGTATTTTGACTTGGTTCTCTCGTCCCTGGAGACTTGGTGGTGCCTGGTTCCATCCTCCCCACAGACCTGGTTCTCTCCTCTGTGGTGAGTTGGTGGAAGCTTGGTTCTCTCCTCCGTGGTGAGTTGGTGGAGACTTGGTTCCATCCTCCCCACAGACCTGGTACTCTCCTCCCTGGTGAGTTGGTGGAAGCTTGGTTCTCTCCTCCATGGTGAGTTGGTGGAGACTTGTGTTGGCTTGGTTCCATGCTCCCCACAGACCTGGTACTCTCCTCCCTTGGTGTAGGCTTGGTTCTATCTTCTTGCCAGACTTGGTTCTTTCCTACCAGGAGAGAGCTGAGTTGCACCTGCTCACATGTGTGTTTGGGACTTTTAGTTCCACAGCAACTGGAGATGTGATATTGCAAAAATACCAGTGTCATACAGAACAGGTTGCAAAAGTGAAAGGATGGCAGACAGAATTAAATAGATTCTAGCCAAATACAAGAGTCTATTGTCACTGTTTGTTGGCAGTTCATTGTGTGAATGAGTAATGACAATAATATTTAGACATTGTTTTATCTGATAAGTGATTTCTAAGCTATGCGATACCTTAATTAAATAGATTGTTTGAATGTGTTTCCTTTTGTCTGCATTTTGATTGCAGATACTCACTGCAGAATATTTTAGGGTAAGATTTAATTACCTGTTAGATGCTAATCAGCATGCAGATGTCTTGTTCCCCTGCATTAATTATATAAATAGTGGCATTAATTATAGCTTGGGTATATGACAGTTGTCTTCCTGCTATTATCTATGTTGTGTCTGTGTAACATACACCAGAAAGAGAATTTAACTAATGGTTAATGCCATTCTGTGATCATGACGGGTAGATATATAGGTATTTTTATGATGCTACTTTTGATCATATGTAACGTGAATTCGTAGGGTTTTAATCATTAAAGGACCACTCTAGGCACCCAGATCACTTCAGCTTAATGAAGTGGTCTGGGTGCCTGGTCCAGCTAGGGTTAACCCATTTTTTTTTATAAACATAGCAGTTTCTGTGAAACTGCTATGTTTATGAATGGGTTAAGCCTTCCCCCATTCCCTCTAGCGGCTGTCTCACTGACAGCCGCTAGAGGCGCTTGCGTGCTTCTCACTGTGATTTTCACAGTGAGAGCACGCCAGCGTCCATAGGAAAGCATTGATAATGCTTTCCTATGTGACAGGCTGAATGCGCCCGCATTCAGCCGACGGGGAGGAGAGAAGGAGGATCGGAGGAGGAGAGCTCCCCGCCCAGCGCTGGAAAAAGATAAGATTTTCCCCCTTTCCCCCTTCCAGAGCCGGGCGGGAGGGGGATCCTGAGGGTGGGGGCACCCTCAGGGCACTATAGTGCCAGGAAAACGATTATGTTTTCCTGGCACTATAGTGGTCCTTTAAATCATGAATCCTGGTGAACTACAGAATGCAAGATTTAGAACAAAATGTCCAGTAAGTTGTGTAAATAGTCGGAATATAGATTTTTAGTTTACTTTTTTTTTTTTTTTTTACATCTAAGCATTTTGGCATAAAAGTTGTAGTTTAGTTTTCAGTTCACCATTATTAACTTTTTTGTGAATAAGCCTCATTACCACTCTCTCAATGCTATACCTACCTTTATCATTATTCAAACCTTAATCGAATTAAATTAGGTTAACTAGCTATATATATATATATAAAGGCCCTCCCTATTCAAGAGGATCGTCTATCTGAACGATCTAGATATTAACTGGACTGTGAAGTCGTGGCCAGCTTATGGAAAAAGCAGTCTGACTCCTCTACATCTCATGTTCTTAAAGGGACACTATAGTCACCAGAACAACTACAGCTTATTGAACTTGTTCTGGTGAGTAGAATCATTACCTTCAGGCTTTTTGCTGTAAACACTGTCTTTTCAGAGAAAATGCAGTGTTTACATTACAGCCTAGTGATAACTTCACTGGCCACTCCTCAGATAGCTGTTAGAGATCCTTCCTGGGTCATGGCTGCCTAAAATGCATCCAAACATTCAGTATCTCCTCCCTCTGAATGCAGACACTGAACTTTCCTCATAGAGATTCATTGATTCAATTCATCTCTATGAGGAGATGCTGATTGGCCAGGGCTGTGTTTGAATTGTGCTGGCTCTGCCCCTGATCTGTCTCTTTGTCAGTCTCAGCCAATCCTATGGGGAAGCTTTGTGATTGGATCAGGCTACCACTTCTACTGATGTCAGCAGGCAGTGGGCAGGTCTAAAGGAAACAGGGACATTGCATGCAGCTGCCTACTTGAATACAAGTAAGATTTTACTATTTTAGGGAGACATGAGGGGACCAGGGTGGCTAGATGGTGGTTTTAACCCTATAGGGGCAGGAATACATGTTTGTGTTCCTGACCCTATAGTGCTGCTTTAAGGGCTCTGTTAAACACTCTGTTAAAAACCTAAGGGCTGATGCAAATAAGAAAGTGGCAAAATTATTTTTCAGGAATCCATGAGTTTTGTGATTACATTGTCATCATCAAAAATATTGGGAAGGTACACCCAGTGGACATCTATCCATTCATATATCAATTCAGCATTCATAGGACAGTTTGGTGTTAAAGAATTTCCATTTTTAGGGAACTAAAACCAAGGTTGAGATGGTGGTTAGACGATAAGAATCTGGGGGCCGGGGCTTCACCGCTGACTGAGCAGGACGCATGTTGGAGAAGCTCCTCAGTTAATCTATAACCGGAGTACAGAATCCCAGTTATTCAGAGACTAAACCTACTATTATCTGCCAGGGAGCAACCTAACCTTGGTGTGGACTCCGTTTCACAAGAATTGTCGGTTATCTCGTGAAGCTCCTGAGACTGCGAAGCTAGTTCTGGGCTGGATGGCAGCCGATTCCCTGTTGCTGGATGAAAAATCATGTTTAAAGACCTGCCCCCAAACAGACAGGGGTTTTCCTGGTCCACAGATACCTCCCTAGCAACACTGTGGCTACCTAAGCTTAGACCTTACGTGTACTACTCTTTAACACGAGTGCTGCTGTTCCAAGATGGCTGGTGACTCTATTTGCTAGCTACGAAGCTATAACTCTGAGCCGGCAAACCGGTCCATTCACAGGCTTCTCTACAAGAAGCATGGCCCTTGTTAATGTCAGGTGTGGGGGTGGACGTGTGCATGGACCTGGATTCCAGCCAAGTTTTTTTTTTTTTTAAATCGAGTTGGTGCTAATTTATAGTGCCCAATAGGGCATATTACACAGAAAATTTGGAGTAACCTTTTAAATTTGGAATTCACTTTGAGTTCTCACTTTAGTGAACAACCACGTCAGACTTGCATCATCTGCAAAATTATATATTGGATTTTTTTCCCCCCAGAGGATCTGAAAAGTAAGCGATCACTTTTTTACTCTCTCAGCATTTTCAAACCTTGTTGGTATAGTAGATCCATTAGTCTCCAACTGTCTTCAACTGATAAAATATCCAAGAATATTGAGAAATGTATGGTAAGTTATAGGAAGTATAAAATTACATTTTCCCCTTAAAGGAACACTATAGTCACCTAAATTACTTTAGCTAAATAAAGCAGTTTTAGTGTATAGATCATTCCCCTGCAATTTCACTGCTCAATTCACTGTCATTTAGGAGTTAAAACACCTCCCCTGGCTATGATTGACAGCGCCTGCATGAAAAAAAAAAACTGGTTTCACTTTCAAACAGATGTAATTTACCTTAAATAATTGTATCTCAATCTCTAAATTGAACTTTAATTACACACAGGAGGCTCTTGCAGGGTCTAGCAAGCTATTAACATAGCAGGGGATAAGGAAATCTTAATTAAACAGAACTTGCAATAAAGAAAGTCTAAATAGGGCTCTCTTTACAGGAAGTGTTTATGGAAGGCTGTGCAAGTCACATGCAAGTAGGTGTGACTAGGGTTCATAAACAAAGGGATTTAACTCCTAAATGGCAGAGGATTGAGCAGTGAGGCTGCAGGGGCATGTTCTATACACCAAAACTGCTTCATTAAGCTAAAGTTGTTCAGGTGACTATAGTGTCCCTTTAACTGAATACACCAAAAACAATGTTAAAAACGATTCAGCTCTGGCACAGCAGCAAAGGTGATTAAAAAAAAATATAGGGAAAAAAATTATAAGTTCTGTAAAACAAGCTATTCAGCTATGGATAAGATACGCTTTTGTTTTGTATTAGTGAATAGAGTAATTATTATCTACATAGTTAAATATTTTTGTTTCATATTCAAGTTGATAATCTGCATGTATTACTTTTGAATATTAGGGAAACACCATAAAGATGGGAGTCTAAGTTGTTGTTTTTTTTCTCCTGCAGGGTGCGCCGACCTCCAGTCTCTGGATACGATGCAGCCCATGGAGAGAAAGAGGCAGGGTTATATTCATGAACTAATCCAGACTGAAGAAAGATACATGGATGATCTTCAGCTTGTATTGGAGGTCCGTTTAATGCATTAGAAGAAATTGATCAACCTGAACTATCAACTTACCAGTCCTTCCTGTTCCAGCTCACGTCCCTATTAGTGATGTCCCGAACTGTTCGCCGCGGACTCATCATTGAGTAAACTTTGACCCTGTACCTCACAGTCAGCAGACACATTCCAGCCAATCTGCAGCAGACCCTCCCACCTCCTGGACAGCTCACTAAGAATGCAGCTTCACAATGGATGCTGTCCAGGAGGTGGGAGGGTCTGGGAGGGAGGCTCTGCTGCTGATTGGCTGGAATGTGTCTGCTGACTGTGAGGTACAGGGTCAAAGTTTACTCAATGATGAGTCCGTGGCGAACAGTTCGGGACATCACTAGTCCCTATCATTCCAGTCCTTCCTGTTCCAGTTCACGCCGCTATACTTCCTGTTCCAGCTCATGTCCCTATCCTTCCAGTCCTTCCTGTTCCAGTTCATGCGCATATACTTCCTGTTCCAGCTTATGTCCCTATCCTTCCAGTCCTTCCTGTTCCAGTTCATGCGGGGATACTACCTGTTCCAGCTCATGTCCCTATCCTTCCAGTCTTTTCTGTTCCAGTTCATGTGCGTATACTTCCTGTTCCAGCTCATGTCCCTATCCTTCCAGTCTTTTCTGTTCCAGCTCACACCCTTATACTTCCAGTCCTTCCTGTTCCAGCTATATGTCCTTTCTGTTCCAGCTCATGTCCCTATACTTCCAGTCCGTCCTATTCCAGCTAAATGCTGCTGTCCTTTGTTCCAGCTCATGTCCTTATACTTCCAGTCCTTCCTCTTCCTGCTAAAGGCTGCTGTCCTTTCTGTTCCAGCTCATGTCCCTATACTTCCAGTCCTTCCTGTTCTTGCTAAATGATGCTGTCCTTTCTGTTCCAGCTCATGTCCCTATGCTTCCAGTCCTTCCCATCCTGCTAAATGCTGCTGTCCTTTATTTTCCAGCTTATGTCCCTATACTTCCAGTCCTTCCTGTTCCTGCTAAAGGCTGCTGTCCTTTCTGTTCCAGCTCATGTCCCTATACTTCCAGTCCTTCCTGTTCTTGCTAAAGGCTGCTATCCTTTCTGTTCCAGCTCATGTCTCTGTACTTCCAGTCCTTCCTATTCCAGCTAAATGCTGCTGTCCTTTCTTTTCCAGCTCATGTTCCTATACTTCCAGTCCTTCCTGTTCCTGCTAAAGGCTGCTGTCCTTTCTGTTCCAGCTCATGTCCCTATACTTCCAGTCCTTCCTGTTCCTGCTAAATGCTGCTGTCCTTTTTTTTCCAGCTTGTGTCCCTATCCTTCCAGTCCTTTCTGTTCCAGCTCATGTCCCTATTCTTCCAGTCCTTCCTGTTCCAGCTAAATTCTGCTGTCCTTTCTGTTCCAGCTCATGTCCCTATACTTCCAGTTCTTCCTATTCCAGCTAAATGCTGATGTACTTTCTGTTCCAGCTCATGTCTCTATACTTCCAGTCCTTCCTGTTCTTGCTAAATGCTGCTGTCCTTTCTGTTCCAGCTCATGTCCCTATACTTCCAGTCCTTCCTATTCCAGCTAAATGCTGCTGTCCTTTCTGTTCCAGCTCATGTCCCTATACTACCAGTCTTTCCTGTTCCTGCTAAATGCTGCTGTCCTTTCTGTTCCAGCTCATGTCCCTTACCTTCCAGTCCTTCCTGTTCCAGCTCGTGTCCCTATCCTTCCAGTCCTTCCTGTTCCAGCTAAATGCTCCTGTCCTTTCTGTTCCAGCTCATGTCCCTATCCTTCCAGTCCTTCCTGTTCCAGCTAAATGCTGCTGTCCTTCCTGTTCCAGCTCGTGTCCCTATCCTTCCAGTCCTTCCTGTTCCAGCTAAATGCTCCTGTCCTTTCTGTTCCAGCTGATGTCCCTATACTTCCAGTCCTTCCTGTTCCAGCTAAATGCTGCTGTCCTACTCATTTTTTCCTTTTCCAGTTTCTGACATTATTCCCATTTCTTCCTGTTCCAGCCCATACCACTCTACTTCCCATTCCTTCTTTCTCCAATCCCTGCTGTTTTCTTCACAATTAAATGCTTTCCAAGCTACTGCCACAATCCTTTCCACTCCATCCTGTTCCTTCTTGTGCTTTTATTTTTTATTACCATGCCATTACCATTCCCAATGCCCCATGCCACTGCCATTGACCCATGCGGTTACCATTCTCATTGCTCCATGCCGTTACTATTGCCCCATGCTGTTACCATTCTCATTGCTCCATGCCGTTATTATTGCCCCATGCTGTTACCATTCTCATTGCTCCATGCCGTTACTATTGCCCCATGCTGTTACCATTCTCATTGCTCCATGCCGTTACTATTGCCCCATGCTGTTACCATTCTCATTGCTCCATGCCGTTATTATTGCCCCATGCTGTTACCATTCTCATTGCTCCATGCCGTTACTATTGCCCCATGCTGTTACCATTCTCATTGCTCCATGCCGTTACTATTGCCCCATGCTGTTACCATTCTCATTGCTTCATGCCGTTACTATTGCCCCATGCTGTTACCATTCTCATTGCTCCATGCCGTTATTATTGCCCCATGCCATTGTTTTTCCTTTTTCCTTTGCCATCAGTAGCATTTGTGCGTTACTGAATATTTATTTGGATTTTTCTTTTCAGGTTTTCCATAAACCAATGGCGGAGTCTGGCTTTCTCAATGAAGCAGAGATGGGTCTTATATTTGTTAACTGGAAGGAGCTCATTATGTCCAATACCAAGCTACTGAAGTAAGTTCAATCTGCATATCACGTATATACTGACAGAGACATGCTTTCCCAAGTCTAGGATACCTATTCACTGCAGGCTTTTACCACTCTGAATCGTCAATTTACAGTTGTTGCAGCCCATTGGCGTATCAATTCTGTACAATACCATGTATTAGTTCTTCTCTTGCTGCTAGGATAAATACAAGGTGTGGTTTTTCTGTTTCTCAATTTACTATTTTTATTTTAGTTTTTTTATTGTAACCCAGTCAGCAGCACAATAGGAAAGGGTCATGGAAATAGAAACAATATTGACATTTTGTACGTTTCCAATACCTAAATCCTGGAAAACGTAATTTTTCCAAATCCTGAACATTTTTACATTTTGTAGAATTTGGAACTATTGTGGTATATATTTTGGTTCTGTTCCTCGTGCATGCCTATTAGAAAAAGGTGCAGGGTAGTGACAGCTAACTTTGAAATCCCAGAGGTTTGTGTACTTCATTTACTTAGATCTGTTGAGTATGATCAGAAACTTAGTTCACAGTTGTGGGGCTCCAAAGTAAGTCCACATTCCTTTTACTCATGCTGAGAACTATGAGAAATATGGGCAATTTATGTGATGTTGGTAAAGTAGATAAGGATATATGGTGGTATAACTGCTACAAGCATCGAATATGACAATAGAATGATATTTTAAGTGTTTATTAGTAATGGCCTTTGCTTGTGGCCTGACTGTCGGACATAAGCAAACACTTATTTTTCTTTTAGAGCCTTGCGTGTCCGTAAGAAGACAGGGGGAGAGAAAATGCCAGTTCAGATGATCGGAGACATTCTTGCCAATGAGCTATCCCATATGCAGGCCTATATACGCTTCTGCAGCTGTCAGCTCAATGGTGCCAGCCTAGTACAGACAAAGACGGATGAAGAACCAGAATTTAAAGACTTCTTAAAGGTTGGTCAACTGATGTCACTGAATATAAATCTCTGATTTGGTCCAAATGCATCAATCTTGTGTATGTAGAATACTCACTGCCTTCAGTCCTATCCTCTCAGAGAGTCAGAGAGAGCCCAAGCCACCAGTTCTAAATACATTGTGTGATGAGTGGAACCGCCGCTAGAGTCTGGGCTGGATTTATTAATCAGTTTTGTGGCATACGATCATACCTCTTAGGGGTTCTCTGCTGCTGAGTTTAGTCCGTAGTAATGCAGAAACTTGAATAACTTGGAAGGTGTGTGTGTGTGTGTGTGTGTATATATATATATATATATATGTATGTGTGTATATATATATATATATATATATATATATATATATATATATACACATATAATCACACTGCGCGTCAACATTTTGGACCTGGACCAGGTGCTTTCTCAAGTCAAGATAGTCAATATAACATGTGTTTGAAATTAGAAACATGGATTTGTGATGATAGGTAAAAGCGTTTATCTCCTTAATCTGCCCCTTTAATTGAAGGTAAAGGGTTTTTGTCTGTTGGTTAAAGTCTATTCTGTAATTTGGTAAAACTAAGAATGCATTGTTATCTGTTACTTAGCGACTGGCTACTGATCCACGGTGTAAAGGCATGCCCCTTTCCAGCTTCCTGCTGAAACCCATGCAGCGGATAACCCGATACCCACTGATCATCAAGAGTGTGAGTATCCTGGAGAACCAACACAGTTTACCTGAACAAAGGGTTAAAGGGATGTTCGAGCCTGGAGTTCACTCATTTTTTCTTTACTGGTTTATACAGACAATGTATTAAACAAATGCAAGCATATTGAATTAGAAGTAAGAAGAAAAAAAAAAAAGCTCACATTTTACATTCTTGTATTTGCTGTAAATCCCCACATTTTGCAGAATCTACAGTTATCTCTCTTCTCTTTAGGAAGTGACACAGCCAGTCATGATGCTTCTGTTGTATAATAGCTTTAGTTGCTCATTAATTTGATAAGTTAATCTAAAATTAAACAAACAAAACAATAATATCAAATAACGGTAGGTGACGTGTTTGTTTCCATCAGATCCTGGAGAACACCCCAGAAGTACACCCAGATCACAGTACCTTGCGGTTTGCACTGGAACGGGCAGAGGAGTTGTGTTCGCAGGTTAATGAAGGCGTGAGAGAAAAAGAGAATTCCGAGAGACTGGAATGGATTCAGACACGTGTTCAATGTGAAGGCCTCACCGAGGTGAGAAATGTCCCATATATCAGGCCTTGGCACCCATGGATCCATCATACCTTATCACCTTCACATCTACCCAATTCTATTATGCACCACACACTCTTAAATAATTTAGTATGTTTCATCGTTTGTGTCCTACTGATGGTCAATTCCGGCATCTAGTAAAATATGATCTGATTCTGATCATTGTAAATATTTGAATGTTCTACACAAAAGGTTCAGTGGGTCCTTATGGATCCTGATGTTCATCCAGCAGGCCTACTTACATGTCCACATCTTTTCATAGCCTTCCTGCTTTCCATCTTTCAGCAGATCATATTTAACTCCCTTACAAACTGCCTGGGCCCACGGAAATTACTGCACAGTGGAAAACTTTACAAAACGAAGAGTAACAAGGAACTGTATGGCTTTCTCTTCAACGACTTCCTGCTACTCACCTACATGGTCAAACAGTTTGTGTCTTCAGGGTCCGACAAGCTTTTTAGCCCCAAAACCAACTCTCAGTTCAAGATGTATAAAATGGTAAGCGTGAAAGAGCAAGACAAGTAAAAAAAAAAAAAAAAAACCTTGTTCTTTCTTTCCCTTTGGGATAAGGGTATGAAAATAAAGCCACTTTAAATAAATTTGCAAAGTTGTAGATTGGCTTCCAAATACGCCATGGTTTTTGTTTACATTATATTGAGGATATTGAAGGAACCATTTGAACCTAGCTTATGTGAAACATTTTAAATTCCTTGTTTTCTTTTTGCAGCCAGTTTTCCTAAATGAAGTTCTTGTTAAACTGCCCAGTGACCCATCTAGTGATGAGCCTGTATTCCATATCTCCCATATTGACAGAGTCTACACACTGCGAACTGACAACATCAATGAAAGGTAAGCTCATTCGTTTAATAATCCTTTTCCCAATGACCTTGACACCAGGACAAGCTGATATTTAGGAAACAGCCGATGTAGGAGCTGAATAACAGATATCCTGAACCAGCATGATATCAAATGCTGCTGGCCCCCTCCACGCCACAGGCCCCAACACCCTGCGTGGCCTCACTGGTATCCTCGACAGTAGGGGACCACTGAGGCAGTCCCCCCTCCGGTGATGGCACAAACTGCAGAAGACCATATCCCTGCATCTAAATATGCTCAAAGGCTTGCAGCAATTCCTGATGCAGATGTGGGAGGATGACCTAGCTGTATTAACCACCGAAGTACAGGCTGTGGCAGCCCGCACACAGGCTACTGAAACAGGCCTCAATGACCTGAAACGAGACTTTCATGCCTTAGGCGAAACGGTCCAACGCTTATATCACAGGCCACAATGGCCAGACAACTTATATATAATGGATGATAGGGGCAGGAGGAAAAACATAAAAATCAGAGGGGTCCAAGAGACACTGCCACTGTAAGAACTGCCTCATTTCATTTGGAGCTTAGTGGCAGCAGTGCTGCCGGCCAAACAGTTCTTATTTGACGGAGTTTACATAATTGCAAAATCACCTCAGGCCCCCACGTTGGCACCACGTGATCTCATCTAACGCTGCTTCACAATGTCTGACAAGTTGGAACTGCTGGCTGCATTTCAAGGGAAGACCCCTTATGACTTTGAGACATGACAAATTACCCTCTTCCAGGACTTAAGTATAGACACGCCCCTATGGTGCAAAGCAATACGGCCACTCACCAAACCACTTCAGGAAGCAGGAATTACCTACAGGTGGGCGACACCAAAGACTCTCTAGATAACTAAGGAGTTAAAACACTACAAGACCTCAGATCCCAAAGAAGGCCCAGCTATGATAGCAGCACTGGAACTAACAAATCAAAACACAGCCCCGGCCTAAGCACCTTGCCCTTAACCACAGAAAACGGAGAGCATGGACGCCTTCGAACCCAGAGGGAAGAGAGGCTCCACGACCTGACTATAAGTCAACTGTATTTTGTTTATTTGTTAGGACAATTTATGTTACTCAAATGGTTTTCTTCTCATCCCTGTTGTTCCTATCTCTGTCGTTGAACAAGTTACCCTTACCCTGCACACTGTTTATAGGACATGAGTGATACTTACAGAGAACGCACCTTTCTACTCTGGTGCATTACCCCCTACCCCATGGCCCTATGGCAAAAGGGCATTATTTTCAATGGAGCTTCCCCGCTATCAGAACAACTCGGTACTGATAAATGTAACCCTACCTGTAGCAACAATAGCCAAGCAGTCCAGAGAGACCACTCACACACACTCAAGCTCCAACCCCCATAGACTCAAACTAGCTGTGCCTTAACTATAGACAGGAACAACGTCTCACCTAGTCCACTCACAACTAAGTTCTTAACCGCTAGCCGCCACACAATGCAAACCTTATTGACAACCCCCTTGACACAGGTACCTAACCAATTTCCATCCGCGGGGTGTTAACCTCATGCATATCTCAGTGAAATAGCCAGTCATGAGTAAGGAGGCCAACCACACTAGGCCTATTACCCACTTCGCCTTACCAATACTAGGTTCCAAATGCGTTGTTAGCAACCCCAGAGTGTTACACACTCTTAATATCAATATCCCACTTCTCGTTACAACCTACCAGACTAGTTTAAAAACAAACAAAAAATATGTGCAAATTGTATTTTTAAAAAAAAATAGTAACTCCTGAAAGCAGAATATTTTAATTTATCTTTTTACTCACACATGCAGAGTTCTTATTTGGAATTTTGAAGTCTGACCTCTAACGAGAACCTGTAAAGTCTTAATTCCCTTTAATACAATCTTCATGGTAGTCTGTCGATCTCTGTTTTGATGATTACTGACCAGTTACATGTCAGAGCTTGTCTGTCCTTCAATGAAGTAACCACATAATTTTCTTTTCCTTTAAGGATAATTTCTAGAAAGTTGTGCAGAGAAGAATTGAGACAGGATGTGGGGTTGAAAAAAAAATCCTACTTATTTGTGAATTTTCAAATATTTGTCTAAATGTTATGATGTATTCATATTTTAAAAATACAATATGCAATATGATTTTGTTTTAAATTGTATGTATTGTATGGATTATAATACTCCTTTTATATGTTACATGTTCTACATGTACCATGAACCCCTAATGTGACCTTCATGATCTAACAGTTTTATTTAATGTTTTGTTAGAAAGGCCTGGGTCCAGAAAATAAAATCAGCATCAGAACAATTTCTGGATACAGAGAAGAAGAAAAGAGAGAAGGCTTATCAAGGTACCAACATCCTAAATATTACCAAACCTTACTGTAATTGGACATCATCACCCTTTACTAATCTATCAAATGCGAAAATGCCTTTTAGACTGGAATGTGGAGAAAAAGCTAAATGACATGTTTATCACAGCCCTATAAGGGTTCAAGTTTACAGAGGGGCTCTGTACACATTCTCAGTGTGCTAATAGCAGAATGTCTAGGATTTTAGTATAGTTATCACCTTTGTACTTCTGGAACTTGTTAGGTAAACTACATCTCCCAAAAATCTTTGCTGTGCTTCCTGAAGATATGTACGTTAGGAGGAAGATACGAAAAGGTACAGGAACCAGTCAAGTATTCTAGAATGGCGGAAGTCTTATAGACTTGTGTATTTGTACAATCAGTAGAATGCCATTTCTCTTATCTTCTTAAATAATTTCATCTTCATTGTTAAGAACACATTTCTATGTTGTGTTAACTGCTTCTGGAGAAATACAAACAGTTACCTTTCACATTCTGAATATATTCAGCAGTCGAATCACATTGAATTATATTGGTCTCTTCGTCTATAGCAAGGTCACAGAAATCATCTGGAATTGGACGGCTTATGGTGCAAGTGATCGAAGCGTCAGAACTAAAGGCCTGTAAACCCAATGGTGAGAGCTGTATTCTATGTCATCACAGCATCAACGCTTGTTGTAACCAGAACACACAGTAGTTTTCAATGGTTTTGTTTGTCCCCGTTTGTTCCACTGTGATTACACATATTACATTAAATAGGGTATGAAATATTTGTCCGTATATGTTTATATCTGAAGAAATAAAATATACAGAATTGCTTACTTAATAACGAATTGTGGATATTTATATATTTTAGGTAAAAGTAGGTGAGTTGAAGAATATGTGTAATACTGCTATTTTGGCATGAATTTAGCAATATCCTTGCCAGCTTCATTGTCTGGATTAGCGAATAGCCCATCATTATTTTTTTCCAAATGAACCAGTTGACCATTTCAGTAGAGTCCGGAAGTTGATAACTTCAGTGATCACTACATTTTGTTTACCAACCCCAACATTAAAAGGTTTCTGAACTCCAGGCTTTGGAATGCTTTATGGTTTTGTGAGTAGTGTGTGATGAGGACCTGTTAATGAAAGAGCTAAAATACCTATCAAAACAAGGACATTTGGGAAAAAACAAAAAAAACACCTTCTTAAAAAAAAATATGTAGACATGTTAGCAATTTAGTAGTCATTATGTGAACATCAAAATGACTCACCATTAAATGTCCAGCAGGGAGATTGGTGGATAAGTGTTGATCATTAAAATTCCTATATAATTGTTTTGGACAACACTGTTATTTACACCATCCTAACCTAAATCACATGTCACAGAGTTAGTTCATTTATCTTCAGATACCAGTCAATAGATAGTATATATGTAACTATACACAAATAGAAAACAGGATAAAGGAATATTCCAGTGTTCTAATATTCCATTTGTTCCGCATCACATGAAGTGATACTACTTATTCTCTGAGTGGCCACAGATGGGCAGGCTTTGGATGTTTAGAGAACCCTCCTTGCACATTAACCACTAAATAGGTTGTATTTGTTATGGTGCTTAGAATGTCCCTTTAATTCATTAGAAAGCATAGGGTACCAGTTTCGTGTTGTTTTTCAGATGAAAGCTTTGCGTTGTATTTAATTTTGGTGCTCTTTTCTTCTAAAGGGAAGAGCAATCCTTACTGTGAAGTGAGCATGGGGTCTCAGAGCTACAGTACGCGAACATTAACAGATACCCTGAACCCTAAATGGAATTTCAATTGCCAATTTTTTCTCAAGGACATTCACCAAGATGTGCTGTGCATCACGGTATTCGACAGAGACCAGTTTTCACCAGATGGTAAGTCTTTTCTCCTGGGTCGACATTTAGCATTAAAATGCTGAGTGGAAATAGCAACACTGCTAAATGCCAACTATAAAAGATTTAATCACTAATGCAATTCAATTATGTACTTAATAAATGTTGCCTAGCTTGCGCATGCTCCTAATTAGAGATGCCAGGTAATTAATACAAACAGCCAAACCGTGAAATAATTACTAGTGAATTACGGGTTGTTCAAATAAACTTTAAAATAGAGATCAAAATTACATTAAAACTACTAACCATCTGAGGTCCTCATAGTTCAGTGCTATAATTTACCTTGAATGTTGCAGTCAACAAGGTAAAACCACCTTAGTAATATGAGTGGGCAAACTGGCTCTAACATCACCAATATTCAGTCATGCATACTTTACAGCAGTGATGTGCTGATGGGCCTATCCATAAACACAATGCCAAATTTGGAAGTGGTTGGGCTGTAGTTGCAGAAGATTTTTCTAGTTTTAATGTGTTTGTTTATGAGACGGCAGTGGGCACCTGATATCCAAAACTGGAGGGCTGAAGTTTGGACAAATATTAGTTGCTGGTAGTGTGTAATGGTGTGGGGAATGTTTTATTGACACATGTAAGGCACCCAGCTTAATACCAAATCATCTAAATGCCACAGCATACGTATACATTGTCGGCCACATTCTTCTCATTTTCCGAGGGATACCTGCAGAAGCACAATGCATCATTTCATGACACACGCAAAAAAAAAACATAAAGTCATAATGGAATGCTTAGTATGCTGCAATGCAGAATGGACCTAATTAATTGACAGGATGTTTCCCTGCTTGGATATTGAACTTATTGTCAATGCTTGTGACATCAGCAATCAGTGATTAACAATTGCCGTAACAGCTGCGTAAATGAAAACGCCTGTGAACATTATCAGTTAACCAGCTGAACCCACCACACACCTGTTTAAAGAAAGTAAACGTTTACTCTCTGACTGCTATGAACTGAGGTTCATGGGAATTGTAGTCCATCGCAGTGTTAGTATCAGAGAGTTACTATACGGTCTGTGTACGGATGACGTAGCCAGTAGTCCTTATAATGCACTTTCTGTAACTCTTGGAATTTGAATACTTGGTGATTGTATTAGGCTACTCTTTAACCAGTACTTTTTATTTCCTTGTTTATCTTTCAGACTTTTTGGGGCGCACTGAGGTCCCTGTAGCCAAAATCAGGAACGAACAAGACAGCAAAGGCCCCTCCACCAAACGTTTACTGCTACACGAAGTGCCAACAGGAGAAGTATGGGTGCGGTTTGACCTTCAGCTCTTCTAGCTGAAGTACATTCCACTGATGGATTGAACACTTAAGGGTAGTTTGGTGGAATGTGAACCAACGTTTTAGATTGCTTTAGTACTGACATTCTGGAACCGTTTCACGACTGACTGTCTTGTTTCTGGATGCAGCTTCTCCTGATTGTCTTGTTCATTGCAGACTACCTATGCAAATCCAGTAATTAACAGCCATTGTCACAGTGCCTTTTACTGAGCAAGTGCTTTCTTTTTTACAGTTTTTATTTTAGGAGCGTTTTAAACCTTTATTATATCTTTTCCCTTTCTTGCCAGAGCATAGAAGCTGACATTAGCAGGGTTTATTACGTTTATGTAGATTGAGTGCACATGTGAATAGACAATAACACATCTAGATTTACACCATGGTTTTGGTTTGCAATATAACCTGGGCATTATCATAAGCAGCCGTAGACATAGATAAAAAGATCCAGAGCTTTCAGAGGAACTGTGCAAAAAAAAAAAAAAAAAACTCGATTCCATTGAAAAGAGGAAAAAGGAAATTTGATGTTTCAGTCCTTTTGAGAGACTTTTATCAAAAGTATCAAATTGCATTAGAACCGGAATATGGATCTTTTTTTCATTTTATGTTTTATATCTCATTGCAGGAACTTTATCAGACTGGGTAAAATGTTGTTTGTATTACATGACCTTTATCCAGACCATCATATTAATGAAAATTCTGCTACGGAATCAAAATATGGATCTTTTACTGATATTATTGGTCCCATTGAAATAACTTTTTTCGACCATGTTGCACTCCAATTCCAAGGACCTTTATCAACCTGCTTAACTTTCAGTTGACTGGAGGACCAATAGGTAGTCTAGAGGTCATGTAGCCGAAAGGCCACAAGTTGGTTCCTTCATTAATGTTTTGGTCCTATTGTAATGTTGATCTTCTTTCGCAAACATGTTGGTCCCGTTGCAGTCACTTTATTAAGACAGGCAATGTTTCAGTCATTCTGGAGGAAATTCATCTAGGTGATAACTTGAGTAACGATCCTGCCTTAGAACTTGGAATATTCAGTTTTTGGTTCCGCAGTAGGACCTTTATTTCCAGGACATTTTTTACTTTTTTAGTTTTAGTCAGAATCCTTTTTTTTTTTTTTTTTTGCACAAATTCTTTAAATTCTATGAAACTTTTCTTCTTTCTCTCTCTATATAGACAGACAATGATATATATTTATAAATAGACGGACATATGGATATGCGAAATTCTCAACTAGAGAGTGCCTTGTCTCTGGAGGAGCTCAGATTAACAAGATTGCTTCCCTATGGGAAAATAATTTATGACCTGATTTTAAGTGCATTGTTTATGTAAGGTTTTGTATAATATTAAAATGACAGATAGCTATAGAATACATTTGAGTGTTCTTCTGCAGAATGCTGTAAATGAAAGTGTATATGTTTAATTAGTCAGTTAAACACGCGTAGTTACTTTTTGAGTTTAGTGAGATTTATAATCACTATTAAGTTTGATCATAGGAATGGCTTAAAAGAAGCACACATATATCCTACATGTTGAGGGTTATTCATGATTATGGAGTGCAATATAGTGATATAGATCATATTTTAGAGATTTTATAAAAACTGTTCACAAGCTACGGTCTGATTTAAATGGAAGATGTGAACAATAGTTCCAGAGAAGTATCTATTGCATTTCTACTGTATTTCTTGTAAATAGGATGGATGGGAGGTTCAGTGCCCCAAACAAGTCAGAGATATAAAATGATTTTTTTTAAGGACCATAATTCAGAATGGCCAGTCCTGGTCAGTAGATAGAGGAATATTTAGATCTGTTGGAAAATTAGCTTTAATGATGAGATTCCCAGTGCAATATTTAAAGCAGGGACATTATATTTACAGTCCTTGAGAGCCACAAACAAACCAGAATTTCAAGGTAATACTTAGCATGCTGGTCAGTGATACGCTATATCAAATGTTTCCTTAAAAGCCTATTTTCTTCAGAATGTCACAATTCCCCACTCATCTCACGGTTTAGTAAATGCTTTCTGGCATGCAGTCATTGGGTTGGTTCTCTGCAGACATCACAAGGTTTCTTAGGGCAGAGATTTCTGTGACAGCTGACATTTAGAGAGCTCAGTGGAAGAGTCCATGGTGTCAGTGTCAAACAATTCTGGTTTCCATTCAGTCCTATATATGAATACTCCCCATGCATATTTGTTTGACCCATTCTAACAAGCTATTCAGCTTAATGGGACAATTTAAACTTCAAACCCTGCAGTGGTTATGAGTTCCGTGGCGCCATACAGCTACAACCTGGGTTACTATTCTTTACAATTAAATTTGACACTTACATTGCTCTGTCAGATGACTACAGTTATTCTGGTCTGAGTTGATCTGACAAAGCAGAATTTAATGCATCACATTATCATACAAACTCGTATCTGGTTGAAACAGTATTTGTTGGCTGAGCCGGTCACCTGGTTAAGGAGCAATTTAGTTTGCTATTCAATAAACACACAGTTTCTCCTTTGCTTCTTGATCCAACTCCTAGACCCCAAAATGAACCCACTGTGACCATTTCCAATCAGGAACTGCGACATGGCCAGTAACCCACTGTCCCATATATTTGCTAAATAGTGAGTTGGGTGGGGATTTGACAACCAACTTAAAACATTCAGGTATTTAAACTGCTACAGAAAAGGTTCCAACATTCTTTGCCCTGAAGTATGCTGTTATTAACAAGCATTGACTGCAGCATTCTTCAAGAGTCCCAAAAGGGTGCTAATCCCTGAATTTAAAGGTTATCCGTGGCATTAAAGGGAAATGTAGTCCACATGGGTTAAAGTGCAATTGGTTGAGTATACCAGTTTCTATAAAACAGTGTTTATAGTTCTCCTAATCCTAGAGAATAAATTCTACATAGCTATATAAAATAAACAGCTGGGGTCTAGACTCAGGGGTTACGAACCACTATTAAGACTCTTACAACTGGGTAGCCTTTACGATTTACTTAATTTAGGTTTATTTCATGTCACCATAACACTGACTCATGCACAAAAACAAGGTGTTTTTTGTGTGCGCAATTCCACACGAAATGCTATTTCCTTGCATTCGGTACATCAAAGTTAAATGCCATTGGTATATCTGTAAAGCTCAAAAGGTAAAAAATACATATAATGTTAACAAATCTGACTTTTGGTTTTTTTTTTAACTAAAGTGAGATAAGCTCATAATTGCCAAGGGAACTGACAATTTTAGTTCAAAATGGAAAAATCACCAACTTGGATATTTTTACAAGTTGGCTACAGATTTTTAGTCTCCTTTTCAAATCTCCATAGTCCCCTGAATAGGCAAATTTGTTATTGTCCTTTGAAACAGAAACAGCAGCATTATTTGTTTTTAAGAATTACGAGTGAATTTCTGCTACTTCTCCATTAACTGATCAAGTAACTCTGGGAAAATTACTGATGTATGGGGCTCAAAATTTCCACTTGCCCACAAATCAAGAGCAAGTGGAAATTCATGGTCCGGTCACTGCCTATGAGGTTACTCAGTGCTGTTTGAAAGCAGCAGCCTATAAGAAGTCACACACGGTCATCCGACATCTGCATGCATACAGGGAATGCTTCTAACCATCCCTGCTCTTCTCCCGGCCACCAGACCTTCACTGTGACAGTTTTAAAAAAGCTAATTCTCTTTCATTTGGTTCTGACTTACATGGCCTTTGCTGCGAAATATTTGGCATAGAAGGTCCAGTACACACTAGGGACTGTTAGATACTGCACATTGCTGATTCCTTGCCAATTCACAGCTGTCAAACTGCCGGAGGATCTGTCCTGTGCCAAATAACATTTCGGCCAGGCCACGAATATAGAACTTGAAATATTGAGCAGTGTGTGTCTATAATATACACACATACAGTGCGTATAATGGTTTGTGTCATGATTGTATACCTATGCCTTAACTCCTAATTGCAATGAAAAAGCATTTTGTTGTGTTTTGGTTTTTTATTGGTTTAATATGTTTCCTCAGGCTGCCTAATGCAATATTTCTGAAGTGATTAACACTGGCTGTAAAATGTATTTAAGTTTTTTTTATTTTGTATGATTTAACAGTTAAGCTATATTGACTTGAGTTATTTTAACATAAATTGACTTTGCTATTATGGTTTTTGACTAGTTTGTACTAACCCAAGACTTGGGATTTAATTTTTGTTTTATTTTGGGGGGTTTTGATCCTCAGATCAGGCAGTTTTTTTTTTTATAAAGTGATATGTTACCCAGAGAAGGAAAGTATGATTTGTGAAATTATATCAAATTTCTATTTTGGAATCTTATTAAACGTGAAGAATGATATTGCCAATTCTTGAGCCTGGCCTTTGTGCTTCAGTTGTAATGTCAGTAAGTACATAAAAATGAAAGTGCCCTGTATGGCTTCTCTTGTATTTTTGTCCCGACCTGCAAGTGTGCCCAGAAATGTCTTTAATATTTGTTAAATAGAGACCTTGCATCGTGATGAGAACAGAACATTGAAAGCAAATACATCAAGAAATAAAGGCACAGTGATAGAGGATACAACATCCGTAATAGATAACAGACTATAGTAGAAGGGGGGTAGAATTGATGCAAATTTGGAAAGGCATCAGGAAAGTGTCTGAAACAAATGTTTCTGTGTTAAATGGACAGATTTGGATAGGAGTGGTCAACAAGAGTAATTCCACACACACACACGCGCGCGCGATAGGACGATGAAGATTTAGATGTTTTGGAATTACTATAGGGAAACCCTCTCAATAGTTAAATAATTATATAAAAAAAAGATTGACCTGTAAAAAATCTCCCATTGAAAGTTCCTGCAGTGAGCAGTGCCTATTCCACATAGTGACCCAGCCAGTCAGCATGCTTACTTGTCTTTATATAGCATTGAGTTTGTCCCATACATCCCTGCACAGTGGTGTAGGCAGCTATACAAAGCTGAGCTTCATTATTATTATTATTATTATTATGTTCTTATTTATATAGCGCCAACAAATTCTGCAGCGCTTTACAGTGGGTGGACGAGTTGACAAGTTGGGCGCACCGTTGACTTAATCTTCCAAACCTCATGGACAGTATTAGAGGAACACAAGGGAGACCCCATAGGTTGTTAGATCGATGTACTTAAATTTACTAAACTCATAATCTGTATATTCGTCTATTGAAAAAAACAAAAACAGGTGAATGTATTTCATTCAATTTTCCTTTGCCCATTAGTGAGTGAAATGTCAGCCCTGGAGAGTGCACCATGCACCCTCCGGACTGGTGAGTAACCTTTAGGCCTGAGTAGCTGTAGATGAGTAGCTTTTAAGCCCATCCACTGGTATAGGGCTAGAGATATACAAGTCTGACAAGTTTTGTAGGCTGAGAAGAAGCCTTATTTCTTCCTGTGAAATTTTGATGGCTTCTTTTTTTATAATCTAACTTCACACAGGAGACAGCTTTGCACAGATATGATTCTGATTATTACTTTCTCGTGAGGTCAGAGCGTAAGCTTGATGAGGTAATGCATGGGGATTTTTACAAAATTAAAGAAATTTATATTTTAAATTATTTTGAATTGATTGCTTTTGTATATATATATTTTTTTTATTGCATTATTTCTACATTGCCTTAAAATCATAGTCTGTTCCAACCCGGGTCACATTTTTAAGGATCCATCCGGCACAATACATTTTCCACTGAAACGAGCTGGATAAGAAAGGACTTTGTCACGGCAGGCAGTTAAACAGTTGGACATGGGTCTCTTAAAGTGCCAAGCACTTAATTGTGAGTGTGTGTTTTCATCATTCATTACAAAAATATAATGTTATTCAGCTTAAAGATATATCTAGCATTGCAAAATACCAATGGACTGAATATTCACTACGTATGACATTCAGTTAACAGCAACTGACTGATTGTTAATATTTCTTCTTTTATACAATAAGTTTACTATTATTTTACATTTAACGGAGCATTAAACTGTTCTGATGTTTTTTGTTGTTTTTTAAAAACTAAAGAAACTGCCCTTGGTGAATGATATAATTTATTTAATCTAATGACTATCTTACTATACATATATAATCTTAATTACACTAAAATGGATAACACTGCAATACTACAGATATTCAGTATTCATATTAGGTAAATTAAGGTAGCAACTGGTAATTGACTTGGGTACAAACTTCCTATCTTATATCCTTAAATGTTTCAAAGTCATCTTAGTCTTTACTGACAGAACTTAAATGCCTGAGATGGGGAGAATAAGTGTTGCTTCTATAATATTTCAGATGCCTGACTACCAGATCAGGCTTTTTTGGATGCTGGAAGGGGGAGAGGTCTGGTCGGAGTTTTAGGTTTACGGTACTTCGTGTTACAGAACACTGGAGAATGCCTGGCCTAATTCCATGCTTTGAAGTCCATCGTTACTTTATTAAATGTTCCTCTCATTCTTCGTCTACAATGAAACATTTGATACAGTGTCAGATATTTAATGGCTTTTAATATCATAAAGATATTTATATAGATATAAACTAGATATTTAATGGCTTTTAATATCAAGCACAAGCTGTAATAAATACATTTTAAAAGTTGTGATAGAAACGTATTTTCCAAATAAAGTATTTACTCGAAATTTAATCCAATGGCACAGAATAACAGATTATTATTTATAAAGCGCCAAATTCTGCAGCGCTGTACAATGGGTGAATTAACAAACGTATTTGTAACCAGATGAGCTGGACACACAGGAGGGATTGAGGGTCCTGCTCAATGAGCTTACATGCTAGAGGCAGTGGGATAATGTGACACAAAAGGTGAGGGTAGAAATGTAGGTTGCTAGGAGAGTGTCATTGAGGTCTTATAGTTTTGATAGTTTAAGGAGAGAATCCATTTGATGTAAATGCACCTTCCTACAACAAAGGAAAGTCCAACCTCTCTCTCTCTTCTCTATATATTAAACATGGAGACAAGGAACGGGTGTAAAGGGAATCGGAAAGCATAGTTTTGAATTTGGATCTCTTCTCACTGATAGAAGGGTTTGTTGGGGACTGACTGAATCTGACGACAGTATTATATTAATGTCTGAAGGCAGATCAATACATTGTTACTCAAAATAACATCATTTTCTCTAGAATTCATATCTGTTTTGTGAGTTGTTAAAACAGTTTTGCTTATCATCTGAAGTTCACTGGCCACCACTCCATTAGCTAGAAGCTCCGCTGGGGAACTTCTGTGCTCTTTTGAGATAAGATGGGCAGTAGGGCCAGCTCATTGACTGAGAGCTCCACCTGATCACTCACAACCAACCAATGAGCTAAGGCCTGCACTGCTAGGTTTAGCTCACACAGAGTTTCGGGCTGATGGAAGTGGGAAGCGGCCTCCGGAAGACCCAAAGTAAGAAGACAAGCCATTCTAAAACTGTTTGACTACTTACATTTAGGGGTGGCACCAGGGCGCTCCTGCGATCTTAACCAGGACAGTGCTCTGAACTAGTTATAATGCTTGGAGTGTTCCTTCAACAATAAAACCCCATAGATCATAATGAAATGATCCTGATTGGTGGAGCTTCTTCCTGATTTGGAAGGGGTCTGTCTGCTACTGACATATGTGCAGCAGATTTAGAGTCAGTTAAGGAAGTGTTTTGTTTTATTTTTAATCATATGGTAATCACAACTAGACATCAAAAAGACAATATATCTACCACCTCATACCTGCTTTTTTGTCTGATTTCACTTTCTATGTAAGTAAGTGGAGTCTCCAGCCAATCTTTGCAACTAACGTGTTGACGACCAAATGGTACACGTGGCAAGTTTAAAGCATTGATTTCCTTAGCAGAATGTATTCTACCTGTGGATATGAAAAGACATGTACAAGATGAAATGTATGACACTATATCTCAAATATTATTTGCCCTGCTGTTTTTCCCTATCTTCCTGACAATTTGGCTACAGCTAAAAGCCGAAATGTTTGACAAAATTTTAAATTAAATCTATGGAGTTCACTAAACTCCAATTTGTGAATTGAAAACTGATTCTTCAAAGTTTAATTTAAAAGGGCACTGGGATAATTCCCCAATAGCATTGTAGTCACAAGTTGGCTATTTCAGCCTAAATTTGAAATTCACGTTTTACTTGGAATTCCTTCAAACAGTTTAGTGTTATCCTTATTAAAACATTGGCTGTTGCAGAACTACAGCTACCTATATATTTTCACAAACTTAAGTTTTTATAGTTCTACAGCAACCGTGCTCTTTAATATACACTTTATGATACAGACAACAATGAATGTGGAAGAGGTTATATGTGACTGCTAGGGCAATATGTACCGGTTTCACAATACAAGTTAATTCGATCATCTTCTATTCTCCTCAGAATCTGAAAAAGGAGAGGGTCACGAAATGATGGTGTAGACACCTACATCAAAAAAAAAAAAAAACGTAATCTGTTAGTTTGTGTCAATATATTATATATCACCTACTGTCTACACAGTAAACCCATAAGAGCAAAGGCAATTGTAAAGGGTCTAACCAAATCAAAACCTAAATTCAACCATGATTTACCTCTTTCATATTAAGTGCAACCACATTTATTATACATCATTTGTTCAAGAAAAATAGGGCTTTTATTTCTCGTCAAATATTTATATATGAAACATAATTTGATATGAATAAAATGTAAAAAAAAAAGTGAGAAATTAAGAAATTATATTTTCCAAGTTCTGCATGCATTTTAACAGTGAATGTCATAATATTGCTCCCTTTTACTGCAATAAAATACACATATTTGTGTGCTGTGATGTTTCATGTGTACAACAATGCCCCCCATGTACAGGCTATATGGTGTTTTGGAAAGTTACAGGGTCAAATAAAGAGTTTACCCATTTCCATTTTTACACATTGAAATTTGCCAGATTGGTTTGCTGGGTCCATATTATCTTTGAGACCGTAAGGCAACTCAGGAATGAAAATTACCCCCATCATGGCATACCATTTTCAAAAGTAAACAAGCCAGGGTATTAAAAAAGGTGTTAGCCAGCCTTTTTTATTAGCCATTTAATCACAAACACTGGCCAAAATTCATGGTCATATTTATTTTTTGCATTTTACACACAAAAACTGCATTTTCACCGATAATATAGTCCTGATACGTTTTACAGCTTTACTGCCCTAAAACATAGTTCTGTTCAGCGATGTCTCATGAGTACAACATATCATACCATGTTTGTAAAATGGTGTCTCACACTTTATCTATCACAATGACTCGGATTAGCTCTACTCACTGCATGCAGACTGCCCGGGTTCTTAGACAAGTCCCCAGATAGTGATCGGCATGGATGGTAAGTATCTGGGCCAGATTGTTAAGGCATGCTTAGCTGCCCTAACGGCATAAAAGCCTTCTTCTGTAGGATGGCATAGCATGCCCTAACATAACAAAGTGGTTAAATATTTATTAGATACTATCATGTAAAAAAAAAACTGTAGTTTTATATATAAAGCATCAATATACTCTGTAGCACTGTAACCAGGTAAACAAAAGATACAAGTAACTATCTAAAGAATCAAAAAATACCGAAGAATAAGTAACCAAAGCCTTGCTGAGCAAGTTTACAGTCTAAAGGAAGTAAGGTATAATTACACAAGAATTATATTTCGGTGTATCCTGAAGGGATGGTGACACATGGGCTGTCGAGCAAGAAGGTCTGATAGAGTTTCAGAAGACTTTGTGAGAACAAGCTGTCCCAGGTGAGACAGGGTAGACCGCTGTGGGTACAGGAATTACTTGGGAACTTCATATATGAGGGGTGGGGTTTATATTTTTGGGGATTTTTAAAAAGGGAGTTGCCATTTTGTGGATTTACTTAACTAACCGTTAGTTATGGGTTGTGCTATTTAAAAAAATAAAAGTAATGGTTTTTTTTCTTACTTCCATCATATGCCAGGTAATCGGGACACCGCAAGGTATAAAGATGTAAGTCACTTTAACCCCCAGGAGGCTGCACTTCCTGTGAGAACGCATTTGCATGTATAGCATTCTGGAAGATGTCAGAGCAAAAGATGTGGGTAGGAAATGAGGACAGATGAAAAAAAACAAGGACTGAGATGAGCTGTACTTGCAGATTTGGCAGGACTGGTGTGGAGAGTGGATATCTGCATTCATCCTTAAAAGGACACTCCAGACAAAAAAAAGTACATATTTCAATAGAAAATTACATTTTTACAAATGAATCCACTTGTCCTGTTACATCCTGGTTGTTTAGCTCAGAGGAGCTACATCCAAGAGGCAGCAATTGCTCAAAGCTGTTGCCTTGCAAGACTTCTAGTTGAGCATGAATAGGAAGTCTGTGATTGGACAGCCACAGAAAGTCTGGGCGGGGTCCTTGGGCGACACTATGAGGGGGGCAGCAAAAAACGGTGCCCCCCCAAGCACCCTGGCATGTGCCCTGTTAGTCTCTTTTGTGGGGGACCCAAGAGCTGGCCACCTCAGGGTCCCCCAGAGGCGTTCAAGCCTCTCACCATGTGGGCAGCCCGCAGTGATGACGGGAGCTGGAATATGACGTCATTACGGCTCCCGGCAGCAGGAAGAGCTCAGATGACAGAGCTCCCTCGCAGCCCGCATTGGCTGTCTGACCACTGGCCTTTTACCTGTGCCTGCCGCTTGCCTGCCAGCCAGCCCAACTGGACCCCAGGAAAGAATACATTATTGCCGTTCTCTTTAGTTTAGCTCCATTGAGCTAACCAAAGCAAGAAGCAACAGGACCGGTTGTCTGACTGATAGCCATGAGGGTGTAATAAGGTAAACTTGTAAAAGTGACCATTTCTGTGAATTCTGCACTTTTTGAAAAATAAAAAAAAGGAATGAATAAAAATCAAAGACAAACTCTTCAGACAAAGCATTTCAGCAAATTGAAGTGCTCCAGCGGTCTGGAGTGTCCTTTTTTTTTTTAGGACAACTGCACCTGTCTAGGGGTGAGCTTTGTAAGGGTTTGAAAATGTCATCCTAGATGACAAGTTTAATGTAGGGTAATAACTGCTTAATCCAAGGATAAATCTGACTGCCATTCTGGGGTCAAGAAGGAATTTTTTTCCTAGCTTGTTGCAAAATTGTGCTTCAAACTGGGTTTTTTTGCCTTCTTTTGGATCAACAGCAAAAAACAAATGTGAGGTAGGCTGAACTTGATGGACGCAAGTCTCTTTTCAGCTATGTAACTATGTAACTATGTAAGATGCCAGTGTGAGAATTATTTAAGGGTTGAACTGTAAGAAGCAGAGACCAGGAAAGGCATACAATACTGGAAGGAACATTCACCAAGCATTGTAAGGAGGTAATTTGAGCACATGTAAGACCTTGCCGTAATTGAGATGGAAGCAGAGTGCCTGAACAAGAGGTTTGGTAAATGTGTGCAATATACCTTTAAGAAGAAATCTTTAAAAGGGATATTCATACATAATACTAGAATAGCTAGGAATTCAAAGTGATTTTCAAATTTACATCCAAAACAGTCAAACTAAAACATAACTGACTAAGAGAATCTTTGTAATTATGTAGAGGCCAGAGTATATAAACGACAACAAGATGGTGAGTTTGTGGGTTGGTGTTGATGGCACAATTGACCTGAAAATAGTTTGGTGTTTGAAGGAGAAATGGGTATAAATTCTGTTTGGAAATCCTTAATTTTCAGTTGTTTATTGTTTAAAAATTCAAGTTAGCAACAAGAGAGGCAGTTGGTGACAAGATGACAAGAGGTAAGGAGGACGAACAGAGAAAGAAATTCTAAAAATGGGTGGTGCTCAGATATACATGAAATATCTTTTATTGAATTTGGTGTTTGAAGTAGAAAAGAGAAGACATTCTTTTTGGAACAAGTGACATTAAAGTTAATCCAATTCCAGTGGAGAAAACCTAGACCATCTTCAAGTATGTACAACTTTTACTGACCATGTTTACAGCACAAAGTGTTGATTGTGAGGTTTATTTACTAAAGCAGGAATTTTCACAAGGGAATTACTAATTTTAGCCCAAAATATCAACTGTCAAAAGGTACACCTGTCAGCTTAATTATTTTTGACAAACAATTGCAATTCCATCTTAATTCTGATCATTCCTCAATTAAGCCCAAATTAGAGTGACAAAAACCCCTTCAAGGAATGTAATAGTCTGATACAGAAATAATAATCAGTATAAATTTTCTTACCCTGAGATATTTCTTGCGGAATTGATAAAGGAAAGGGTTGTATTCCATGGAATTGTAATCTCTCATTAATACTCTGCCCTAGAAGATGTCCCAAAAAAAAAAAGGTACATAAAGTTAAAACAAAATCATTACATTAAAATGTATTGCATTACAAAAAGCAAGCAATGGGTACCATCTAGTGCCATATACCAGACGTTAACCAAATTGATTCAGACAAGACAGACCAAAAATAAAACACACACATTTGGTTTTGTCAATTCAGGATTCGTCCATGCCTCATTTCAGCTGGACGAATTTCATCCATAGAATCATTTTAAGGAAATCCTAAATGTCAAAATTGGCCAATAAGTGCACTGCAAAATATATACAAAACAGAAACAAGTAATGGCACTAGATGGTACCCATTGCTTATTTTTAGTAATGTAATACATTTAAATTATATATACACATATACACACACACGAGCAGAAGTAACCAATAAAGTGGAAAAATTAAAAAGCAGTAAAAGAAAATGAGATATATATATATAATTATTATTATTATTGTTGTTATTAAATATATAATAAAGAGTTTTTTCTGCCTCTGTTGGTCACTTCTCAATTGTCTTGTGAATAAAATAAACATTTAGTGGCTGTCCCAATCATCTTTTTTTCCCCATCAATCATCTCTTTTTTTTTTTTTGTGCCAGGAACGGAACTCTGAATCATGAAACAAGCGAAGCTGTGTGTCCATTGTCAGTTTCATGGTTACAGAATCCGGATGTAACGCCAATCAATACAACCGAATCGCAACTGCGGGGGTGGTAGTCAAGACTGCACAAAGAAGGGGGAGAAGAATAGTAGTAACCAAAAATTCTCACACCAGGAAGGGGAGGGGCGGGGGGGGGCTTGATCTCCTATTGCCCTTAAATTCCTCAGGCCATGTGAGTTATAACTCCGCCCCTGGGTGCCTGTTACCGTCAGCTGCTACTATCCTTTGTTCACATTGGCGTTTCAATGTAATTACAAGACAATGTTCAAGTTTTTAATTTTTTAACATTCTACCTTTAGCAGAAATTTAAAAGTGAAAATGGCACTTTAGGGCCAAGCTACCAGAGTTGGAAAAAATATCCAAATCCCTATGTTTTAGTCTAGGGGTTTATTCTTGAACTGGAGAACGTAACAGCACTTTGCAAATTTTAGGACAATAGCATAGTTTTTCTATGCTCCATTAAGGAATATTGCCTTCAGATTTGAAATTCCCTTGTCAAATCTTCACAATTCCAAGTTAACTAAATAAACTTCTAATTTTGCATGTGGGTTCTCAAGTCAGCAGAGCTAATTCCTTGAAAAAACGTATTGTTTAGTGTAAATGTAAAAGGGTACATAAGTTTTACTCCATTGTTTGTTATTACACATTCGTCTACATTGACACTATATTATGGGAAGATTAATTTGCACAAGGTGTGCAAACGAAGTCTTGGATACTGATACTTACCTTGCTGTTACAGTATTTTAAGTACTCTTCATACTGTTCAAGTAGAAACTGTCTTCGCCACTCAAGGTCTTCATTTGACTCGCCATCAACATGACGCGCTATGATTTTCTTTAATGGTTCTGCAACATTGTCGCTCCACCTCTTGTGCTGAATCTCTTTCCGACGTAATTCAAGGAGGTCTTCTTGTCTGAAAAATACCTCTAGCATCTGCAAAATACAAGAAGGAGCTGATGAAACCCAGTGGCTCTTTCCCAAACGTATTTGAATGTATCAAACAAACCAGGTAACTATATAATAAATACAAACAGATAAAATTAAAGCTATTTTGTGCCAGTGTAATCCTAATTGTAAAGACACTATCATACAAGAATTACACAATCGATGCAGTAACTGTTTTCTTTTGTCTAACAAAATGGTAGCGTCCAAAGAGAAGACTTCGTAAAAGCCATTTCAAAACTTCCATTTATCCCTTTCAGGTTTTGCCAACACAGTATACAGACATAAAGATATGTCCTATTAGTGATGATTTCAGGGACAGTCCCGTCACCCTAACCAGAACAGATTGTGGCAGTAGTGAGTACAGGGTTTGGAAGCTATGAATGTAGTCCCTCGTATTTTTATCACAACATTTTATAATGAGGATTCCCTGATGCCCAAAGCGTACTCCTTTAACTTAAGGAAATATCAGATCCTCATTATCCATCCAAGTTCTTAAACACTTGGCGTGCGTACACTGTGCACTAACAAGCTGAATGCATTGTGTACAGGAGAACTTGGTCACAATCAACTGCCGCAGACCTTTTCATGTAGCCAAAATATCACTGACCATCACATGCGTGTGGGTGGAAGATGCCAGCGAGTAGCTCACGGACACTTGGTGCTTTTGTGAACCTTCTGCAGTCAGTTCTACAAGAAATGACTGAGTAAGTGTGCATGTAATGTGAAGTATTCATTCATGCTCAATAAATTCAAAGAAATCAGTAAAAAAAAACAAGCAAGTGGGTTAAAATCTTTCAGCCAGTTCCTGGTTCTAACGTATAGCATAGGAGGTAGAATTAATCTGGGAAAACCGGCAATATTTACTAGGTGTGTTCAAATTAATTATTTATGTAATATGTAAAAAGTATATTGTGCCGTGTGATCGTCTATATCAGTAATACACACAATGTATTAATTTACGAATAAATGTAGACATATTTTCAAACCTGGTTGTAATGATTCGCTTTGTCCAAAATATTCTGGGTTTTTATATCAATGTCTTCTCTCTCTGGGTCCAACACCAGCTGGGAAAAATAAATGAATGGGAAATATTAACAGATATCTTTTAATACAGCTGCTCTTAACTCCTCGGCCATGAGCCAAAAATGGGTTCCTATTGGCCAAAGCAGACAAATCATACATTCATTCAATCCCAAGTACCAGCTTACTATCAACTGCTTATTGTAAGAGAATCTCTTTCCCCAGTGCACTAGAGACCCTTTAAACATAGGGAAGAGCCTCTTGCAAGTATGTCTGCTGCTTGTTGGGGTGACAAATGTCACTGCATTCCTTCACTGATACACTAGCAATGATGCTAGCAATTCAGTGACAATGGAGCAATTGTCCTGATTGCTTAATGTCCCGGAATAATGAATTGCCAGTGATGCAAAATTAATTGAAAAATTAACTTGAAGTGAATTTAAAATATCCAAACTGACTTGACCTGGATTATTTTTTTATTTTTTTAACCTAATTTGACTATTTTGGCACAATATTTGAAATTTGAGTTCCTAACAATTCACTCTTTACTGAGTAAACGTGTCAGTACTTGGTGGACAGCTCCTCTTTACTATGGCAATATGAACATCTTCATCGTTGAAAATTATCACATCATTTTCAATATTTAAAGAACCACTATAGGCACCCAGACCACTTCAGCTTAATGAGGTGGTCTGGGTGCCAGGTCCTTCTAGGGTTAAACCTTTTTTTTTTTTTAATTCTTTATTTTTGATGTGCATGAGGGTAACAAGCATTCTCGCTGTGCCACAACAGCCATAGCGAGGTAAGGGTAAACTATGATGGTAACAGTATAGGCATATTGATATAACAGTACACATTTAGTTTTTTATGTAAGGACATAAGAGTAAATATGTTTAACATTTCGAGTAAGTTAAGAAACATTCTATAGGTAGGCGCCACATCAGCGTATCACCAGTTCCCACACTAATCCGACAGTGGCACGGTAGGTATGTCGTCCAAGTGAGGTTAAATAAAAGAAAAACTAAATTTTTCCTAGAGACAAGCGTTGATCGCATGCATCATGTAGAGCCATATACAGTTAGTCACGTATAAAGTGTAGCGAAGGAGTAAACAGGTCTGAGAAATAATGTAATGATACCAGGCTGCAGTAACCTAGCGCTGTCCTGCAGCTAGTTTAGCTTAAAGGGGACAGGATAGGTTACCATATCACCTGCTAGTTAACATAGATCCTTAGGGCTTTATTGTGTCAAGACTATGTAAGATGCCCGGGTTTCCAATAGTATGTAGTGCAGTTAGGCTAGCGTTTCAGGTTACTCTAGTCTATCTAATGGTCGAGTGAAAAACTAGGTGATTGTGTAACCTAAGGTTTCTACCATCCTGGCTGTTGGAACCCGTCTAGCGAACTATGTATGGACCTGGTATATATTCAGTTGTCAGGTCGTGCTGGGGACGTAGGGGGGGGTTAGATCTACCGAGGTTAATTCTGCCGGGTCGCCCTACTGCGCTTGGCTGTGTCGTCTCAATTTCGAGTTGGGGGGGGGGAGAGGCCCTGCCGTCTCTGTTGTGTGTCAGTTCTGAGGTGAAATCATAAACTATATACAATTTATCGAGCCAAAAAGCAAACAAAAAACTTATGGAAAGGGAGATTCATATGAATCCCAAAACCGTAGGTGAAATATTAGTGGGTGATGTCCCATTGTAGCCTGGATAGTCCTGCGTCACCTCATGTTGTGGCCACCGCATAGGCATCCGAGCGGGCCCTCTGAGGGACAAACGGGATGACTCTAGTGGGGTCCCATGTGTGCGTATTAGCCGTGTTGCTTGTGCCATGTTGGGCGAGCGCATCTCGTGGGAGGCCGATGGTTTCCAGCATGGCTGCCGCCTCCTTAAGGTCCCTGACCGCGTGCACAGCGTCCTCTTTCAGGATGTGGAGTAGCCGCTGTGATCTCCAGCGATATGGGATAGCGTGGGTGCGTAGCAGTGAGGTGAGTGGTTGGAGAGTTTTCCTCCATTTCAGGGTGTCCCCAGATAGGTCTGAGTAGAACGTGAGCGCCATGTTTTCAAAGGAGAGTGGCGAATTCCCTTTGATTGCTGCCTGCACTGTTGCTTTCTCCCTGCTGCTGCCGAATCTAACAACCAGATCCCTGGGTGCGGTCTCGGGGGCCTTCTTAGGCTTCGGTATGCGAAAGATCCCGTCAGTCATAATGCCTTTTGCCTGCTTGGGCGTAAGTAGTGACCCTAGCAGCCTTCTCACCAGATGCGGGAGTTCTGCGTCTGGGATCGCCTCTGGGACACCCCGTATCTTGAGATTCTTTCGGCGCCTGCCATCTTCCATCACTGCCAAGCGTTGTTCCAAGGTGGCTTGCTGTGCCCTGAGGGTCCCTATTTCCCTCGAGAGAGTGGTGATTGTCTGGGCTTGTTCGGCTGCTGTCGTCTCTACTGTCTCCAAGCGGCCCACTATGCCCGTTAGGTCTGCCCTGAGTGAGGCCATGTCGGCTTGCAAAGTGAGCTGGAGGCTGTGTAGTAGCTCCTTCAGAGTGGCATTTGTCACCGGAGCCGAGTCAGCGTTCTTTGGAGCTGTCTGGGGCTGTGGTGTGAGGGGAACCCTAGCGGGTCCCATCCCCAGTATTGAGTCCTCTGAGGAGTCTGAGGCTGAGTACTCGTCCATATCGGCGGCCATCTTGGGCCTACCCACTCCGTGGGCCTGCCGGAGCAGATCCCCTATGTTCATGCCCGCTTTGGGCTTGTCGGGCTTTTGTTTTTTCCTCTTGCGGCCCATGACCACTAGTAGCACCCGTGGTCCGGTTTGCCGGCGGTGGTAAGGGGTTTGAAATCGCCAAAATACAGCGGTGATTGTCGGAGCTCATCCGACGTGCGTCCGTCTCGATCAGCAGCTTGGCCCCGCCCCCCTAAACCTTTTTTTTTATATAAACATAGCAGTTTCAGAAAAACTGCTATGTTTATAAATGGGTTAATCCAGCCTCTAGTGGCTGTCTCTTGATATATAGCTGATCTGGAAAATTCTGAGACGGTAATTCGCAAAATAACACATTTTCGTGAATTAAGTCCAAATAGTGAAGCTTAAGCAAAATGAGTGGATATGAAAAAAATTTCCAACTCAGCTCTAGTCATGACTTTATGGCTAATTTTGCCTTTTGTTTTTCCATTCTTATTACATTTGCAAAAATTCTGTGTGTGTGATTTATTTACTAAACAACAAACTGCAGTGATGTTAAACACAGTTTGCAAAATTTATACTAAAATAACCAAACTGTGACTTGAGGAATTGGATTTTTTCTTTTCCTAATCAGCTATTGTTACCAAAATTTTTCACATTTGCTAAAGTCCAAATGCAAAAATTGGGGATTGTTCACACTATTCAACAATGTTTGGATTTTGCGATTCATGCCTCAAATGAGCATACATTTGACCTAGATTTCTGCTAGTGGGCAAATACTACTTAAAATTATCATATGAGAATGTGAATCCTACAGGACACATTCGGTTCCCTACTCAGATTAAAAATGGGCCCTTGTGAATCCTCCAAATCCTATACTTTGTACAGAATTTAGATGTGAAAGTACAGATTTTATACAGCACACCAAATGCATCCAGGATATTGCTACAGATTCGCTTTGGGAGACCGAATCCTGATCGCATTTGGCTTTAGTAAATATGAGAATTGCCATTTAAGTCGGAATTAGGCAATTTTCACAGGATTTTGTCCATCTGGACAAAATCCTTTGTTTAGTGAAATACCCAGGCAGTTTTCAATTTACTATAATTCAATGTTCGGTGAATAACATACAGACTAAAATTTGACTAAGTGACAAAGTGGCTCTAAACTGGTTGCTACCAAATAATGAATTGGGAACAATGCTCTGCAGAGAGTAGATAATTGCAGGTTATAGAAGGTCGCTCTGCAGTTCTCTTCTATAATCGCAGACCACGTACTAATAATGGAGTAGCCAAGTTTTACAGAGCTGGTTTGTTGTACCTCGACTGAAGGTTTATGTGCGAGCCAGTTTCTGGTCTTCTTTATTGATGATGTAGAGAGTATTCGAGCTTCGGGGTACGAGGACAATTTTTTGGGTATGAAGAAGAATTTGAATTCCTCAGAAGGCTTTTTAGATGTAATCATCTAGAGAGAGTGGAAAAAAAACAAAATACATAACTTATTTTATAAAAACCAAGTTGAAAAGATATTCAGTAGTTCCTTAACCGTCTATTACACTAGCTGTAGCTTTATCCCAAATTCCTCACATTCTAAAATCAAAGGCTATGGCTAGCTGAAAGTTGGAATATCCATTGTGCAATAAACAGGTGAGCAAAATGAGAGTCACAGTCCAACTACAGCTGAAGAGCCAAAGAGCCAAGTCCTACTAATAGCCAATGGCTTACACGGATATTCTTCACAGCAACAAACCTTGTATTCCTTATAACCAGAACTTGTGGAAATTCTAGAAAACATCAGCTCCGGAATTATTCTATATATTCTAAATTTACAAATACAAATAAAAATGTGTTTACCTTTAAAATATAAAATCACTTTTGGGATACAACCACTCTCAAATTGTATATACGGAGGGAAATGGAGAAGAAAAAAAACACAACAAAGTACAAAGGCACTTGTACTGTAATATTTATAAGACAGTCACTCACAATTTTTGCACAATTTATTTTGTGCAATTCACTTGTGAGTGCCTGTCTTATTTATTTGGTTCATATTTTATGTTGTATTAAATACTACACTATAAGTTCTCATAATAGTGTGCAGCACAATTATATTAGGATGTACCACTCGGATTTTTATTTTTTTTATTTTTTTTTAAATAAAAGAAGTATCATTAGAAGAAAAATAAAATAAAAACACACACACGCTCTCTCTCTCCTCCCCCTTCCCCCTCTTTTATTGTATTCTTTTCAATAAAGCAATCAATCAATTACATTAAAAATACAGACTTTCCCTGGCAATATGTTGTATAATATTACACTAACAAGCTGGCTCCTCCTGCTGTCTATTCATTTGTACATTTCCCTGGTCCCCAAGACAAGTCCAGGCTTGATAGAATATTCAGTCTAACAAAAAGCCAGGTTTATGCCTTCCACCTCAGCCACTAAATCGCACAAAGGTGAGAACAATGGGTTTATGTCTGACAGCAATTCTGGAGCTCTCCAAGGTGATCTCTCCAGAACGACTGTTAATACATAATTCTCATTTTAAAGGGACAGCATCCACTAAGACAGAAAAAAAACCAAACCCCCCCCCCCCAAAAAAAACACATTTCAATAGAATGCGGAGACAGCCACCATGAGGCATTAAAAATAAATGCAAACATACATTTGAAATAATAAAAAATTAAAATATGCTCCCATTTGAAGATCCAGAATTTGCATATTATCCAGTGAACCCTGCACAGACTAGAACAGGACTCAGCCATTACTGATGCTCTATTATATTCCTAATGCAATGCTGAGTTTATTCCGTAGGAAGTTTTCTAGAGTTAGAATTCACCTGTAAGCTTTCTCCTTTAGGATGTTGATATTTGAAGTTAAACTCCCAGAAATCTCTGCAGTGCAGTATCTCAAGATAATATATGTGCTTATATTGGGAAGAATGGAAGCATTTCTTCCTCCTGTGATGGCTCTGAGTGAGGGTGGCCTTATGGCTTTAGTGAATTTTATAAGCGGCTGCAGGTATAAGACCCTACTTCATACCTCCCTAGTGTCCCTATTTCAGAGGGACAGTCCCTACTTTGATCCCAAATCCCTCTGTCCGTCTTTTGTATCCTAATATCCATCTTTTCTAGGAGCTCCCTATTTTTGGTGTTTCTGAATGTATAACAGAGCTCCACAGCAATAATAGACACATCAATGTGTCTTTAAACTAGAAAAATGTTTAGGAATCAGTCTGTGTGAATAAGATACATTGTTCTTGTTCTAAATTACATTTTATTTGCGTAAAATACTATAAGTATATCACATAAAACTTCTCAGAACCGCCCCACCCCCGCAAACACCTCCATTCACACCTCTAAAATTAAAGTGTCCCTCTCTGTCCACTTGAAATGATGGAAGGCGTGTACAATAACAATAACTGTTATGGTGATTGATTGCTGCTTTTAAAAAGGCAATTATCTCTGAAATAATTGGAGATCAGAGAAACTGTCAATTAAAGTAACATAACTGCTTTGGGCACTCACTTTAAACATATGAAGAAGGTTTTTAAAGTGATCCTGGATCTGCTGTACAGTATAAGCTGATAACCTGGATAATGGTCTAACATCACTTCCTGTACATGGAATCCACAACAAAGCAATGTTCATGAGACTGTTGGTATCCCCAGCCATATGAACTTACCCTCTTTGAAAGTCACACTTCCTCATTCCTGCAACCTAGTAAACATAACTTTAGCATTTACAGGGGTAAGTAGCACAGCAGAGGTAAGTAAAAAAATATATATACTTTCCTCCACAACACCTCATGGTCTAGGGTTCGGTCGTTGCCACATTATTTTTATTGCAACATGAGGGGCTAATAATTTATTTGGCATACTCTAGCTATGCCAGGACATATAGTGTAAACTAAAATATAAAGACTATTGAGATTTTAAAATGGAGTGAATAAATAAATAAAAATCGCACAAGCCATAATTAAAAGACCACAAAAAAACCCAGGACACTTCCTCTGAATGAATGGCCCTAGTGTAAAGGCTGTCTGTCCTCCAGACAGCCATTAGAGGGGCTTCCGCAGCAACGACCGGGTTTCACTTGCTCATACGACCAAATGCAGCTCATGGGAAACCTTTGAATTCAATGTTTTTCTGCGAGAAGCATTTGATTGAATGTTCACCCAGTGTTCACTGCGCATGCACATCAGTCCCCAATGGTCTTCGAGGAGTAGCATTCAATTGGACGAACACCTGCTATGTAATGCCGGAGGTCTTCTTTGTGCTGGAGAAAGGGATGTATTGTATCTTTATCTTTTTCATTTTTATTACACACAGTAGGCGGGGGCACTAACCTAAATAGGGATAGTGTTAAGAATACAGGTTTGTATTCCTATGCTATAGTGTTCCTTTTACTTTTAATTAGCTATCTGGATGTGCAGAAGTCTTGCATGTGACAGTTTCTGATTTAAACCTCACATTTTGCACATTGCCTTAGCACAACTGCGGTAAATTCTAATGTGAATCTCAACAGATACAACATGAATAATCAATCATTTCAGAAAAAGGTAATCCCAAATCCACATTAAAAGTTAAATTATGCCATCAGAGTAGTGCTGTCTCTGCAGAAGCTGGAAAGGTTGATAGTACAATGCCATGGAGTTTAAGCTCTCCAAGAACAATATCAATAAATGATGCTCAGAGAGTCTGAGACGTAGGAAGAGCTGTGTTACTGAGGCCAAGGTCGTGAAGGGTGAGGAGGAGAAGCGGGTGATGAAAAGTGTCAAAACAGAAAGATCAAGAAAAATAAATATCAAATAATGGCCTTTGGATTTAGCCATCACTAAGTCATTATTCACCTTGGTCAAGGCAGTCTCTGGAATGTTGGGAGAGGAACAGCCAGACTGTGACAGGTCGAGTAAGGAATTGGAGTTCAAAAAAGTCTGTAAGTCGAGTATGAACAAGTCTATCAAGGAGCTTGGAGGTAAAGGGAAAGACAGAGATAGGACAATATCTAGGAAAATCCTCAGTTTAGAGAAGGCTTTATTATTTAATATGGGTTGATTAGTTCATGTCTAAGGACAAGGTGATAGTGCCAGAGGAAAGAGAGAGATCGAAGATTTTGGTTAAAGATGGGACAGTCGCGGGTGAGAGAGACTGGATAAGGTGGAGATGTGTGAGAGAGAGGGCACAGAAAGCAATATAAATTTGTAGTGTTGGAAAATCAGCCATACTACGAGACTTCCTACAATGACATTCTGCCACCCATGAGCAACATTAGAAGTATCAGGTGGATTTGGTATGCTTGGGATAATGTTTGCTTTGACAGACAGGGTGGGCAGTGTCAGGACATAGGTTATCTAGGGCACTTGAGAGGGTAGAGTTGTAGACGATAGTTGCTATATAAGTGCATGTGGTACTAGAGATCAGTGAGCGGAGAGGCTGGTTGTTGATATAAAACTGCTGCAGGTCAAAGGATTTCCGGTTTCTGTAAAGTCTAGGTTTAGCACGTGAGGGTGGTTGGGTGGGGGGGCAGGATAAGATTGTAGCGTAGAAGGTAGTGGTCAGAGAGAAGAAGAGGTAGGTTGGTGACCTTAGCAATAGAATAGAACCCAGCTAAACTCAGGTAATACATCAAACCATTCAAAATGTGACAGCATCAGTGCATTCCTGGCACCATAATTACTACAGCGTGCTATAGCAGTCCTTTAAGATGCGATTAGATCAAATCCTAAACCAAAAGATATCAAAAGGATTTCACCAGATCAGGGAATTAGAATAGTTTATGGGTGCAACAAAACAAGTGAATGTCAACTCAAGAGTCTCTCACACATGGGCAAAGCAACAGCAATCATTATGGCCTTCCTGACATATGGTGTACGTACCTTGGGTGCATGTTGTTCAGGCAGCAGGTCCCCTGGAAGCTGGTTACACTGCATTGTAATTACACCGTCCTTCATTTCTCTTCTGTTTCAGAATAACTAAAAATACGACAAAACATCAAATAGAGCTTGATTAAAGTCATATCTGCCATTAATTCTAGCCATTTTTTTGTTTACTTGTAAATGCCAATCAGGGTTGGGTGTGAGATGTTCTGGAAATTTTTATCCACCTCTGAAAGGATGAGAGTACAGTCCAACACAGTTAGAGGAAACAAATCACAATACAGAGTGACCTGGGTCGCAGTGCTCACTGGGTGTGGAACAATGTGATCACACCCTTAAAATACTATGGCTTGGCTCAGAAATGAACCCCTCAAGGGCACTAGACTCAAGAACAAAAAAAAAGCCTTCTATTAGACCTCCGAAACCCTGGGATCTGTTGACTTATCCAGACATTCTCCGCCGTCTGGGTCTACCTTGCTATCTGCTGTATCCCCCATAGACTTGGAACCCATTTTTTCCCCTATCTCCCTAATATTTAGAAGTTAAACCTTCTAACCTTATCTTTCCATCACCAACCAGCCCAGCCCAACCCATCCTTGCCTCAGACCTTGTGCCCCCTCAATTTCCCACTTCCCTGCTTGCCATCTTCAGAAGACTTTCTGTACTTTGTTAGACATTTCACACAGGACAAAGCACACACACGCACACTTTTATTCTAATCACATGTACTATTGACTGTAATTTAAAGTTCTCTCTCGTGTGGTTTGCCATTTGCACTGTCGTAATGATTTTGCTGTTTTTCTATTGTTGTTGTCAAATTTAAGTATTTTGACAGTATGCAATGATATTTAGACACCCACTCCATTTTGCCTACTGAATCTGGAAAAATACGCTGTATTTGTAACTTTTTTTTTTTAACTCACACTCTTTTTATTTAATTTTTTTTTTTGTGTCCTACATCACATCAAGGGCAAAGCCATGGTCTATGTGACCTTTCACCCAGAAAAGACTAGATGGGGACATTTATCTATGTGTTGTGATCTTAGTAATGGTGCAAACTTTTAAAATTGTATTATCGATAATACTTATGGTGATTGCCTCAATTTTGGAAATCTGCGTCACTTTTCAAATCATGGAACTTTGATAAGTCACTTTCATTATAAGTTTCCCTGCATTAAAGCATCAAATCTGGATTTTTAAATTATGCTCCCGCCTGTCATGTCAACGTTGCATTTTACAGGGTTATTCACTAAACTTTTTGTAGCAAATTAAGGACCCAACTTCATGTTTTTCGATGATCTTTTAAAATTATTTTATAATTTTCAGATAACATTTTAAAATAATTTAATATATTAAAAAATATTTTCATTAACTGATATGATACATTTTCATAACCTTTTGTAAAAAAAAAAAAAAAAAAATCATTTGAAAACTGTATCCAAAAATATTAACTCTGGGCCTATATCTGAAAGAATAATACGCTACGTATTCAATATCACAGATTTGTCTATAATTCCAGCAACCGTTCAGATTCATTTTTCTCTACACCATGCAGTATTCCAAAAGGCTAACTGTACACACTGGAACACAGTCAAGGTTAGTTACTAAATTTTAAATAGGAGCAAAAGGCACTTATTGAATAAAGAGGAGACAAGCCAATAGCCCACTAACATAATTTAGAATAAAAATTTTTTTTTAAAAATTTGTTGTAATGTTGTTGTTTTTTCTTACTGCCCCATTGTTTAATTTTTCAGGCAGTTCTCAAGATATAGCAATTTGCAGTTTAGTAAATAAACCCCAATGATCCCTTTCCCCCAATACACACATGCATTTGGAATTTCAATTTTTCAATTATTTCATGCAAAGGAATAATAAAAGAATAGAGAATTAAATAAATAATAACATGCTAACAATGCACTTATAATGCTTCTAATAACACAATATACTCATTGTGTCAGGCTAAGAATATTATTGCTACATGTATAAATTATTTACATTTTGCTATTTGTTTTAAATGTTACTTTGATATATTATAAATATGTCTCAGAAATAGTAGTAGCTGTATGCATGCAATCAAACAATGTAACCCGAGTAATTAGAACTAACAGAGCCATTTATACTGCAGATCCTGCTGATGAGAACCTACCTGGGATCAGACTGTGTACAAGTGGGACCTGCCCTGCTGTCAGCAGACACAAAGTAACTCCTGCCCAGAGCAATGTGTCAGGGCTGTGTGTCCTTCCGCGCCCAGGCTTGTGCTGCTTTGCATACAGGGCTGCCCCTTGCTCATTAACCCCTGACATGCCATACTTATTGATGTCACAACATGTCACAAAACAGAGGCCTGCAGGGGGTGGGTGACCAAAAGCTAGCTCCCCAGCTCAGGCTGGACTACAACTTTTTTGAGTTTTTCCAAGCTTCTAGTCTCAAGGCATCATGGGAATTGTAGTTTAAAATAAAAAATAAAAAAAATAACAGCTGAGGATCTCTTTGTTATGGCCACTTGTCGACAAGGGCTACCAAGAGTCAAAGCCAAACACTGACTTCTGCACATTGTAACAGCTTATTGTGTCACCCCCTCACCCCTCCCTGCATGCAGTTTATGTATATGCAGAACCTGAGGCTGAAAATAAAATCTAAACTCTGGATACTAAGTTTCTCCATTCTCCTTACTATGTGCCTGAGCAATCTAGCACAATAACCTCTGGCAGTGTCCTGCTCACTCACCATTCATTAACCCCTTAAGGACACATGACATGTGACATGTCTTTATTCCCTTTTATTTCAGAAGTTTGGTCCTTAAGGGGTTAAATAAACCATTTCAATACCACATGTACAAGTTAACCAGAGATTGCAACAGAACTCTCTGTATCTTAATGTATAATACAGTAATATTTAATAATGATATCTGATTTATATTCCATAAATGCCTATATTCCTTGAAATTATCTTTAGTTAAACACACCATGGCTATAACACAGCACAAAGTGTTTTATATCTTATTCTTAAATGAAACAATGTATCAATCCGCTTGGTGAGAGCAAGCTGAGATGCGTTGCTGTAGCAACCGCGTTGTTATGTTGACAGGTGTCGCTCTAGGAATCTCTCTCTCTGACTGACGTCCAGGGTGACCAATCAGCATTAGGGGAAAGTGCTTACTCAGCAAATAGGAACTCTCCATTTCTGTGAGACCCGCCCCTCCAACACACATGGGGGTTATACCCAGACTGGAGGAGGGAGAGGTGAGTCTCATGGAACCCAGTGGGATGAAAGTCACTAATTCAGACTGTTTCTGGATTGCACTGTGCTGATCCACTTATTGTAACTAATCATCACCTGGAGTAACATTGTAACTGCTCACAGCATCCTAGCAGAGTACAATCATTCTATAATTGTTTATTGAAAAGGTTTACCAAAATGTATAAATATTTTACAATTATAAAATGAGGGGGGCAGTAAACAAAAAGGGGGATCACATTCAATAATATAATATTATTGTAAAATATTCAATATATGTCACAATTATAAAAAGAAGTATCAGAACTGGTCAGTTAAGGGTCCACATTATAGGGAATATGCAGGTTTAATATTGTCTCCCCAGACATTCCATTATATACAGGGATAGAACATTATCCACCATGCTAATTGTAAAATCTATTATTGATTGATTATTTTTTAATGAATTTGTAAGTATACATAGATGTATAAATGACAGAATTGACAATTTTACAATATGAACAGCATTAAACAGTTATGGAGATGGGCTGGACACACATTAAGACCCCAAATTAAAAAAAATGGGAAAAATGAAATTAGAAATAAATGAACCTTTTAGTTTTTTGTTAGGCTGGAGGCGCAGACAGTGAGGTTTTGTTATTGCAGGTTTCCTATTGGAGTTGGTGATGTTATAAATACAGATTTAGTGAATCGTATAGAATTCAATCAGTTAGATTTAATGTAACAGTTCTGATTTTGACTATGGGTGTAATCATCATTTTCACAGATATGCACTTTGATGCTGCTCACACATCCAGCCTTATAAAATGTTGGGAATAGCCCCAAACAACATGTACTTTCCTCAGGTATACGTGCTCTATTCTCTTTTACCAGTCGATAAAAGCCCTTGGCGTCACCTTTGGCCAACAGTAAAATGACATGTCCAACAGCAATGGAGAAAGCACTGCTGGAAAATATAGCTTCTGTCATGTCAAAAGCACGAGTTGGTGTTTGATGTGTGTTGATATATGTTAAGAGTTGTTGTTTTTTGTAAACCTTGGGATGACATTTGTGGCGGAACCAACCTCGCCACTGTGCACTGGAGAAGCCTGGTTGCTTGCCTGCTCCCTTTAGACTATGGCCCCTGTTCTGTTAAAGCCATGCTACCCCAGATAGCTATGTCATTGAGCCCAGCCGAATGACTGTATGAAAGACTTTGGCTCCATGGCGATTAAACTGTATGTATGTGATCTGAGCGCCATCCAGTAATAATGTGCACTCAGATCTAAGCTATCTGGGGATGGGTAGAATGTCTGTAGTTTATGTAATAAAGGTAACCTTGTGTATTTTATTGTATTTTACTGTCTTTTTACTGCCATGTGCTTAATGGAGTTTTGCCTCTGTCCTTGGAGATAATTGGATTACTTCTCAATTATCTCCAGGATAGAAGACTCTGTGAAACTGGTTTTGGGCAGAAAAGCCATGCTTCATTTGGTCACAAAGGACTTCGATCTATCTTTTGAATCAATGGACCAATTTGGATGATTTTGACATATGTTTGTATTTGGAGTATGCTGATTCAGAAAATGTGAATGTGATGCATACTTTCAAAGTTCTGAATGATGTGGAAAAACTGTATTCTTCTGCCTGTGATAATTATATCACCCATTGTGATATTACAGTAGCTGTCGGTGTATCTGGAAAGGGGAATATCGCCTAAACGGTTTTTAACCTCTGGTGAGCAAAACGGTCCGTTAAAACATTCATTGTGGTCTTTGATCTTGCACAAGGCCTAGACCATAAAACATCTAGATAGCCATCACCAGAGCTGGACACAAGGAATTTCATAGAGTGGGCAATAGACTGCCAGACCAACCCCCTCTGATCCCCCCCCCCCCAGGGGTCTGCCCACTGAGAAACAACTAGTTTAGATATATTAATGAGGGTGCTGGACTATCCAGGGAGTTCTTCATTTTATTTCTTTGGTCAGCAACTTCTAGGAGACCTATACCATCTAAGACTCCCACAAGAATTCTATATGGGATAACTACATGTAAGGAATTTCTTGTGTTTTCTCCTATTTTATTTTATGTACTGTTTTGCAATTTGCTATCTGTATGTCATTTATTTCTGTATTTTGTACTCAGCACTGTGAATCTTTTTTGTCAGATTAAATGTTTACTTAATCAGCTTGTGTCTCTATTCTCTATGAGCTTCACTCTCCAGAGGAAAGCTCAGGTAAACACGTTACCAAAAAGGGTTAATTATATTTGTTTGATCAGTAAAAGTAGAACTGTGATTCTATAATTCTCCTGTGTGAGGGGTAACCTAAGACGCCCGGGTTTAAAGTCTTGGTGGTGGCAGTAAAGTGTGTACTAGGGGGTTAGTGTAGAAGGGATTGCAGGGGTTAATTGAGTGGTTGCTGGGACTAGCAACAGGTAACCAGTGTCATTAACCCTGTCACTTCCACACTCTCCCCACTGTCTCAGCTGGGCCCATAGCCCATGCTCGTGACATCTTCCCCATTCTCCTGCCAATTTAGCTTTGCTGAAAGTGTTGACAGTGAATTGCCATTTCACATTGCTGCTGATCTATACAAACATGTTAGACTCAGATAGACCGGGTTATTCAGTAAAGTGTGAAGTCAAAGTGAATATTTTTAACTAGAAGCATAGCCGACTTAGAGAATGTTTCCAAGCCGACTATTTTGACCTTAAAGGTACTATATAGTGCCAGGAAAGCAAAGCTGTTTTCCTGGCACTATAGGTTCCTACAGTGCCCCCCTCCCTTGCACCCCCACTCCTGCAGCCCTGAAGGGGTTAAAATCCCTTCAGTCACTTACCTGAATGCAGCACTTATGTTCCTCTGTGCTGGGTCAGGATCCGCCCACTCTCCTCCCCCACTGACTAAAAGTCGTCTAAGCACCTGGAAGTCCGTCTAGTGGCTGTCCTGTAGATAGCCACTAGAGGAGGAGTTAACCCTGAGAGGTAATTATTCTAGACTAGTGTCTCTCGGAAACTGCAATAATTACCACTGTGGGGTTAAGGGACATAGGACATTGTACCCAAACCACTTTAATGAGCTGAAGTGGTCAGGGTGCTTACGGTGACCCTTTAAACTTGAAATTCACTTTGAATTCTCACTTTAGTGAATAACAATGAGAGTTATAATAGTCAAAACAGTCAACATAGCCCAGCTGGAAAAAATGTCTAAATTATCTCTGCTTTCCATTCTACTACTTCATGCCTTCCAACTGTCCCAATTTCGTCAGGTCACAACATACACAGAATATCCTATATTCTTGGTGTGTCTGAGACCAGGAACTGTTATTAAGATATCAGATTCAGACATAGAAAGATAGAAATCTTACTAGTGACTAGTGGTTAGAAGACGTTTTGAACTAAGTGCCAGTTTGACAGGTCCATCAGAGAGCTAGGTTCATTTTACTCCATTTAGAATTTGAACCAGCTGAAACCTGCTAAATAATTTATCTTTATTTATTTTACAGGCCTAAGGAACAATGAACCAGATACAAAATTTACTCTATGATTCTCTGATAAGAACTTCTCATGTAGAAGGTGCCGTTCTTATCAAAATAAAGGAGGGGCTAATGTGTGTGTCACCCCCACGTTTTAACGTAAGTAGAAAAAATCACGTTTAAAAAAAACTGTGCAATCAGTAGACCATACATTTTAGAACACAAGTCATAGTCCAATAATTCAGTTATAAATGGCGTGCACTCACCTAGGAGCACTTGCTTTTAGTTGCCCGTTTTTACATTCCCTATAGATTCCAGCATGTATGGACTTTGCCGACGATATTAGTTAATGGGAAAGTTGCGGAACCCATGTTGGCGAGAGGTGTGCTCTGTTGTCTAGTTATTTGTGCGGTTTTCATTAATCTTCTCTGACCAATATTTGCTCCATAGCAGGGTTATCCATTTAATATATTCCTGATGTGATTTTAAATACATTTTGTGAATGTAAGAATTCAAAAATTGTTACATTAGAATTCCCTTTCTTTTTTGAAGATCCTTTCTTCCGATACCTCAATTTGCACACATATGCACAAACTACACAGACATACAAAATCACTAGAAACACAAAGACCCTGTCATTGGCTTCATTGTGGAATAGCTACATAGGGTGCAGTTGGAACCCAACTAAGAGATTCAGGCAAGAGAGACCAGCACCACCAGAAACATAGATACAGTTCTGTCCCACTCTAGACTATAAAAGATTGTAGACTCTGGGCGTGATCCCCACTGTGGAAGGCTTTCAACTGGGAAAGATGGGGTACAAACTACCATGGACCTCCAAAATACATTTGAATTATTTTGCTTATAGGAATTCTTGTAGTACGAAATTTTTCCATGTAATATTTATGATTTGTTTTTTTGACAAAGTGGATTTTGTTTATTTGAATATAAGTAATGTAATGGCTTTTGTATTGTTTAGGTTCGATTGTGAATTGTTGTGTCTGCTTTCCAGGTCCCACCTCAGCAAGTCCAGCTGATTATTGATGCTTTTAAAAATGTGTCTGCGACAAGAAAGGAAGGCATTTACTTTCGTGAGAAGAATTACAAATGCATCCGTGCTGATAAAAATTCTGTGTATGCAAAATGTGTAAGTTACCAGTTTCGTTACATGCTATGGACATAGAAACATGTTTTCTTGACCCGTATTTTCCGGGATTTGGGAATCCGAAATGAATGATTTCCAGACAATAGGAATAAATTCACTTAATAAAGAGATGACAAAAACTCATTACATTAATTTGTTCAAAATATCCGAACTAGAGAAATATGTTGATTTTGGTATTCTGTCTGTCTGTCTATCCATCTATCTAATTATCCACACATTGGTTGGGTAATATCACTTGTGCATTATTCTCTATAAAAAGATATGGATGGACAGGAGCTGAGGAGACAGGGACAGCAAGATTCTTTCTCCTCAGCTCTTCTGGCATTTCACTACCAGGATAGGAGCTAAGCTATTGGCAGCAGCTGCAAATAGCACATGCTCCCTGGGATTGTAGCTCAAACCACCCTGGTTATAAAAACCAACGGATTTAAAATATACTGTCAGTATAACATAGCTAAATTGCTTTACCATGAATGTGGTTGTCTCTATAAACGTGTTCTGTTTTTTTTGTTTTTAATTAGGACGATGACGGAATTGTGCTAGTAAAAACAAAAGTTCATATCCTACTTGCTACATACTGCAAAGGAATGTACCCCAGTGTCTGTGTAGAGGCCACTGAGAAACTCGGTAAGTTTAAGAAACTCCCCAAAACTTGCATAACCTCCACACTGGTTTCCAGGAGGAACCCACTCTGTACATGTCCAGAAATTGTAAAGTGACACAATGGCAGCATTCTAAGTAGGTTGGGGCTTTTTTTGTAGAACCAGCATGATCAAGGACCACTTACTACTATTCCATCTGTCGTAGACTTCATTACCAGCGGTACTCAGCAGGGGTGATAATTGTCATAGAACTCATGGTTTATCCCTATTAGATGTATTGCACTGAAAGAGAATGCATACTGTCTTTTTATTTTTGGACTAACAGGTATTATTTATGTATTTTTTTAGGTTCTTATTTCCGAGAGAAGGAAATGTAATAACCCACGATCTTTCATTGGATGAAGATTTCTTACCCATGGAAGTCTTTGTAAAGACTGTTCACACTTAAGTGATGTTTTCAGAGACCTTTCAGTAAACAGCGAATATGCAGGAGTGTTGTGAGAATCTCACACACAGAAACATGACTTGTACATGACTACATTCATTCTGCATCGTTTGTTACCGTTTTTAAATTCAGACGCAATGTTCCAATTGCTCTACAATTGTTCCATTAAACGGATTCAGCACCTACAAATACATGTGTTTCCTCTGAGAACTTTAGCAATATGCCAAATAATGTATAGAGGACTATGGAAATTTAAATGCAATATTATTTATTTATTTATTATAATTCTTTATTTTATTTGTGCATAGAAAGAACAAACATGTTTGCACTGCCACAACAGCTGGTGCAAACAAATATATAAACATAGCTTAACATTGGTATGGCAGTTGGAAACTTTTGCACATTTTTGTTTTGAAAGTCAGAACAAGTTGAGTGTTAAAGAAAAAGAGTTACCAGGTTGATCTATGTTCCGCTGGTAGGAGTTAAATAAAGCTTGTTAAAGGAACACTATAGTCACCTAAATTACTCTAGCTAAATAAAGCAGTTTTAGTGTATAGATCATTCCCCTGCAATTTCACTGCTCAATTCACTGTCATTTAGGAGTTAAATCACTTTGTTTCTGTTTATGCAGCCCTAGCCACACCTACCCTGGCTATGATTGACAGAACCTGCATGAAAAAAAACTGGTTTCACTTTCAAACAGATGTAATTTACAATTATAATTGTATCTCAATCTCTAAATTGAACTTTAATTACATACAGGAGGCTCTTGCAGGGTCTAGCAAGCTATTAACATAGCAGGGGATAAGAAAATCTTAATTAAACAGAACTTGCAATAAAGAAAGCCTAAATAGGGCTCTCTTTACAGGAAGTGTTTATGGAAGGCTGTGCAAGTCACATGCAGGGAGGTGTGACTAGGGTTCATAAACAAAGGGAATTAACTCCTAAATGGCAGAGGATTGAGCAGTGAGGCTGCAGGGGCATGTTCTATACACCAAAACTGCTTCATTAAGCTAAAGTTGTTCAGGTGACTATAGTGTCCCTTTAAGGGTTAAAGGTAAGTCAAATGAAATGAGCCATGCTTACATGCTAGCAATCCATTTTATGTGTATTATACCTTTCCATAGGCTGGGTCTACAATCAGATTAATTCTTGGCAGGAGTGCCCGCAGATTGCAATAGTAACAGGCTTAAACCATGTTTTTAATTTTGGTTAATCACAGGCTAGGTTGTGGCTGAAGGTGGTGCTGCACTAAATAAAAATAATGTAACATAACATAGCTTGTCACTGGATGCCAGTAGAAGACATTTGTAAGATATCACTAGTTGTCAATATAACACATAAAAATGTCACTGGTTGCCATTGTAAAACATATGAAAAATATCACAGGTTGCCAGTGAAAAACAAATAAAGGAGATCATTGTTTGCCAGTATTAGACATGTTAGGGATATCTCCTTGACAACATAAAACATGGGAAAGATACCCCTGTTTAATATGACCCTAGTCCCTTGTGGCTGGCAGAACTTTAGCAGTAACTTGACAATATTGTCTGCCTGGGTATCAACACCTGGAATATAGTGGTAAGTCCTGAGGGGGGCACGGGTACCTTGCTCGGGAGCATGTGGCACTGTCAGCCGATACCCCGGCTTGGTAAGTCAATATCGTCCCTGGGGGTCATCTGTCGCTGTCCCAGCTGCCTCGCCGTGCAGAGTCCCGCATGTCTGGTGTGGATGAGGACATCCAGGCAGTCACTTAAGGCCGCAGTGGTGAGGAGGGAGTTCTTCCCTTGAGCTTGTACCAGGATGAGGGTCTTGTCGCTGCAGGCCCGGCAACCACCTGTTGTCGGCTGCCGTCCAGCCTTGGGCCTCACACCAGAGTTCCGTCCCGTTAGTGCAGAGCCGCGGTGTCTCGGCTGCGGGAATCCTCTCCTGCCCCAGAGCTGTGGGAGAGCGCTTGTAGGCCAGGGAACCTTCATGGACCAGGGTCAGCCCTTTCGGGGTTGTGCGGGGAGTTAGATCGGGTCGCTTGGATGTTCGTCTTGCCTCTCTCCGCTTGTGTGGCAGGTGCCTCTGGGGTACTCCCCTTCTTGCTCTCAGCTCGCGAGGGCCTAAGATGTGGGGATTTGATGCGAGGGTCTTAAAGTTGCCCTGAGGAGAACTCCCATGCTCCCGTCCGCCATTTGCTCTTACCCTCATGGGTGATGGTTGGCAGGGCACTGCGGGCTGTAAGCGTGCCTGTAATTTGTCCCGGAAGCGGTCAAAGATTATTGTGATGGGATCTTTTGCGCGGTCCCCGGTGCCTCTGCATCCGGAGGTCGCAGTCGCTTGTCGGACACTGTCGTGTCAAAGTGATCTGCCATCTTGGGCACTCCCGTCCCCTCGTTTCTTATGGAGATCTTTATGTTTGTCTGTTGGTGCAGGGTTTGGGATAGCCTGCCAGGCGGAGACCGGGATAACCCCCACTGGTCCATAGGGGGGGGGGTGTGCGTGTTTTGCACTCGCGTGCCGCAGTTGGAATCCGGTGGGAAGGCGGCCGTCCTTCCCCCCTACTTCCACTAGGCCTCATTTTACCGCTGCGGTTCCCGGTTGAGTCAGGCTTCAAGTTAGGTACCGGCATGTTCGTGGTTGCTTCCCACAGCTCACAGGCAGGTTTGTGGGAAAATCGCAGTAGTTAATCTCCAGATTTCTGCAGAATTTGGGCCTACACTGCAGGAGCTCATGCAATGTGCGTCTAGTTAGCTTGCCTGTTCGGCTCTGCCCCACAAATGTAATATTATTTTTAATAAGGACATATGGAGTTTTTGCAATTTGGTTTCAAATGTCACAACATCATGGAAACGAACATATGGAGTTGTTCTATAAAATGTAGGGGAATTTAAACTATAGATCAGGGCTGCCCATCAGGTAGATCCCCAGATGTTGTAGAGCTACAACTTCCATTATGCTTTGCATGCCTTTAGCATGTTTTTAGAATGACAAAGTATCATGGGAGTCATAGTTTTACAACATCTGGGGATCTAGATGTTGGGCAGCCCTGCTTTAGATCAAAAATAGCCAAATTGGAAATGTAACTGACTTGAAAAATTTTTCTAATTTGGCTTTCCTGGCCTTAATCGTGAAATTCTCGTTGAATTCCCAATTAATGTCCCTTTAGTGAAGAAGTCCATGACGCTACGGTATCATCATGGTTGATCATGGTTTCGTTTCTGCTTTATTTTTTAATGTTGTTTGTAAAAAATATACTGTAATTATATTAAATAGTTCATATTTTGTTTTACAAGCAATGTTATCACAGTGTTTTACCCAATAAGGTCTAGAAAAGCAGAATGAATTCAAAATAATGTTTGAATGTTTTTAATTTTATTAAATGTTTATTTAGATATTTTATCACTTAATTCCAAATGACACTGCTTGCTACAAGTCTCTTAAGTAACGCAAAATCCAAAGCTGTTACTCATATTAATTAACCTATCTTTTAATGACAAATGCAGAGAACATAGGACATGATTATTCGGGTCACTTCAAAATATTTTAGGGCTATTTAACAGACAGGAACAGGAATGTTCAGTATAAACTTTGTGTCAGTAAATGTGATCTGTAATCAGATGTTCAGCGAAAGATGAATCATCTTTTGAAAAATGATTTAGAAATTTAGAAAATTGGGCAGACTAGATGGGCCGAATGGTTCTTATCTGCCGTCACATTCTATGTTTCTAAAGTGTACCTGTAACGTTATATATTTAATTTTGGGATTTAATCTGTACATTTTTGGGGATTTAATCTATACATCCAAATTTCCTAGTAGATGTGTAGATTTTTCTAAATATTTTGAAAACGACCCTAGATGGGCAACCGACTGTGCTGTAACAATGCAATACAAAAATATAATAAAAACAAAGAAAATTAGCCCTGTGTTGCAGCAATGGCTACCGTCTTCATCAACCCAAATGTATAAACCGGGCATATTGTATTGTGCATCCGTTCTACAGTGCAGATGCTTATCCCCAATTAGAAGTTAGTTTCTAGAGAATTATACTAAGCCTATTATGTCTCATTAGACAGTTTACCTTTTTGTTTAAAAGCGCCAAGGTGAGTTACTCATGTTGAACAAGGTGTGCGGCTTGTTGATGGTAAATCAGCTTACATATTGATGTCCATCTGTTTTATAAATATGCGCAGGTAAATATTTTGGTTTGGTTTTCTAGAAACAAACTTTTATTTTTATTTTTTTGCTCAAGTTGATAATCTTGATTGCAGCAAAGGATGTATGTATATCAGGCGATCAGGTTTCTATACAATAATTTACTAACCTGCAGAGGGCACTCCATCCCCAAGGAACCAATGGTGATCTGTATTTGAGTCTGTCTCCTCTTCTCGCCTACTGTTTCGAAATACATCTCTGTAACACAATGCTCATCCACTTCAAGGGACTTTTAATTGCATTGGATTGCATATATTTCATCGAATTGCCAGTCTTTTCCCTTTGAGGGACATTTTGTGAAATACACACACACACACACACAGCCAAGTTTGGAGTAGGGTTTAAGAAGTCAATAACTTTTTTTTTTAATAATTAAAGGACCACTATAGGCACCCAGACCATTTCAGTTTATGCTGTAAACATATAGGTTAATCCAGCCTCTAACAAGACACGTATATAGACAGGATTTGTGACAAGGCAGGGGTCCTACACAGACATCCGGCCAAGATTCAGGAAATCATTCGCACATATTACGCGGAACTCTACTCCCTTCCACGCCCACACACAGACGCGCAGTCACGATCACTACAGACCTCAATAGACGACTACCTAAAGACCCATAGGCTCCCCTCCCTGGCGGCCGACACGGCAGATCAACTAGACGAACCAATATCCATAGGGGAACTAGCACTCGCAATCAAATCCACGAAACCTGGTAGGAGCCCAGGTCCCGATGGCCTGCCCCTCAAATATTATAAAAGCTATGCCGAGACCCTGTATCCCCCACTACTGGCCATGTTCAACGCCATCAGAGAGGGACATGAATTACCTGCACAGGCACTCATGACCCACATCACCATAATTCCGAAAGAGGGCAAGGACCAGGAGCACTGCGGGAGCTTCCGGCCCATCTCCCTCATAAACAATGACATCAAACTACTGGCAAAGGTCCTGTCGACCCGGCTCCAGGTGCACATGCCCTCTCTGGTCCATGCGGACCAGGTGGCGTTTGTAATGGGTCGGGAAGCCAGAGACGACACCATCAGTGCCCTCACGATTATGCACAGAAAATCAGGGGAAGACACAGGCCTTCTCCTGCTGTCCACGGACGCGGAGAAGGCCTTTGACAGGGTCTGCTGGGCGTATATGTTCCAGACGCTGTCACACATGGGTATGGGACCATACCTGCGAGGATGGATTAAGGCCCTATACACTCACCCGACGGCGCATGTCCTGGTCAACGGGGCACCCACAGAGGCGTTCCCGATATACAACGGTACGCGACAGGGGTGTCCCCTGTCCCCACTGCTATTCGTTCTGGCTTTAGAACCCCTACTAACCACAATCCGACACCACCCGGACATTAAGGGGGTACACATAGGAGACACACAACATAAACTAGCCGCTTATGCGGATGACCTACTATTCTTCATAACCCACCCGGAAGTCTCCCTCCCCAATTTAGTGCAGGAGTTCCAGGCCTTTGGAGGGTTCTCGGGGTACAAGATTAACTTCTCAAAGTCCTATATCTTAAACGTAAGCATACCCGCAAGGAGATCAGCACAGCTCCGACGGAGTTTTGCGTTCCAATGGGCCACGGATAAAATCCGATACCTCGGCACTTGGCTGACCGTTAAGGAATCGGAGCTATTCACAGCGAATTTCGCCCCGATACTAGCTAAGTTCCGTACAGACATGAGGGAATGGGCCCTCCCGCACATCTCCTGGCTGGGTAGAATTCAAGTAATAAAAATGAATTTTCTACCGAGACTACTTTACCTCTTCCAGGCCCTGCCCATCACAATCCCATCCTCATTCTTCGCCACGCTTCGACAGGCTTTAGGGGCTTTTGTTTGGGATGGGAGGAGACCCAGACTGAAATACACACTGCTAACTCAACCCAAGCACAGAGGGGGTCTGGCTCTACCGGACTTCCGACTATACTACAAGGCATGCCACCTGCAACGTGTTGCGGAGTGGTCCAAGACTGGGGTCAGCAAACTATGGAAACAGGTAGAGGAGGGGGTAGCTCAGCTCCCAGCCGCCCTTATCCTTTGGCTCCCCGCAGGGACGGATGGAAGGGAAACGCACTACTCCACATATACGAAAGCGACTCTGAAGATATGGCGAGGCAATGCTGGTAGACACGCGCTCTCCACACACCCGTCCCCATTCCCCTCACACATAATCCTGACTTCCTGCTGGGCACGGACCCTAGGGCACTGCGGGCCCTGGTGCAAAGCCCACTGCCAAGGCTGAAACATGTGTGCTCCGGTCAGGGGCTGAGGACCTTGGCTGACCTATGTGGGGGTCATACCCAACCATTCGCAACCCACTTCCGCTACGCACAGCTGGCGAGCTATGTAAAGACCCTGCCCCGCGCAGGAGCCCTCACTAGGGAACTCACCGCTTACGAGCAACTATGCGCAGACCCCAACCCACTGCCACATGGCATCTCGCACCTTTACGCCCTCCTACAAACGCTCACACCCATAGCCGCGCCACGCTTTATGGGGAAATGGGAGGAGGCCCTTAATCACACATTTAGTAGGGCCGATTGGGAAAAGATTTGTGAGGTCACCCACCACTGCTCCATTTTCAGCAAGAGTCAGGAGACAGCATATAAGATACTCACGCAATGGTATTGTACCCCAGACACGACTCAATACACGCATGCTCATGGGTCAAGCCTATGCTGGCGGTGCGCCAAGGCAACGGGCACGCCCCTACACATTTGGTGGGCATGCGAACTTGTACAACCATTCTGGAGGAAAATCCATAAAATAGCCTCCCGCTTCTCTGACAACCCACCACCACTAGATCCGGCAGCAATGCTGCTCCACCACATGACCATACCGATTTCTAAATACAAAAAGTCCCTTACAATTCGAATTCTAAACATGGCTAAGCAAACTATACCACAATACTGGAAGAAAAAAGAGACCCCTTCCATACTTAAATGGTTCACCCACATGAAAGAACTACGAGCGGTAGAAGAGCTCGCCATGTTAGCTACTGAAAAACAACATCAAACATACCTAGACATCTGGACCCACTGGATATTGACCACGACGAAACAAGACTTCCTGACGCGGCTCCATACCTAATGACAGGGAGCTACACAGGCTGGATAGGCACATGGACGACAGACAGACCCTCCTCCTCCTTCCTTGCACTTACCTTACCCCTCCCCTCCCCTCTCACATATTAAAACTAGGGACACCACCCAACTGTCGCACAGGTTAAACAGACATTGGAAACACACTCCCCAGTACTCATATCCCCCTCCGAAACAGGACTCCTGCCCACTATATCACTACAGCCCGTCAATAACTAAGGTCCTCACTAGACACGACCTTATAAGAACACGTAACGACCGGACCGTGCTTGTCCCTTCCGTACGCACAGATAATACAACCATGCACACCTGAATACTAGGGGGGCAATAGCGGGGAGAGCATCAGACAGTATAGAGGTAGACAATTGGAGGGACCATGCCCGGCCTGAAGGGCTAGCAGACTGGCTGAAGGTGGATATTCAGCTTCAAACAGCACGGGAACACGGGATTACTGAGAACAACCTGGGGGGGGAGGGGGGTTCACCCACATAAGCTTTAATGTTGATACAAGGGACCTGCGAGTCCGACTTTGTTGTTGGGCCTGCGTGCCCGCCTGTTGATTGTTTTCTTTACGTTGACTACAAAATACAGACCTGCGAGTCTGCATGATACTCACCTTTTATTCTCAAATAAAGGAAATAAAAATCATATTTACAAAAAAAAAAAAATCCAGCCTCTAGTGGCTGTGTCATTGAGAATGCTTTCCTATGGACTGACTGAATGCGCGCGCATTCAGTCGTTGACGTCGAAGAAGGAGGAGGAGAGTTCCCGGCTCTGGAGAAAGGTAAGTGTTTAACCCCTGCCTACCCCTCAAGCCCTGCGGGAGGGGGGCCATGAGGGTGGGGGGGACCTATTAACACTATAGTACCAGGAAAACGAGTTTGTTGTAACCAATTTCAATGATATTATATTAAATGAATGCTTAACGTATGGAGATTGTGGCCAGCCTAAGGTACACCTTTGCAATAATCATGCTGTCTAATCAGCTTTTTGATATGCCACACCTATGAGGTTGATGGATAATCTCGGCAAAGGAGAAGTGCTCACTAACAGATTTAGACAGATTTGTGAATAATATTTGAGAGAAATAGGCCTTTTGTGTACATAGAAAAAGTCTTAAATCTTTGAGTTCAGCTCATGAAAAATGGTCAAAAACAAAAGTGTTGTGTTTATAATTTTGTTCAGAATATATACTGTGACGAAAGTAACCTCATCACTGGTTCTTGGAGGGGCCTGCTGGCCACCCTCTTGCACTTTAAAAGGATCTGTACTTTTGTACTCCAGACAGAGAGACCGAACGTTAGCCCTAAGTCTCTGAAACTGTTTTGGGCATGGGACCCTGTGCACGGTGGTCAAAACTATGACTTCCAGGAAATTCATGAACCGATCTGCTTGGAGCCCTCAGTGAGCACTAGGAGCATCTGTCGGCGGAGGTACCCAACCGGGGTACAGGAAGCTCCGTTACATACTATCAAGAATGATCATGATCAAACAATGCTTTACAAATGCCAAAATGTCGTTTATGAAAAACTGTCCAAAGGGGTTGTTGTCGTGATAGTTCCAGCATTATTAATGCCAACCTGGAAGAAGTGCATACACAAAAGTTCATATAAACTCCTTCCATATTTGAGCACAGTTGGATGAGTTTGTAATGCTCAGTGGGGTAACAATAGATAATAACAATAGTTGCATTAGAATCTTGCATCCTTCTCTCACAGTTCTATAGTAATAAACCTTAGATGACATCACACCAAGGAATATCGAGAAGTAGTAATGTAAGATTACGGTACTCAAGCATCGCCTAAACCCAACACAAATATTAAAACGTGTGCAACAATTCTATATGTTTAAATGACTGGAACAACAATTACATTGCAACCGGGAGCAGAGAAGGGATTACGTTCTACCCTTTAATAGCACTGAACTTCTGTGAAACCCTAAGCCGGTCCAACAGCAGTACCATTCAATAATATACATCACATATTTAACCGGCTAAGGTACTACACTATATTGTTTCTCTTTACTTCATATTATCCTGGACCCACTGGAAGTGCCTATATAGGAAGCAGGTAGTGTACTGCCATAGAGGTACAGAATAGCCTGTGTTCGGAGCCAACCTCGTAGGTTCTGCTTATGTGAGTTTTAATTTGCACAGTTTTTTAATTCACTGTATTTCTTATTGCACAGTGGAGAGCCCTGTCCAAATGAGCTCACAATCTAAAGAAGGAGCCATTAACGTATTTCATTTATTTTTATAAAACAATATAAAATTGCAGTCCGAAGTCCATGGGGGAAACAAATTAATACATATTTTTATTATTATTTATTGAGTTCAAACTATTTTTATTGTTGTGGTATTCATGTGCGAAAGACACTTTAAATACATTTGGCATAGAAGTCAATTGTACCAAACTGTGTCACAAGAGATTTCAGTACGCACAACAGTATTTATAATACAAAAATACAAAACAACAGTAAATGGTAAAATAGTAAAATAACAAAACATGCTCTCTATCACTTTGTTAGGTAAGCATCAATAGTTGCAGCAAGGTAAGTAGCCCCAGTGAGCGGTCAGAGGATGAAATGGGACATGGCGGGTTGATAGGACCACTGCCAAGTGGGGCATCCTATTATGCAATAGGGGATTGGCCTATAATCATAGGGTTGTCAGCAGGGCCGGCGCTTCCTATTGGCCCCCTTCAGGCTGCAGCCGCCTGAGCACTCTATAGAGAGCCTCAGGAGGCTGCAGCACTGCCCAGGTCGGCACGTCCATGAGGGAGCCCTGGCCTGGGGGAGCAAGATATGAGGGACCAGCAGGAGGGAAGCGCACAGTGCTCCCTCCTGCCAGTCCCTTAGTGTTCCGTGGCCGAGCTCCAGACCGCGGTACAGGAACATCCGTTTCCTGTACCCAGCCAGACTGACGGGAAGTGCTCACTCAGTGAGCACTTAATTTCAGTCCGGCCGGACACAGGAAACAGAAGCTCCTGTACCGCGGACCGGAGCGGAGCTCTGCCGCGCTACAGTAGAGAGAGGTAGGAGGACCACCTGGGGAGGGAGGGTGGTGAGAGAAAGAGAAAGATAGACCATCTGGGGGAGGGAGAGTGACAGGAGAGACAACATGGGGGAGGAAGGAGGGAGGGGGAGAGAGAGAGAGGGAAGGGGAGACCACCTGGGGAGTGAGGGGAGGAGAGAGGGAAGGAGAGACCACCTGGGGAGGGAGGAGGGACCACCCGGGGAGAGAGAGGAAAGGAGAGACCATCTAGGGAGGGAGAGAGGAAAGAGAGACCACCTAGGGAGGGGGGAGAGTGGAAAGGAGAGACCACCTGGAGAGAGAGAGACAACCTGGGGAGAGGGGGTGGAGTGAGAGGAGAGACCACCAGGGGAGGAGGGGGGAAGGAGAGACCACTCGGGGAAGGGAGGGAGACGAGAGATCACCAAGAGAGGGGCGGGGGAGAAGAGAAGCCCTGGGGTGCGTAGGAGAGAGGAGACACCATGAGGGGGAAGGAGAGAGACCACTAGGGGAGGGGAAAGGAGGGGACAGGAGATACCACTAGAGACGGGGAGGAGAGACCAGCGCGGGGGAAAGGAGGGAAAGAGAAGCACAAAAGTGCTGGTAGAGGAGAAAGAGACACACAGAGGGGCTCGGGAGGGAGACACACAAAGGGGCTGAGGGGAGTAAGACACACAAAGAAGTTGGGAGGATGTAGGAGACATACAAAGAGGGGGGATAAGAGACAAACAATAGGCTTGCAAGAGATAAGATGCAAAGTAACAACAAAAAATTATATTTTTTCTGCTCCCCTCTCAGCCCCTATCCTACCCCACAAACTCTCTTTCACAATACACACACACTGCATCTCTATACATACACAGAAACACACAATGCATCCCTACACACACACATACACACACACACAGGAGCACACCATACTTCCCTTACACACAGAAAAACACACAATGCATCCCTTACACACACACTGCATCCCTTACACACACACACACACACACACACACACACTGCTTCTCTTGCACACACTCAATTCACCCCTCAGAGACACTGCATCCCTTACATACACTTAAACACACCTTGCATCCGTTACACATACAAACACAGATTCACATTATACATCCCTTACACACAAACACACACTGCTTTCTATCCTTTACACAAAAACACACTGCATCCACTACACACTCACACACTGCATCGCCTACACAAACTGGTATGACTATACTCTACATTCCATAAGCACACACAATAACACATAACACATCCCCTACACACTCCACTCCCTGTGAGCGAATTCACCGGTGGAACATTTAGGTGGACTTTTGGGTTGGCCTTATGGGCATACTCACCGTCAAACTTGGGGCCCAGAGGTCAGTGAGGGGACATGAAGAAGCACAGAGACAAGCCTGGGTGAATTTTGTATGGTTAATGGAAGGTCTTATCAGGGAATAAAGGGAGCTGATAGAATATGAGAGAGGGGTGAGTTAAGAAATTATCATTAGAGTTGTTCCAATCATTGGGACTATAATATGGAATATGGTACGAATATAGCTGTGTGTTTGTCGATAGGCCTGAACCGCCAGGTCAGAAAATTTGTATTTAATTTGCATAAGTGGGAAAATCGTCTTCAAGAGATAATCCAGGAAATCATGGATCTAGCTAATTCCCACTGCCTTCCATGATAGATATGGATATTGAGCATGTCCTTCCTGAAATTATAGATTGCTTTGCGTAGCAAAGAGATAAAACGTTTAATATTTATTTAATGCTAATAAGAACATGGGGAAAAAACTAAAAAGTTACGATGAAATTGTATTATTAAAAAAAAAAAAAGTTTTCCCGTTGCCATAATCCAATCCCAGTATTCTGATTCCTTTTTTTAATTATGTAACAAAACGATTACCATTTCATGTTACTTTTAAATGTTGCTTTTGCAATTCCCTCTGTAGAAGCAGATTATTCCTCCTTTTTGATAGGTAGGTTATATACAGCTTGATAGGTATACAATAAGCTTTTATGTAAGTAAGTTTATGTTTAATAAGAACATTGCTTGCAAATACCGTACAGTTCATCTTACAGTTTATGTTAACCTAATTTCCTTAACGTGGTTCTATAAATTATGGATCAATACATAAACTTGACTGTTACCAGACAGTAACAATCAGCTGTCATACAGTCAATCCAAAGTCCTAGGAATGGCTAAATCAGTGTGAAAAGTGTTGTTTTGTTCACAGCTGACTGTTATTCTCATTTTTCCCCCCAAAATTCTTTTTAATATCGGATTTTGTATAAAGTCCTTAATGGTTCAGTAACCAAATGTGAAGATTTGATTTTGGGTCAATGAATGATATACTGAGATCAGACTATGTTAGAGCATTGAATGAAAACAGGGAGAGATTTCCATAAATGACCAATAACAACTGAGCTATTCGAATTTTTTAAGGAAAGTGTCAACCTTCTGCTGTAAAACAGTGTCGTGTGTTTTGCTTATTTGCTCCCTTTCCAAGAGTTTTATTTGCTTCTGCCTCTCTGTTTCCCTCATGGAAATATTCTCTAGTCGAGCAATCCCACCCAGGTCCTTGTATGTCAGGGATTCGATACTGTCCGGCTTCCTTTGCAGTGTTGACAGAGGCCTTTGTTTCTTCTCAACTTTCCTTTCAGAAGTTTCTGGAATTTTTGACATGATTTCATGAGGTTTTATTTGTGGACCATGCATAGCAGGAAATGTTCTGTCACTTCTAGTAGAGCCTGATGCCTTGGTTCCTCCACATCGAGCTTCGTCGTCATAACTTGGCACATTGTGAAGATTCTGAGAAGATGAAGAGGAAACCCATTTTGAATATGAACCCAGATCAACACCCACCTCCGTACTTAGAGGTAGATTGACCTTTGCACTCTTAGGGCTGCTCCTGCATTTCTTGAGAGTTTGAATTTCATCCATGACACGCTCCAGTGTTGATTGAGGGGTAATAGCCCTTTGGAGCAGCAGATTTTGACGTTTTCGTACCATGTGGTCTACAGCTTGCCTCCAACGCATCATGTCGGCATGGTGCTGGCAATGCATGCCATTCAGCTTCACGTACAGACATTCCTCCTCTCTTCTGTTTTGGACGTAAGCATTCGTTATCACTGGAGCAGATTTAGGCCTTGGCTTGTTTGGGAAATCCATTTCTATATACGTTCACTAGCCTGGTTAAAATAAGGAAAATGTTAGAATGTAAAGAAACAATAAAACATGCAAATGTTCTTTTCCTGTGAGATACATTGTAGAAATAAATCTAAACCGAAACTACCAAAGAAGATTTCTAGAGCTCCAAGCAGCTATCCATTACCATGCAGCTACAAATCCTCATCTGCTCTATGAACTACACATCCTCATCTTTGAAGTTGGTGGCTGCCAAAAGAATAAAATAGAGGCCAATAATTTCCAAAATAGTAAATAAACAAATGGATCAAGATACAAATCACAAGTTTGTAATCTCTAAATACAATATCAGTCTGAGATTTAAAGTCAAATAGATGTTTTTTCTGCTTTCCAGTTTTCCCTAGACGTAATATCAACGAACCACCGATAGGTTTCATACTTCTATCTATTGCCAAAGTGTCTGTAATCAAAACTTGAGATATCTATTGTACAAGTAAAGGGATATACACAGAGTTATGTAATGCCCCTATATAGACACTAGAGGTCCTCCCTGTACATCCATGATCTCATAATGCAAGTCTGTAGTATAAAGCAAGGTTAATTGGACACAATTGAAGGAGAGGAGATGGATCAAAGTCTTTAAAGTCTGGTCCCTACATTTACCCTAGATATTTTCTTTTAGTTTTATGGCCTTGATTTATTTACCAGCTGACCACAGATTCGTATTATATTCTCTCTGGATAGCTACACGTCCCCAGCTTCAGACACAGACAGACACAAATTCCATATTCACCCCTGGAAGATACTCAGGTTCACTACATACAGGTACACATTCCCAGGTTCACTACATGCAGGTACACATTCCCAGGTTCACTACATGCAGTCAAACATACCTAGGTTCACTACATGCAGGTACACATTCCCAAGTTGAGGTTCACTACATACAGGTACACATTCCCAGGTTCACTACATGCAGGTACACATTCCCAGGTTCACTACATGCAGGTACAAATTCCCAGGTTCACTACATGCAGGTACACATTCCCAGGTTCACTACATGCAGGTACACATTCCCAGGTTCACTACATGCAGGTACACATTCCCAGGTTCACTACATGCAGGCACACATTCCCAGGTTCACTACATGCAGTCAAACATACCTAGGTTCACTACATGCAGGTACACATTCCCAAGTTGAGGTTCACTACATACAGGTACACATTCCCAGGTTCACTACATGCAGGTACACATTCCCAGGTTCACTACATGCAGGTACAAATTCCCAGGTTCACTACATGCAGGTACACATTCCCAGGTTCACTACATGCAGGCACACATTCCCAGGTTCACTACATGCAGGTACAGTGTCAATATACATCAATAGGTTACCCCAAGTGAAGAAACACATTCCCTATCTCTCCCCAGTGTTGCTATACTTTCCCTATTTCTCTCCAGTGTTGCTATACATTCCCTATATCTCCCCAGTGTTGCTATACATTCCCTATCTCTCCCCAGTGTTGCTATACATTCTCTATTTCTCCCCAGTGTTGCTATACATTCCCTACTTCTCCCCAGTGCTGCCATACAATCCCTATTTCTCTCCAGTGTTGCTATACATTCCCTATTTCTCCCCAGTGCTGCCATACAATCCCTATTTCTCTCCAGTGTTGCTATACATTCCCTATTTCTCTCCAGTGTTGCTATACATTCCCTATTTCTCTCCAGTGTTGCTTTACATTCCTTATTTCTCCCCAGTGTTGCTATACATTCCCTATTTCTCCCCAGTGTTGCTATACATTCCTTATTTCTCTCCAGTGTTGCTATACATTCCTTATATCTCCCCAGTGTTGCTATTCATTCCCTATTTCTTCCCAGTGTTGCTATACATTCCTTATTTCTCCCCAGTGTTGCTATACATTCCTTATTCTCCCCAGTGTTGCCATACATTCCCTATATCTCCCCAGTGTTGCTATACATTCCTTATTCTCCCCAGTGTTGCTATACATTCCCTTTTTCCGTCCAGTGTTGCTATACATTTCCTATTTCTCTCCAGTGTTGCCATACATTCCTTATTCTCCCCAGTGTTGCTATACATTCCCTTTTTCCGTCCAGTGTTGCTATACATTCCCTATTTCTCCCCAGTGTTGTTATACATTCCTTATTCTCCCCAGTGTTGCTATACATTCCCTTTTTCCGTCCAGTGTTGCTATACATTCCCTATCTCTCCCCAGTGTTGCTATACATTCCTTATTCTCCCCAGTGTTGCTATACATTCCCTTTTTCTGTCCAGTGTTGCTATACATTCCATATCTCTCCCCAGTGTTGCTATACATTCCTTATTCTCCCCAGTGTTTCTATACATTCCCTATTTCTCCCACTGTTGATTTACATTCCTTATTCTCTCCCCAGTGTTGCTTTACATTCCTTATTCTCTCCAGTGTTGCGTTACATTTCCTATTTCTCCCCAGTGTAGATACAGGAGCCCAGCTGCTCCCAGGTGTCATTATACTCTATCTGCTTATACCCAGCTATCCCCTAATTCTCACCTCACCAGGTTCTCCAAATTCTCCCACATTGCCAGACTCTCCCAAGTCTGCTTTCCAGTGCTGCCACTGTATTTCCATAATGTATCAGTTATCAGTCATTTTATGTTTGTCTTACCCAGCCCAGTAAACAACCAAGAGCTCCATCAGCTGTTCCACTGCCATTTGCAACAGGACCCACCATTGTGGCATGTTAAAAAATCCCACCCTACCTGAGCAGAATGCTCTCTTCGGCTGTTCCCACCTTCTATAACCTCCGATCCAGTACCAGCACTTTATTTTGTCTACCTTAATACAAAAAGAAAGCAGCCTAATTTCCTACAGAGCACCGCAATTATGGAACGACCTCCCGCACACTTTCAAATCTTCCCCAAGCCTAAAGTCCTTTAAGAGATCCCTCTCTACATACCTCAAAACAGAATGCACGTGTCATGGTTGATTATATATTTCCTACCTGTTCTATGTTAAATTTTGTATATATTGTGTATTAATATTGTTTTTGTATTTTATTGTACCCCTAATGTACCAATGCAATGTTTTGTGGACCCAGGACATACTTGAAAACAAAAGAAATATCAATGTATGCTTCCTGGTAAAATATTTTATAAATTAATAAATATCAGAGAGATCCATTGTATTTCCATGTAAATCCATTTCCAACTCAAATATTTTAGCCTATAATTTGAAAAACCCAGATATATTGTAACCCAACTTGGAGTTCATCATCCTGTAATCTATCTATTTAAAAGGTTATAATATTCGTTTAAATTAATGAGAAGAATCAGTCCCTTATGTCCTATTTGTTACCCTTACCCCATTCCTCCTGAATCCCATTATTACGCAAATCCCCCAAGGGAATGCATAGAAATCCTGTAACAAACATGATCTTGACGCATCAGGGTATAAGTCACATTTACTCTCCTTTTTTAAACATTTTTTTTCTATAATCACTACATTTGTTGGGGTCTCCCATTTCTAGCCCCTCATTATCGGTCATTATTCTGAGCAATATTCATTCTCTTTACCATATCACAAGTGTTACCATCTCGCTAGCTTGTACAATGTCTATCCAATGACGTACCTAGAATTACTGACGGACCAGCCTTTCAATTCTTACTAGTGATGTGTTACATCTCCCCTGAATGCCTTTTATTGCCTGTGTCCACCGACATTTGTTTGGAATTGTTTAATTTGTTTGTATGTTATGTAAAATTAAAATAAAGATTTTTAATTTTTTTAAAATACCTAACCAGAGAAAAGTGATTATTATTAATCTATAATTCATATTAAGAATAATGGGAAAAATACATGGAAACTGTAAATTCTACTAAAAAAAAGAGCCAAATTAGAAAAACATTCTCTAATTTGGATATTGTCATGCCGTGTTCTCTAATTAGTCAGCCAAGTGGTGTTTATTTTAAATAGCCTGTTACAATTACAATGTCTTTGAATTTCCAGAAACAGTATAAAGTATTTAAAAAAAAGATAATGTATACTCACGTACAAGGCAATATTTCCTATAGATTGCTTTTGCACCCAGGAATACACGCTATTAATATTAAATATGTAGCACTATGCATTGGACAAGTGCCTCTTGCTGAATCCCACAGCACTGGTTCTCCTTCACTTTGCATGTCTCTGTTATTTGAGAACTCAATAGAATTGATTGTGTTTTGTTTACAAGCAGCTAATCCCTGTCACCTCTTCTCCAAGATGTGGGAGGTCTGTGGTCGTTATTAACCGGTAAGGAACTTGGACACAGTTCAACTGATTTTGTAAAGAATGAGCACACAATAGAAACTTACCAGAAATTATAAGGTTATTGGGGATTCTTTATAAAGAACAATTCCAGGACATCATTCTAAAAATGGAGCTAGTTGAACATTCCATTGGCTGTGGAATTGGTGTAGAAAAGTATTTTAAAGGGACCCTGTATGCACCAAAACCACTTCAGTTAATTGAAGTTCCCCTGTCCCCTTCACCCTGCAATTGTAATTATTACAGTTATTGAGAAACTGCAAGAATTACCTGTCAGGGTTAACTCCACCTTTAGTGGCTGTCTACCAGTCAGTTTGTAGAGGCGCTTCTGGGTCATTAGGCAACTTTTGTTTGCCTAACTGACACTGGACGTCCTCAAGGTAAGCATAAGGACATCCAGCGTTACCAAAAACCCCATCGGAGAGCACTATACAATTTGGGTATAGACCTAATGCGAGCACAGACATTGGCATGCAACCGCATCAGGTCTCCGCCGCCGATGGCGGGGAGGAGCAGAGGCAGAGCCTGAACCAGAGCATATTGACATCGTTGCTGGAATAAGGTAAGTGACAGTAGTGTTTTTAATCCTTCAATCAACACTGAGGGAGCAGTGGGGGGTGGGGGTGGGGGGAGACTAGAACTTTGTTTTTCTAGAACTATAGTTTCCCTTTGATACTGCATATTGTAATAGTTTTAGTTAGTAAGTGAATGTTTATGAATCAA